GGCATCCTGCCAGTAACGACGAGACGAAAGGAGTGTCTTCCGTGTCGTCTGACTTAAAGACTTGTTTTCAAATATTACTCGCGGCAGTATCCAGTTGCTACGCGTAATGTTGGATGGTGGCTACCGTCAGTGGCATCAAAGACGCCAACTGCGACGGCTATGGGTATTGACCAGTCGCACCTCCGTCCTCAGGTATTTGACGGCACCATTCCACACGCATTACGCGACTGTGCCACAGCTATCGCTTTCGTTCCTTCGCACATTAAATATGAACTTTTCTTTTTCGTTTTGAACATCACTTTTTGTTTATAATGGAAGCCTTGAAGGGCCCCTAAAAAGAAAAATGAATGTTTTTTTTTTAATACAATCTAGTTGGGACACGCGTGTCAAAAAATTAATTTTACGTGAAAAAATATAGTGCAATATTGGCGGCGCGAGATGCGATTTTGTTGGTAGTCCCCTCCTTTCCACTTGTTTTCTCTCTCGGCATTTCGGGCGCGCGGAGGAGAGGTGGGTCGGCTTGGACGCACGTTGAGGTGGAGAGAGTGTATGACCATTCCGTGACGTCATGAACTTTGCGCGCAGAATTTAAACTAAATCCCGCGCTGTCAATATTGCTCTAAAATTTATTTTTTCGCGTAAAAATACACACCAATCTCTTGCTGAAAAAAACAAAAAAAACACGGAAAGGGATTTTTGTATCGAATTCAACGATTAGCAAAGAGCACCTGGTGGATGTCGCTAACGCCTCGTTTGTAATGCCCGTCTAGAAACTTTGACAGGTAGTGAGGATAACTGTCTCGCCTCCGGCCACCACGAAAGAAGAGCTGAAGGAGGAACTCCCTTCTCCCCGACACTCTTTTTTGTGTGTTCCAGACGTCGCTATTGTCTCTCTACAAAAGCAGCTTTCCGGTTAGTTGCGGTGGCCCCATCGCTGGCGTGTTTCGGCCGCTTGAGTGGCTGGAACGGCTAGGCCATCCTCTGGACGTCAGCCTCGTTGCAGCTTTGCTCGTCCCGAGACAATCTACGTCACGATTGCAGCGGATGTCACGTGCTCTCCACTGGCTGCCTTCCGAGCGCTTGCCACAGTGGGCCGTTTATAAGGAAAAATACAGCCAACAGGCTCAAAATACAAACGTGCGATTGTTATTTACGGGTGTTGTGGATCGTATTCAGCCTATTTCTAAACACGACGAGTATATTTCAAATTTTGTTGAATTATCCCTTTAAGATCGATGGTGCTGCTGATAGATCGCGTTATATCCGTGACGTGATAATAATAATCACAATGATAATAATATTATTATTATTATTATTATCACTTATTTTGTTTCAGGAGAGCTGCGGCGCTGCGCAAAAAGACAAGTGGTCCATACCATATATGAAGGCCTGCGGCGCCGGATCTAACGATGACGTGATGCAACAGTAAAACAATCCCACATAAGAAAAAAAAAAGAAGACTATTGTACCCACCATCCCGTTTTTGAAGCGGTTCGCACCAGTCCTTGACCTGCTTGTAGCCGGGCATGCAGACGCATTTGTTGCCGTTGCACATGAGCAGCGAGCTGCATTCGATGTCGTTGGAACACGCCTCCCCCAGCAGCAGGCCTGCGCTCACGCGCGGGAGAGAGAAAGGGCACTTTCAATAAACGCGCAACACTGTGTAAAAAACGTTTTTACAGCAGAGCTGTTAAGGACTAGTTTCCCCAGTATCGTGTCCGCCAGCAGACAAATGTCGACACAACACTCTGGACAGCTACCGCCATCTATGAACGACGGTGGCAACCTTTCCAGCCTTTCCACTCTGGCTTGCCGACTTGTGGCTGGCCATTGCTTGCTTTGCTGGTTTTCCTTTTTAAAAAGTTTTTTTTTTTTTTTTTTTTTTTTTTTTTTTTTGTATGACGGTTTTGTCACGTTTGTCACACTAGAAGTGCCGGCAGACATGTTCGAATTAGGCCTTCGAACGTCCTTGAAGCGCGTCCGTAGGTAATATAGACTTTTAGGGAACCGTTCTTGTAGTCCCGATACGGATACGGTGGGCCCTCCGGTACAAACTGCGCATGTGCTACCGCAAAAGTCTCGCGCATGCGCAGTTCGTACCGGAGGGCCAATCGCAGCGTATCGGATGTGCAAAAACGGTTCCCTAAAACTCTCTAGTTATGACGTCATCTGCAGTGAACACCGTACTTTTTTTTTCTTTTCGCATGATGTGAACAATGGGATAGCGCCTTCAAAGAACACGACTTAAATCTAGACAGCGTGATACTTTTTCTTAATGCGTTCACTGGGGTCATTTCACACCGAAGTGGACGCGGCCATTTTTATGCTCAGGATATGTATGGGGAAAAAATATATTAAAAAAGGAGGGAAAGAAAACACCGAAAAATCTTTTGCATATTACGGAAATTTATGTAGGCGATTAATTACTTAATAATATGGCCTACGAAAAAACGCGATCAGATAATGACGCAAATAATCCCTGGAGAAGGGGAACAAGAGGGACAGAGGACAAACACAAATCTCCAAACACAGCTAGTGACTGGTGAGCTACCGAAAAAATCCGCCTGGTCCGGGCATCGAACCCGGGGCCTCTCCATTTCCAGTGGAGCGCTCCACCTATAATGCGCTCCGCCTGTAATGGAGAGGTTCCGGGTTCGATACCCGGACAGGGGGATTTTTTCGGTCACTCACCAGTCACTAGCTGTGTTTGGAGATTTGTGTTTGTCCTCTGTCCCTCTTGTTCCCCTTCTCCAGGGATTATTTTCGTCATTCTTGTCCAGCTCGCTTCCAACTTTGCATTTAATTGCATTACAAATAATCCCATCTTTTCTTTTTTCGGCTCCGATCGGAGCAGAGAGGTGGAAAAACATAAAGGCAAAATTAAAACAAAACTGCGGAACATTTTTTTTTTTTTTTTTTTTTTTTTACATTTGTAAAGCATGTGGATCAATTCCAGGATCCTAGAAAAACAAATTCAAAATTCTACGTAGTGCACAATTTTAATCCTATAACACGAGGCTAGGTGGCAGGAGCTATCGCCCGTTCTAAAAGGTACAGCCGTTAGCATTACGCCTCTGGTTAGCATCTATCAGCGTCCATTCGTTCATCGCTTTAGTACTTTAGTATGGTGCCTGGTGCCTGGAACGCGTCTCCGACTGGTGTGAATTACCGCGTCCAAAAAGGTGATCCCTCGATCTCCGCCTGGTGACGTCATGATGTCGCTGGTCGCGGCACTGACGCAGAAGTTGGGATGCCGGGAAGACGGCGGCACTCACGTCTGCTCGCGCTTTTTGCCGTAACTTCTACGACGTACCACCAGGATCGCCCCATTCCGACGGCATGACACTCCGGGCTTTTGTGACGTCATTTGTTGCCACTTCGGGTCTGCTTTCAATGCACGGGGCGGAACGTACAGGACGCTAAATACACTGGTCGGAGACCCGCCCCATTCACCGTAGCTTTAGGTTAAGAATAAGGGCGCAGATGCACGTACGTGGCACGCAGGCGATCTTCTTCCAGTCGTAGTAGTGCCCCTTGATGCAGAGGCAGCCATTGTAGGCACAGTGGCTCCCCGGGAACAGGCTCCGGCACTGGGCGCTCGTGTTGCACGTGAATCCGACCGGCCAGTTTTCAACTGCGGGCATCGCCAAAGAAAAGAGACAAACGAACCTATTCGTGGCGAGAAGCTCGCTTAGGTGGCGCTTCTGTTTTCCTTTTTACGGATAGTGCACGTGCTACCCACGCGATTATGTTTTCATTTTCATAGGGAATAGGAGCTTGGCATTGCACGTGCCTGCACCAGCGGAGGACATTGAAGTATCCTCACTCTGGGTTGCGAAAAAATTCCACCAGGCGGCGATACCCAAACTTCTCCCGCTCTCTGCGCAGCGAAAGTTCGTCTGCTTCTGTTGCAGGGGTTGTGGTGACGTCAGAAAGACGCCGAGCTCTGATTGGCTCCGACTAGGAGAATAGTGGGTAGACCTCAAAGCAAGCTGCCTTGAGGTTTACCTACTATCCTTCAATCGGAGACAATTTGAGCCCGCCGCGTTTTGACGTCGTCACCACAGCCCCTGCAAAAAAAAAGCAGACGAATTTTGGCTTCGCACAGACAACATTTTCGGAATCAAATTTGGCAAATACGTGCATTTTTGTATCGTCATTATGGACACCTCACATTGCGAACGCTTTTGAAGGGAACGCAGGTGTCCATATTAACGAGACATCGCTGCATTAAATCTAAGCAATGAAAAAAAGAAAAAAAAAAAAAAAAAGGAACAACACACTATAAGGATCCCGTCACAAGATGAGATGTGATGTCTCGTCTGATTCATCGACCTATAAGCCTTCGCTGACAGCAAGTAGGCAGCCTTTGCAGCAATGTTTCAAAATTTAAGATCGGCAAGAAAATAAACAAAAACAACGTCACAACCCCAATACCGAGGAATCCAACAATATGGTAGCCCGGCGCCCGTCTGCGACATCCATCAAAAAAGTGGTCCCAAATGGCAGCAAATGACGTCACTAAAGCCGAAGTGTCACGCTGTCGGACGTCGCGATCCTGGCGGTTGGTCGCAGAAATGCTGGCGAAAACACACGAGCGAACGCGAGTGTCGCTGTCGTCGCGGCGTTTCAACTTCTGGGTGCCGGAACTACCGTGGACTGTCACACTGGAGGACGACTTGCAACGCGTCAGGCGTCCGTCACATTCACCACCGCTGTTGCGACGCCGCCAGGATCGCCACCGACGACAACGTGACGCTTTAGTGACGTCATCAGGCAGAAATAGAGGGACCACTTTTTTTTTGGACGCCGCAAAGTTCTACTTCTAGACACCAATCCAATTAGAACAAAAAATGTATCGGGTGTAAGAATTCTTGTTTGATAAAATGTTTTAGTTACGAACGACACAATAACACAACCGAAACTTGCACTGTTTTTGTTTGTTTAATTATCAGCAAGATTTCTGGCAAGACTGACTTCATACAGTGAATTGCGTTTTATATATCAGTTAATAAAAAAAAAAGCGAAGGTTTAGTTTTTACTTTACTAACAACCAACCAGAATCTCGTGCGTGTGCAGAAAGTCTGCGAATCTGAAACTTTCCGGCAGAGTATATTTGGAATAGCAATTCGTTCCTCTAATGATCGGTTGACTGAAAGTGCCGACTCACAGATCAAGTCCGCGTCAGAGGCACCCGTGAAGACGACCAGAACCAGGAAGCCTCCGAGCAGCGTCTGCATGCCGTTGATCTCCGGAACATGTGAGCAAGCAGAGACGTTAACAACTGTGCCGTGAAAGTACATCTTAACGATTTGGTTTCGCGACACATTTTCTCCACACACAACAAGGCAAATGACGTAAAAAAAAGTCTGATGCACAGGCTTTGCTATTTAAGTGGTTGGTAAGACTACATAAAACATACACAAGACTCGTCACTGTCGCTTGTACTTTTTGTCCTAAAAAATTCCGCTATTCCGGGTAATTTTTTTTTTCTTCATAAAACTAACACAGCGCTCGGGTATTTTTGGGTTGACCGATTAACAGCAGCTGGAACGTTCAGGTCGTAAATTGATATTTATTTTGTAAGAAACGTATTCAGCTCTGTACAGGCATTATCGTAATTATTACAGTCATTCTCGTTTCCCAATATCGTTGATGAAAATGATCGGCAGGCTTCGCATCACCGGTTTTTCTGAATTGCTTTGTTCATCGAGTTGTCTAAAATAAACATAGCATGTCAAGTATTAATTCCTAATTAATTAACCTTCCGTTAACCAATTAGAAAAATTAACAATTAACGATTACGTTTTCCTGTCAACCGTTCCTGAACAATGGTTTTCCCCGCAAGAAGAGTTATATTGCGGTGAAGCCAGCTTGCAAGCTCAAACAAAAACTCCATGCGTGGCTACAAACGTGTTCGCTATTCTCTCTGAAATTACACGATTACAGAAACATTTTTTTTTATAAAGACACGTTTAATAATAATAATAATAATAATAATAATAATAATAATAATAATAATAATAATAACAGTCTATAAAATCTAAATTTGGGCGAGAACACTAACACTGCAGAAAGCTGTCTTTCACCAGACATGGGAAACAAATCACGAATGCACTGCTTCTTATAGTTACTTTTTTAAATGTTCATTTAACATTAACGTCTATATTTTAAAACTCTTAACTTGTACCTGTCCCAAAATAAATTAAAAATAACGAAAAGAAATAGAAACACGGTTGAGTGTTTTTTACGTTTTTGCAACATGAAACCGAGGAAGTCGTAGATTCGCTTCTTGTCGAATTAACAGTAGTCTTTGGAACATCGCTGTTGACCCGATCGAAAGAAAATCGCACGAAAACCGTTGAAACACACACCTTTAAACGACGCTATGCCGTTGAAAGGGTCCAAACTCGACGGAAGCGGAGAGCATGACGCAGTCCTTCACGGTGAACGGCCATCCTCGTTAACGGGAGACCAATTCGTCCCCTGGAACCAAGTCCGTCTTCCCTCGGAAAGCCCCCCTAAAGAATATCGATTTCATCTCCAAGCTATCCCTGGAGTCACTAGAAAGTGGCGCTCAGAGTATTGACACATTTCCCTCTGATTGTTCGACGCCGCCTCGACGGCCATTCGTTCGTTGGTGTCACGTGACATTTGCTTAGCTTCCGGCGGTTCGTGGGCGCCGCCATCTTGCTGCACCGCACGGACACCGTCTGCAAGAGCGATGGTTCTGAAATGAGACTCATCGAGCGAACACTAAAGAGTCGCTCTAGTGTCGTAGAGCTTAGTCAATTTAAGGTACCAGCTGATTGCGAGGATATATCAGGTTCGTTTCACACGCACTGGCACCGCGCGAGTTCTTTCCCAAGATGTATTGTACCCACGGAGCGCCGCACGGAGAACCGGACCCAAACGAACTTGCCGAGTGCAAACTGATGCTGTCGCCATCTATGTTGTAGCAAGAGTACCGACCTCAAACCAAAACTAGTGGTCGCTACAATGTTCTTATTTGCGAATACTTTAACCGCTTAATTGACGCGGTCACATACAGCTGGGTCAGCTTTTATTCTTAAAATGCGGTGAGATCGAGAGCATTTTTGAACAAAAAAAGCTTGAGGTACACATAAGCAGTTCTTATGAGTTGTGAATGCGAAAGCATGCAAGCCGCTCGTCCGCTCCCTTTGTCGTCTGCCTAGTACTTTTCGTCACCGGTCAGCGCGCGTTCTCCCCTGGTGACCTTGGACGCTCCGTGTTAACGGCGCGCTGATGGACACGCAGCGCCATGTCATCAGCGCGCCGTTGGGAGCCCCGTCGACGCGCGCCAGCCAATGGAACCGAAAGCGATCGCGGAAACTAGGTGCCGTTTTCGTGCTTCAAACTGATGACGTCAGCTCGCTCCATGGGACAGTGTCATGCTTTAACATTAAAAAACGGAAATGCAAAATAACTGGTGTAGGTAAATAACTGGTGTAGGTGTAGGCGAGAATGGGACGCTAGCGGTTGTGATATAGAACGCGAAAGTTTGAGAACATGACGTTACCTGGATCAAAACATAATTGAGAAAAACGAAATTTCGATCCCCATGAGCTGACGTCCACCTGAGCCTAATATCATCGAAACAAAAGAAATGACGTTGTGGGCCCCTCTAGCATCTATTTCAGCGAAAAAAAACTTGTCTGCAAAAAAGAAAACAACATCCTCTTTCTTGCTGATATGTGTTTTTCACTGATATAAATCCCACAAGCTTCCATGATGTCAGTTCTTGTTCTGAAGATATTAGGCTTAGGTGGACATCGGCTCGTAGAAAAATTTTGTTCTTCTTCCTCATGTATCTTTTAATACAGATAACGTCATGTTCTCAATCGTGTTATATTCCAACCGCTAGCGTCACAATCTTACGGAGTCTGAACTTCCTGTGCCGCTTAGTTTATTTACCTGGGCCGGAGAACACGGTTCTCCTTTTCTCAAGAACTCCCGATTCCTGTCCATCGCGTGTTTACGTGGCTTGTGGTTCTACTTGAGGCCATCTATGGATCCTGCCCTCATCTTCTCCCATCTGTCTCTTTCCGCTCAATTTTCTCCTTTTTTTTCTTGCCTTCTCTCGTGAGCTTCACTTCTTAAAAGAAAGTTTATAACGCAAAAAATAAACTCCTAAAATTTTTTTAACTTGGAATAGAAAGCTGGCGTTTTTTTTTGTTGTTTTTTTTGTACTACGTTACGGTATACTGGGCCAATGGGCACGCTAAAATTTCAAATGTTAACCCATCTTAATGCAAAATAAAAGTAAAAAGTGTATTTTTTTTATTTTTTTTTTTACCGCAAAAATAAATTATATTTATTGCCGAACTTTCATTTTCCGTTCAAAGGTAGCGCTAGGTTCGAACCAGATGCCAAAGTTTCAACACGAACCGATATTTTATTCAAAAGTTATAAACGATTTTCTGAAAATGTCAGCAAGAAAATGGGGCCCATTTTCACCCATTTTCGGTTTCTGGCTTCATAAAACTCAATGTATTAAAAAAAAAAAATCATGTATTTGTTTTTTTAATTCGAGATGATTTATGCTTAATTCGCCCTTATCGTACAGTTCTTTGAAAAATATCTGTTTTTCTTTGTTAATGAGTTGATGAATATGATTTTTACGGTCCGTTCGGCACCGCAAACTTTCTTGTCAATCAAGCCGCGAGAAACAAAAAGTGATCGAATAGAAGAAAAGAGAAAAGAAAGAACGAAGGGGTCCTAATCAATTTATTTTTTTTTTTCTACCGGAAACTATACTGAGGTAAGTTGTCACGAAAAAGTAATTTAATTACACCTACATGTACTCGGTTAGCATATCAACAACAAATAAAATTGCTGCACACAGAATTCAATTTATTGCAATTCAAATTTTTCACTTGCAAACGAAATGCATTACCATTATGCATTACCTTTACAAAGTAATGCAAACCTTGAAATTACGTGTTTTTTTTTTAATTTTTTTTAGAGTTACCCGACTTTAGTAATGTGATAACATATACTTTCGCACTGAAACGCGGTTGTACATTTCTTGCATCGACGATGAGGATTACCCCCTCCTATCGTGCGGCGGAACGTCACACCAAAACAGCTGCGTTCGGTTGCTGACACTCTCCAATGCCTTGCTACAGAGGCTACAGAGCGACCCACAACTTAAATAAGCAAAGGTCATGAAGGGTTCCCATTGAACTAATAAAATTACAACAACAATTTGTCAGAAGAAAAATACATTCCAAATAGATATTTAAAGAAATCTAATTAAATTACTGTAATTCAATTATTCTGGTTCGATCACTACCCGAGTTAAGCGAGTCATACGTGATTATAAATTAATATGCATTTTAGGGTTGTGGGATTACTAATCTATTCAGGACCTTCGCTTGCTTTGAGCGTAGGTAGGAGGCATGCGAAGTTTGTAGTCTCTTCAGAGTATGCTAACTTCAAAATGTATTACATAATCAACTATGCGTACTCTTAAAAAAAAAAAAGTTTTTACACGCATACGAGATGGCGCAACGTACACTCCAAACTAGACAGAAGTACAGGGACTGCCAGATTGCCGGAAGCGTCGGAAAGACCTTGGCATATCTCGTGCATAAAGGAAGTAGAGTCACGTGGGGTCGGGTTCGTTGCGTTCGTTGTGCAACGAGCAGAGGAACGACACTTTTCGAATCCAGTTTCGTTATTGTTTTCAAGGTTCGATCGATTCAGAACTTTTCCAAACTGAAACCGACATAGCCAGCTTTTTTTTCTACAAATTTCTTTATTTGGTAAAACGCTGTAGACAAGTACTCTTGCGCATTACAACGCTTTTCCCGAACCGTGCCAAGGTCGAAACTCGGCGAACCTGAACTTCCGGCGGTTCGCCACGCATCGCCCAGTTTTAAAGACTAGCCGACTGGCTGTGGGTTGTGCCAGGGCTGTGCTGTGCTGTGCAGCTGCGCTTGTGGGTTGCTGCGCTTTTGCTCGCGAAGGGATCCGCACCAGAAGCTATTTCATGCTGGCTCCCTTCCGTGGTTCGCATGTTTGGACGAGAATGCGTGACTGTTTGCCCCATCGTCGAGTGGTGTGTGTGGTGCGACCGTGCGCGCGGTGAACGATGTTTAGGCAGAAACAACACGTCGACGTGAAAAAGTCGGCCCAAAAAGTGCTCGAAGGCAAGAGGGACTCCGTGAGCCGCTTGAAACATCTCCGTGTCTATCTGGGTATGTCGGCCCCTCACTTTTTGCTTTAACCCATAATTTAATCCGTCTTTACATAAGCCCTTGTCACGCTATCATAACGGATCTTATGCACACACTTTGGATTACGATCACGGCCGCGTTTGCTTTAGAAAAAAAAAAAAAAAAAAAAAAAAAAAAAAACACGCTTGGGAACCGAGTTGTCCGCGTGAACTGCGGTGTTGCTTAGGCCTACTGCTGTCAAGCGATCGCAGGGTGGTGTGACCTTAATTTTTCAGTATGTCACGACAGAATTCCCGAGTTAAGATTGCCACATTTCGGCAGCTGGACGATGCCGCGTTTTATGGGGAGCTTCGATGTCGCGACCGCCTTTTTTTCTTGTTATCGTTTTCGCGTAGTGGGCGGATTCCGACCCAAGTCCCCAAGTTCTTTAACACGCGCACACATACTCTTTTCGCGTCTGACTGCGTGCGGACCACGAAGTCGAAAATTTAGAATTGCCGATCGTGAGCGGTATCTTCGTTTGGTTTCACTCGAGTTGTCGTGTTGCAGGGAGGCAGCCGATGTGTTGATTTCGGTCTGAGGACGATGCTGACCATCGGCCAGTTTTTGCGTGAATCGGGACGTTTTTTTATCTTTACTCATTCGCCGAAAATTTCTGGTTGGGAGTTTGTGTTTCTATATTTCTTTTTTCAAGAGTCCACGGTCGTGATTTGTCGTGTTTTATTTTTTTGTTGTTGTTTTTCGTCCACAACTTTTGCATGTATAGTTTGTCTGCTTATAATTCACGGTCGTGAACTCGCAATTTGCCTGCTCCGTGCGCCGTAGAAAATCGGTTTCCAGGACGTTAAATGCGTGTCGACAAAAGTAAAAAAGAAAAAGGTAAAGCAAAGAAAGAAAGAAAATAAAAGGCTTGCTCGGAAATTCCTGTCTGAAATATAAGACTTCGGTCAACACGACGTTCTAGTCAGACCTTGAAGGCGCTTGGGCAAGGTGTGAGGTTCTAAATTCAATACAGGTTTTCTTGCAGATTTTTTTTTTCTTCTTTCAGTGATAGCAGGACACGTCGTAACTTCGAGCTCTACCTACGTGCAAAACATATAGATAAAACGAGTTTATGCTAGTCAGGCGATCAGTTGTTCGAAGTCCCTTTACATAGACATTACCTTAACCCAGCTGTTTTGATAGCATGCTGGGGCATCGGGGTATGGTACATTGTGCCCGTGGCTGATTTGCGTAATGGAGCAATCTATTTACCGTTCCCGGTCGATATTATGTAATGCCATGCAGAGCAACTGTGCATTAATGCTGTAATGGACGCCTTGCCTTTCCTGTGATCCAACATACTCGTTTGTTCATAGGGTTTTTTTCCAATGACACTTCTAACCTTGCACAAGCAATTCATTAGTGTGACATCACTAGATCATGCAGTCACGGTGTCAACTTTTGCAACTGCGTACAGGAACTGAAGTAAACAACTAGTTTCACACATTAACTGTTTATTTAGCGACAATCCCTAATGTTCTGAAATATTTACTGTAAAATGCTTTAATGTTAAATATAATATTTTACTGTTAAATGCTTTACTCTTAAAACTGTCTCTTGACTACAAGTTCTGCTGAAAGCATTTCATAAAATATGACGTACCATTGCTCCTTTTGACCTGATTATTGACATGGTCACTTGCATTATAACCTTGTTGATGCAGGCACAGTGCACTGCAATATGAAAGGCCCACTGGGAGCGCATGGCCGACACGGTGGCTGGCGGGGGCGCTGCGAGCGGTCCGGGCAATTCAATTCTGCTTCGAGGGGAGGACGCTCACTAGGGGCTCAGTACAAACTGATAAGCGCGTTGCGCCTTAGCTGCGCCCAAAGGAGTGTCCTCCCCTTGAAGCAGAATGGAATTGCCCGGAGCACTCGCAGCACTCCCGCCAGCCACTGCGTAGGCCACGCGCTCCCAGTGGGTCTTTCTCCCAGTGGGTCTTTCATATTGCAGCGCACTGTACATCTTCAAAACATACCAGCATAATCGAATTGCAATGCTCGGTTTATGTCGGTATATCTTGAAAATAAATGTCACTGCAGAAAAAGCGGTCTTTAATAAACTATGCGCGATTCCTCACACGCCTACCATATACGAAAAGTCGTTTGGAAGTGACTTCTCACTATTGATGGCGTGAACAATTCGTGTATTCTTTGCCTGAAATACGTAGCACTAGAGCTGCTAAATATGCTACGCTTTCGAGTTACAACACTCCAGTCATCTTGGTGCTTAAAATCATGGTTGCCAGTTATCTGAAGCTTTATATGAAATAGCAGGAAATGCTTTTCCATCCTCCAGACATGTAAAAACAGTTCGCAACAAAGCAAAATGACATCACCTGAGCTTCCTAACACCACACCTAAAGCCGAGAAAGTCACATTTTTAAAATTTTGACAATCGACAGTTGCGTCTGCTCTGCACTAAGCACCAAGATGGCGGCACCCACTAGCAGATCGAGGAGCGGAGTGCCGACACTCCAGGCGTAGCTCATTTAGTGGCTCTACGTCGCACCATAGAGAGCTTCATGGACACTTCTTCCACATGTACTACTTTTATCACTTTATTTACTGAGTAAACAATGTTGCTAAGCCAAACAAAGTCTTGCTGCTAGCTTGATAATGGATATCTTTGTTCGGTTGTGCTGTGGGGAGCAAATGAACACAGATGGATGACAATATACAGACTTATAGATAGCATAGGGTTTGTTCGGTTATGTAAGACCATGAGGCAATCTGAATAGCTGGTTATAGATTGCTTCCCCAGGTACATGTTTGCATCTCTTCGCTGCATGTTTGCATTACCCTATTTTTCGGTCTATAAGTTGCACCCATATATTTTGTACGGTCGGTGAGACAGCATTGAAAAGCCTGCATGTGTGTATTGTGGTTGCAGTATACAGACAATTAAAATTTGCTCTCGCTTGTCTGTATTCTGCAAACACCAAACACACAAGCGAGAGCAAATTTTAATATTCTCGTCATTGAATCAAATGAGAAATATAACCGCAGCGGAAAATTTCTACAGTTAAGGTTCAAACCTATAGGGGGAAAAAATGCACGCAAGTCGGTGCAATTGTATAAAATGCATCGACATAAATTTTGAAAACAAGAAAATGGGACTTATACAGCAGAAAATAAGGTAATTGGATCTGGGGAGGGTGGAGGCAAAAATAATTGTTTTCATCTTAATTGTTTTGTGAGTTTACAGTGTTGGTACACCAAAGAAAGGGCAAATCAATAATAAAATTGTGCCGAAAGAAAGATGTACTAATACTGCAGCATTGCCGACACAAAATTGTATTGGTGTGGTATACACCAACTCAACTCTCCTACGTCACGCCGCGGTGGTGGCGCGCCGGACGCACTTCCGGTCTGTGGCGGTGGGCAGAAGTCGCCGTGCCAGACATGCATTCCTGTGTTCCCTTGGAAGAAACGAGACAAAAAACCTGCTTTCTCGTCAAAATGGTGCGACGGGGGTTGTACCAAGAGAGTCTGGAAAGGTTTGAGGATCAGTTTTCACGTGTTTTTGCCCCCTCCGTTCGTCCGAGAACGTGGATAGTAGCCGCGAAAAAAGCAAACCAGACGCTGTCGAGCTACGATTGCGTGCGCGGGCAACACTTTGTGGTCGCCAGATGTATTTGCTTTGTTCCAACATAAACGAGAGAAAACCGCCAAGTTGTCCGAACCACCCACGGGTTCAGTGCGTCTTCAAATTCACACGGCCGCCTGATCGTTCGAACTTTCGTCTGCTCTTTCAAACGTCTGCTTTTTGTCGTCTGCTCGTTCAAACAAAAGCGGCCCGTAGACCAAACTTGGACCTGGTGAATGCAATAAGAAGTAATTGCAGACCTCAAAAGACTTAAGTAGGCTCGGTGTAAAAGTAGATACAAGCTGTTGATCATTGGTACCGGTGGTCATCACCGACCTGTTACGCTTGGTCTGTTCCCGCTTCCGATTTTTAGTATCGACGTCGATCATCGCCGCTACCTTCTACACTTTTGCAACATGAGCGACGTCGCTACCGAAAATAGTTGGAAGAATCTCATCATGGTTTTGGCGTCCATTCTGCGGCGTTCATGCGAATGAATCGCCGCACGTCAAATTATTTAGGGAAAGTTTAGCGGCGTAACGAGCCTTGATAATTTCGCTTAAGCGATTAAAGTGGTAAGACATTGCGATGAGGACGTAGAATCGACAATTCCAACGCGAAAAAGAGTAGGCAGACTCACACAGACGCCGACAACGTGACATTCGAGTGGTTTGTTGACGCGGGACGGCGGTGCTTCTTGCCCGTACCCCATTACGCATGCGTTCGAACTGTCGTCTGCTCTTTCAAACTTGGCTGCTTTTTGTCGTCAGCTCGTTCAAACGACAACGGCCCGGAAACCAAAATGTTGACCCGGTAATTGCGATAAGAACTAAGTGCAGGCCTCAAAACACTTTTGAAGGATGGTTGGGGTAAGTAGGCTAAGTGTAAACAGATACAAGAAGATGTTTATCATTATTGTTACCAGTGGCCATCACCGACTTGTAATGCCCGATTCTACTTGCGGTTTTCAGTATCGTCGTCCACCATCTCAGCTACGGTCCACGCTTTTGCAGTCCGAGCAACGTCGCGTCTGAGAACAGCGAGCAGAATCTCATCGTGGGAGTCAGGCTTTAGCGCCCATTCTGCGGCGTCCACGTGAAATGAATCGGCGCACGTCACATCATTCACGCAAAGTTTTGCCTCGTTAGTTTTGCTGAAGCCGCTCAAGTAGTCAGACATTGTTAGGAGGACGTAGCATCAACAATTCCAACGCGAAAAAGAGCACGGGGACTCCCACCGACGCCGACAACAACGCAATTCAATGGTTTGTTTATGGGCGACGGCGGACTTCTTGCCCACCATCCACCGCGCATGCGCGGCGCCGGTGGCGTCCGCTAGGGGCGCTCCGGTTTGTTTGTAAACATGAGTTGGTGTATAGAAGGGGTCTTTCACGAGGCATTTGTGCATGCCCCAATGTTTTCAAAACACGCAGAAGAAGCCAACAAGATAAAAAAAAATCTTTGCAACTCGGTCTCAAGTTACTAGGCTATTTTTTAGTGACTTCTCTTGTCTCGACTCGCTTTTCAGACAATGTGGACACAGCAGAAGCCAAGCTTTTCTTCGAGCTCAACTATAGCCATATTTATTGTGCATTCCATGACGTCTTCACCTGCGTGGAGGGATCCCTCAAGCAGAGGGGTAGGTATTTGTTTTGTTCCTCTAGACACTGTGGGAGGAGAGCACAGTAACTTTATGTGCGGAAGCCATGTTTAGGCATGACTAGCATAGAAAAACTGCAGCCTTCATGCTGAATTGCTTTGTGTTCTCCTTGGTAGCTTTAACTTGAGCATTAGGCTCATTTGATTTACCTGCCCTTCCTGCACCAGTGCAGAAAAGTGTAGGGCAGTGCACTTCCGGTCGTATCGCAATACACACACTGGAGGGACACTGCCATACACTTTTCTGCACCGGTGCAAGAGATGCAAGTAAATCGAACGAGTCTATTGTAAAGTTTGGTTTAGCTTGGGTTTGGGGCCATTTTGTTTGTCATATTTAAGCTCTTGAGTGATTGGCAAGACTTTTTGCAGCTGTTTGTTAAAACCAGGTATTATGGGAACTTTTTTTTATTGACAGGCATCCTCTACTGAAATAGCGAAACAGTGTTAAAATTTGACATAGTACAGTGAAAAACTTTCCTAAAAAGAACTGATATTTCCGTAGGAAAATTCTGCTATTTATTTTAGACTGAATGAACTGTAACAGGTCCTTTGTTTTTATGCACTTACGAAGCTGTTCCTTATAAACTTACTGCGCTCGCTTTCCTGAGAATTTGTTTCCTAGAACCATAAAATTTATGCGGCGAGAAAAAAAAAGTATGCAAAATGGTCCTTATTTTTCCACTATTTGTCAAAGGCAAATCTCTGCCTATAGACCTTACTCCCGAACATCTGTTCTTTCTGCCTTTTCATTTGTCATTTTTTCCTTCCCTCAGTGCACAAGGCTCAGAAAGAAGAGCTAGATAATGTCAAGTACATTTTCGAGGTGAGTGGTCGTGGCATCTTGTCGTCGTCTCGAAGCGAATTCCGTAATCGTGCTCATTATTTTTTTTCCCCGCTCTTCCGCAGCGGATTCTTGTGCTGCTGCCAGAGCTGCTGGCTCGGCGATGGCAGTGGCACAGCGTTCGCATCATCCTCTGCAAGTTCCTCCATCCCGCAAATTCTGCCAAGGTGGGAAGCACTAAACTCTGTTGCATCAACCTTCTTGTTTTGTTACTTTTCTTGTCAATAAGTTTTTCGTACAAAAAATTGCTACAGGATGCAAACAACATATTACCAATGGACTACTTCCAAAACCGACGCGCCCCATCGCGGCGAAATACCACGCAATGCACTCTGGGAACTAGTTGGCCACTCAGTTTCGGTTTCGACTGAGCAGCTTCATCTCATGCTATCACGCCGCGACCGAACGCGCTGCTTGCGTTTTCGGTTATCTGACTTTTCACGAACGTACAATACACTTACTCTCGAGCGATACGAAACGAAGACCGGGGCACTTTCCTTGGTTCCCGAAACACCGGATATTGTGCGTGCGTATGCGAACGTAGTAAGTCGTGGCTTAGTCACCTCACCCCTCGAGTGCATGTTTGAGCTCAATTTCAATAATCCCGTCTCGTACCAGTGAACTAGAACTGAAATTTGTTCATATGGAGCCTTACACGTATTTCGTTTGCCAAACGTCCGCTTCTTGTTACTTCATTGGGCGAAAAGCAAGCCGCATCCTCACAGGGTATCAAAGTTAAGCCCAGCGTTTACGCATGAACTTTTAGGGAAATGCAATAAATTCGACCTCACTACTGCACTAAAGTTACTATGATGTCTTCCTCCTGTCATCATATATCTCCCACTCGAATTTTATGCTGATAGAGGATTAACTTTTCGCAAACGCTGAGATCGGCTAGCTACGACGGAGGCCCTAAAAGCGTCCCCTACTCGTCGCTAAGCCTTTTTGCACGAGCTTTTACTGACGCCCAAGATCTGTGCCTGAACGGTGTGTCTGAAATTATCTCGGCATACTCAGGCAGGAAGAAAACAAACACATAACAAATATTATGGCCATTAGCAACCGTCAAATGCGCTTTGAATTCGTTCGAGCACTTGTGTGAAGAATGTCGCACCGTGCGCCGGACGGGCGTGAACCCCTATGCGGTGCGCATAGGGGTTCATGCCCGTCCGGCGCACTTCCGGCGAACGGTGCGACATTCTTCACACAAGTGCTCGACTTTTGCTTTCTTAAAACGGTCTGTATGTGCGAACGTGCCTATATGATTGCAGGAACTCTGTGCGCATACGCGATGTTGAATATTAGTGGAAAGCAAGCGGGTGGGGAGTTCACTTCGTGCAGTGCTGCGGGTCAGTACAGATAAGAGATAAGAAGAGCTTTTCAATGGCGCCTCCGAGGTTTACCTCGCATACTCAGGCATATTAAGAAAAACAGTAATTGCAAAAGGTAATATTTCGTCTATGGACGCACAAAACAAACAAACTTCCTGATCAACAACACTAATGTAAAGGCGCGAGCTCGATGTATGCGTACTAATTGGTTGCTACAGCTTGTTGATTCGTACACAAGCAAGATCCCCGAGCTTCGCAGCGTCGAGATTCCCAGCACTGGCTCGCCCACATACCTCGATTGAAACGCTAACAGGAAGGCTCACGTACAAGAATACAACAAGCATATGTTAAGACGAGCTATACGTCTCAGGCTTGTACTAAAGCTTCGAGGTCTGGCAATTTAGGTTAGTTTAGAGACCTCAAATGACGCTCTCGGGACCAGAAAACGATCTCTTGTCGACGTGTCGATCGAAACCGAAACCATGCCACCCTCCTCCCTGGCCAACTAGTTCCCAGAGTGCAACGCGCGCCGTGTTGCATGCAGGGCTTTATGGAAGTAGTCTATTTCTGGTTCCTTAGCACTGAACTAGTCCAGATTCATTAATGAGGCACATGTAAAGGCGCGTTCACACTCTTGCAGCCGAGTACGACCGAGAAAGACTTCTTGGGACCGGATGCACTGAGCGGAGCTGGTCCTAAGAGATCGCAAGAGGCTTAAAAACCGGTTTGGTCTCTCTCGGTCGCACTCGGTTGCAAGAGTGTGAACGGGCCTTAATAATAAAGCTACAAATCACATATGGAAGCCACTAGCTTATGCAGGCAAAGCTCGAAAGATGAGCAGAGAAAGATTTAACTGTGTACTGTGACTCTGTAATCCCAAAAAGCAGTTTAGGTTGGCTGATAAGGATGCAGCTCACATAAATGTCTGAGAGAAATTTTATGTTAGTAACTCAAGTCATGTGGAGGAGACTGCTTTATTGCTGAAATTAAACTAATTATAATTTTAGTCCCAATAACTTCTACCATTGTGCAGAGGTCAGCATTGTAGGTTGCCCTCACTCACCCTCATCTTTACAATTACACTCACCTTCAGCCCTTCACTCACCCTCACTGAACCTCACGGCCCTCACGCCCCTCACGCACTCACTGCCCCCACGCACTCATAGCCCTCACGGCTCTTATGCACTCATACCCCTCACGCACTCATGGCCCTCATGCCACTCACCGCCCTCACGCCTCTCACTCACTCATGGCCCTCACGTCCCTTACCACCCTCACGCACTCATAGCCCTCACGCACTTATGGCCCTCACGCCCCTCTCACACTCGCGGCCCTCACGCACTCATACCCCTCACGCCCCTCACGCACTCATGGCTCTCAAGCCACTCGGGCCCGCTTCAGATAGGGCAATTTTGCCCAGAAACTTGACGTCGCAACACCAGCAACACGGGCTGCCCGCGTTTACATGCAGCAACCAATTGCTGCAAGTTGCCATCATCATCATGAAATATTATTTTTGTTGGACTATTTAGACACACAATTACGCGCCATAAACGTGTTTTTATGCATTTAAATCTCGTTGAGAATACTAATACATCTTTCTGAAACAGTTGATTTTCAAAAACGATCAATTTCAAACCAGAACCAAGTCTTGTTCTCATCATCACCGGCATGAGGTATCACGTGAAAATATTGCGTCCCTGATTGGATGCAGCCGCTTCAAACGTCTTCGAATTGCTCAGAGTTGCTCGCTTGTTTTGAGTCGGACCCGATCTCAGCAATTCGTGTTGATCTAGGGAAAGCTAGGGAACAACCCACCAGCAACACCAAAATTGCTGAGGAAGTTGCTCCATCTGAAGGGGGCCTCATGCACTCATGGCCCTCACACCCCTCACATACTCACTGCCCTCACACTCCTCACGCACTCATGCCACTCACACATCCACCGCCCTCATGCCCCTCACGCGCTCATGGCCGTCACACCCCTCACGCACTCACCGCCCTCTCGGCCCCCATACCCCTCACACACTCATGGCCCTCACGCCACTCACCGCCCTCACGCCCCTCACACACTTATGTCCCTCACACTCCTCACGTCCCTCACGCACTCACCGCCCTCATGGCCTTCACGCACTCACAGCCCTCACGGCCCTCACTCACACTCACACTCATGAATTTTTCTGGTTCGGAAACTCATTTACCCTCGCCTCACCTGTGAAGATGAGGGTGAGTGAGGGCCCTCGTGAGTGAGGTTTGCCGAGGTATGCTGTTGTTGAGCAGCGTGCGAGATTAAGCTTACTGTAGGCAGGGCCCTTGTAGCATAATCGGTTCTATACAGTATCAGGTTAGAGAGTGGGCTCCTCGGTCATTATGACATTGGCCAATGCACCAATTTTGTACTGGAGCAAGGAAATAATGTGAATGATCTGCAGCACTTCGATACCTTAACCCCTGTAGCCCTAAAAAAAATTGTTTCAATTTTGAGTTGAAAACATGCTTTTCATGTAAGGCTCAATCAAATATTAGCCACTGGAGAAAATCGGCCATCTGCATTAAGTCTTTATTTTTTACTTTTTTTGCTCACGTTCCACCCATCGAAAAGCTTGGCAACAGAGCCCTTCACACGCCCAATCCCTTCATACCGCCGTGTCCTTGTGCATGCTAAAGCTTGTCTGCTATGGCCATCATCATCGTGGCCACAAAGCGTCTGCTGGGAGGTGCACACGCAAACAGAGTCTAAAGCTAGCAACAGCATAGCTTCCAAAACACACCGAGTGCACAGAGATTAATGAAAGGACGTTCACGCTGTCGCGCGACTGATAAAAGGTCATGGGCGAGTAAGCCCTTTGTCACCGTCATCATTGTCACCACGCAGCTGCGTCGGGAAGGGATCCGGCTGTTCCTGCTCTGGTACCAGATCCTGGGGGAAGGAGCGCCCTCGGACGTCCACGCCATGTTCCTCAGCCTGGTGCCGGGGCTGCTGCAGGGCTCTCCAGCGGCATCCCAGGGTTCGGGGCGGACCCCCGAATCTTTCCAGGTGGGTGCACTGTTCAGGTTCCAGCCGTTTAACAGATGTCAAACTCCGAGCAGGTGCCACCTGCTCGGAGTTTGACATCTGTTAAACGGCTGGAACCTCTCGTCTTTGCCATTTCTTCTACATTGCCACGTACGTGACTGAGTTGGCGGTACACGCGGCTCTCGCATTGAATACCCGGGTTAGAATCTTGTTAATTTAGTAGTGTTTTTTTTTGTTCCTCCTTCAGAAAGTTCCGACTCGTTCTCGTCAGTTGTGTGTTCCTCTTTAGAACACTCGTAAACATGAAGGGGGTGTAAAAAACGGCTGTAGTGTGTCGTATTGCCTCGGTCTTAGACTAGCTCTTGATCCTGCTCTTGCGCCACTATCAATGTGCACAGCGGCATTTTTTTTTCACAAGTTGCATTAAATTAGGGGTTGGCAACGGGCAGCCCGCAAGTCAATATTATGTGGTTCCCAGGGGCTTCCAAAAAAGACCCCCCCCCCCCCTTGCCCCTCCTCCAACACACTCGCACAAACAAGCATATATTCACACACATTCTCTCTAGGACTAGTGGCACAGGAAATGGGATCACTTGCGAACCTTGAGCAATCGACGTAGTGCTTTGAAGCGGGAAGCCTCGGGGATAGTTTTCTACGGACATTCACTGTATTATCCGTTATCAATTGGTGTGCATTAAAGTGATAGACCGGGAATTAATAATAAAGATTGTCGATCTTTCATAAATTTCGTCTGGAAACTCAATATGGACCGTTGTGAATTTCAACAGGTTTTGCTATACACAAAGACTTATGCTATGGGATGGGGAATCTGTCTGAGTGACTGGCCAGATTTTAGGAAAAATCTCGTAGTCCACACGATATCGAGCCGCCATTGGGCAGTCCCAAGGGGTTTGGTTTGTCCGGTTCTTTAGACTTTCGAATCAAGTAAAACTGTACGTGTGGCCCTGCAAGAATCACAAAGTCGGAACCTGAACTTCAAGAAACTCACCAAATACATAGTGCAGCACTCGGCGTAACGGTTCACTGTGCGTCACAACTGTTATTTTTGTTAACTACCGTAAAATCTTGCTAAGGACGACCGCCCAAAATGGAAAGATAGATGGTGAAAAACAAGGAGGTTTGGGGGGACTATCTTTAGGGATGCGATGGCAAAACTTTATAAAAAAAGAGTGATAAAACACCGGGCCATCCACTACAAGCCACATGAAACGGGAACTGACACCACTGATCTTGGACGTGGCAAGTTTGCATTTCACGGCGCCATGATTGTGCGGAACTTCGCTACAAACTCCTTTGTCACGGTAAAAGATATTGCGGATTACGGACGCAGCAGATTCAATCTACACGGTGTGAAGGTCATGCGGAAGCCCGCTGCAAACTCTCATTTTATGGGAACTGATACCGTAGATCGTAGACGCAGCAGATTTGCGTTTCACGGTGAAATAAACATGCGGGAACAACTCGTATGTCACGGGAACCGATATCGCATGCTTGTGTCGTGGACAAAAAATGCAAGAACCTGCTACAAGATGGCATGGCGCGGGAACGAATACCGCAGGTCGCAGACGCTGCAGACTCGCTTTTCACGATGCAATAAACAAGCAAGATCAACTGCGTGTCATGGCAACCAATATTGTGTGTGCAAATCGCATACGAAAAAACGCATGAATCTGCTACAAACTCTCCTTTCATACATACCGGTACCGCAGATTGTGCGGTTGACGTGATTCCAGTCAGATTGTGTGATGTCCGAAGGGAATAGGGGGTGGGTGATGTTTCAGAATTTTTATATTATAGATATTTAGTCAGAAAAACGGGATGGGCGATATCTCTGGGGGGAGCATGCCCTTATGGGATATAACAGTACTTTCACCCACCCCCCAATCTACCGTCCGGCCCGCTCCGTCTCCGTTTTGTGGCGATTTGTCCCGCTGGAGCAAACTTTTGCCGACTCCCGCGTTAGACCTTCAGGTTTCTTCGTTTTTTTGCGCTGGAGGCGGGACAACTGGAGCTTCTCTCTGCCATTCTTATTCTGCGAGTTACTATAGATGTTTGCAAGTACAGCCTCTGGCTGCCGCCATCTTGCTGTTGGTACGGGTAGATCATCTGATGTTCGAGCATTTAAGCATTGCTGAGGCGTACCCATAGTTTCCAGACTGGCACCCAAGCAACGCGTTTGCCATCCATGGTGGCCACACTAGCTCTCAAAGTGCAGTTGCTTGGAAACGCCTATAGCTGGTCTAATTTTCATTAGGTGCCAAGAGTGGGAGGGATTCCCCAGCTATCGACTGGGGTAGAGAGGCGCTTCTTGATGAACCCACGGCGTACACAGTACAGCAAAATAAATTTACTATTTATTTTGCTGAAATGAAATCATGGTTTGTCGGAGTCTGGAAAGAAAGGGAGGAAATGGACGTCTCACTTCATTGCTTCCGCACCGGCATGTGTGAAGCTTGTTATGACACGTAGCAACAAGCAGAGGTGACCAAGAGCCAATGCAGGTGCTGCAGAATGAATGCAGAAGTTGGAAGCTTATTGTCTCTTAAATTTTTCTGGCTGTGTACTCTTGCCCCGCTAGGCGACGTTGCATAGATTGCTGTCTATAGTCCTATCAACTTTGCAGCATTTAAACACCGCCTCAAAAAGTACCGCCTTGTTTCAACAAATTTGGTTACAGCAGACGTTCAATTATAACATACCACTGTGTGAAGTTTGGTTGGTCTTTTTATCTATGCCATTGGGCCAACTTCACTTATTACAGATTTTGGTACGACATACCTTCGGACATAGTGGGCTATGTTAGGGAGTTTGTAAGTAGTTTACCATTCCATTATAGCAGACTCTTTGACGGCGGTCATTATTCCGAACATTACGTGGCTTTGGTTCGGTAGTGGTGGCATCCATTTTGTGAGCTTCTGTCATCGCCCTCGCTGCCTCTTGAGCCTCATATGACCTAGAGCATGCAGTGATGACGATCGTCGGTACAGCTCAATAAAAGATCACTACCTTTCAAGGTTCAGAAGTTTCAACGAACCAGTTCTTTTTTAACATTTATTCCCATTTGGTCAGTTCTATCGGTCAGAACAGCCTCCAATCATAATCTGTGTCAAAGTCTGTAGTATGAGTATCTGCGTTCTGCACACTTCCTTTACCTCAGACCAAAATGTTTGTCGCCGTCAAGGTCCGTTATAGCGAGTTCATACCGTAGCTCCGAGGCAACTGTTTCTTGGTAGATAGCACTGGAAAAGTACCATGGACAACGTATCTTCTAAAACGGCCTTTCGCTCGTGGCTCATCCCTCCGTCATTCTCGGGAATGCGTTCTCGTCATCTCTGGCAGGACTCGACATTCTACACGTCGGTGGACCAGGACTCGGGGCCCGTGGTGCCGGGAGACATGGGGCCCCTGCTGCTTCCGCAGAGTGGGGAATCTCAGCCGGAGAACGCCACCGTGACCTACCTCGAGTGCCTGATGGAGTTCATGGTCACACAGGTGAGCGCACGAAAACAAAGAAAGGGGCCTGTCAGGGCGGCAGCGCGGCACTGGCCAGCGCTGGTTCGTGGAATCGCCTTTGCGCGGCAGGACTGGTGAGTCGGGAGAATGTTTTGTGGCAAAACACCTCCGTTTTTCCCGAAAATTGTCCAGAATGTGAGTCGTCCATAACAAGTAGACAGAAACACATGCGTCTACCCGGTTAGTCCCCGAAAGTTTTGTCGATATAACAGGGTATCCATATTAACAGTGTTCATATTAATGCGACATGACTGTATGGGGCTAGGTTTCATGAGAAAAGCTACACGCTTAACTGACACGTAGGTCACGTGTCCTCGCGGCATCGTGTGACCTCATAAAGTCATGTGACCTAGGGACGTCGCATGACGTCGCACAATGTCAGGCACGCACACACACACACACAGCGTGTGCCGAGCTCATTCGCAACACAATCTGTGTGTCTCCAAGTTCATCAGATGCGATCAAGACATGCTTATTTCATAGCCACTTGAAAGCCAGGGACATAATACGGAGCTCTGACGTTCTGATCGAGATGCTGACACGTTCATGCCATCTTGAAGAAGAGATCTTTGGTGCAGGTGCGAAATTTGAGGTCGACAGTAAGGATGTATTGGGCGAGTCTAAACAAAACAATCAGCGAAAGTAAAGGCCTGTTCACACTCTTGCGACCGAGTACGACTGAGAGAGGCGAGATCTCTTACAACTTCTTAAATGTTTCTAGAATGAGGGAACACACTGACATTGTGGCGCCATCTATGCGGTGACCCTAGAACTGCATTTCACAAAAGCGAAGGTTTTGCGGGATTTCCGAGGTCAAATGTGCGTAATACCCATAGAAAGGCTCGTTTATAACATTGACAAAAGTTTTTCGAGCCAAAAAAGAAAGGATATTGCGCGAGAAATAAAAAAAAATATGCCGGACCGCCGAGTTTACACTGCCTCCTAATAGATGGCGCCAGTGTGTTCTCTGGTTTAAGAAGTTTTAAGGAACCCAGGTTTAAGAGGTCGCAAGCAGTCGCAAGAGTGTGAACGGGCCTTAAGAACTCGACGTAGCTGAAAAATAGTGAAAGTAAGAACAGGCACAATCTTGGTGTTTTTCACCTGCCGAGTGACTTCCCAGTTGGCTAAGCTAAACTAATTAACAATTATTGGGTTTCTGCATAATGTTGCATCACATATCCTTTGCAGCGTTGAGAAATCTTTACCGTGTATACTACTGCATATGGAGTTTATAACTTTTGAAGTTGTTAATTTTTTTATGTACTTACCAAGTAGCAGTTTCTATGTCACTATAGTGGATTTAGTCTTATTGAATTAAATTTAATCAGAATCTCCAACATTCATGTTGTGTTAATTGTTGAAAGCACTTCTGATTTTGCCTCTGGCTTGTTGCCTTTGACTTTGACTTACCCACTGGCAGAGCCGGCGCTACATAACGCGGGGCCTAGGGCAAGAAAGTAAAAAAAAAAATGTCAACAAAAGTTTAAAAAGCAAAATCTGAAATTTAAAAATAACTTCGCTTATACTAAACATGAAGAAAAATGAAACGGGCACATTATCATGCGGGATATCTCTGGTGTGTATTTATTCAGTAGTGCTATGTGCAGATTGGCTTGGTTTTTTATATATGCAATAAATGAACAGAACAGAGAACTGAGCAATTACAAAGGTGCTATCGACGCACGCCAGCCATAAAGTCACAACAAGGAAAACGAGAAAATAACATTGCAAAACATAGACTATACGAAGATATGGCGGCAGAATCATGGGACGAGTTCTGCGGCTGGTGGGGCTGCGTTCGGCACGAAGACGCCTGGAATAGCCGTCGAAAGGGATTCGGCGCCGATTGTCGGACCGGACGAGTTCTGCGGCTGGCGGGGCTGCGTTCGGCACGAAGACTGTCGGAGGGTTAGGCGAGCGGCCGAGAGAGGGCGCCACCGCACGGGAGACGGGGCGTGTTTGAGAGATGAATAAACGCGGGCTCGCCCGACAGATGGGTTCTGACACTCACACAGGCTGGTCTCTTGTCTGTTCACTGCCCAACCGCGACATGGTGGCAGCGGTGGGATAGCTGTGGCATTTTTCTGTCCGGGTGGAACAGTCCGGGTGGCATTGTGGCAACACAGGCATTTTTCTGTCCGGGTGGAACAGTCTGCAAATTGGCGAAGGGCCCCGCGCCCGTCGGCCAGCTATTTTTTCCTTTGGAAAACTCCACAAGGAGAGGTTAGTTTTGTAACACAGGAATTTTTCTGTCCGGGTGGAGCAATCCGCAAATTGGCGAAGGGCCCCGCGCCCGTCGGTCAGCTAACTATTTTTTTTTTCCTTTGGAAAATTCAGCAGTGAAAGTTATCTGTAGTGGCGATGTTGAAATTTTACAAAAAGTTCAACCGGCGAGTGACTGCGGGGCCCCTCTGTCACTTGCGGGGCCCTGTCGTAAGCGCAGGGCCCGGAGCGCCCGCCCCGCTCGCCCATGCCTAACGCCGGCCCTGCCCACTGGCTGATTGCTTTTTGTGCTGGTGTGGACAGCATAACCTACACACTGGCAGAAGAATGTTCATAGGGCATTTGTGAACTTCTTGACTATGCATGTTACTGAGTCGTTATTAGGCCACCTGTTGCAGCTTGTTATATGGGAGTGCTGCCCGCTGCTCTCACACTCTAAATATCAACTGATTGGTTGGTTAACTGACTGATTGATTGCCTGTGGCAGGTGACGAAAGTGCAGTGGGGGGACTCCCAAGAGTGGCGACAGCAGCGATGTTTCGAGTTCCTCTTCGAGAACTTCAAGAAGCACTTCCTACCCCACATCTTCCCCGACTTCTGCTTTACGAACAGCATATACAAGCCAAATCTAGGTAGGTGCCTCCTTCGAGAGTAAGCATTGGCGGAAGAAGTCTTCAGCTGCTATCATGCCACTTGGCTCACACATACTTGGCTTGCAGAGCAACTAAATAGCTTGTTGCTGTTGCTCAACATTTGATTTTTTGTGGTCGTTTCTGCAGAAGTAGAAATTTATTCATACTACGTGCTAGGCACTGTGCAGGCTCACTTCAGCTCTCCAGCACTTGTCTAGGAATGTAAAAGAAAGTTTAAACTGTTGTTTTCAGAAGTAGCAACTACCGTTTAATCTCGAGAGATGCACCACCCCGGATAGATAGACCTCCCATACTTTTGTCATGATTTGCTATTTCTTCAAAAACACCTAAAGATAGCCCACTTCTAGTAATTACAGGGCCTTGGCTAATAGTGATGTCGGCAGAAATGGTGTTACTTAGCCATGGCGGGAGATGAGCGAACATTGCTGACTGGAAACAGCAGTTGAATTAGGTTCATTGCTCCTCCCTGTGATTGCAAGTTTCACTGGTCCCTGAATCTAAAGCCAGCGTTTTTCAACTTTGTTTTATCGCGCACCGAAAGTTAACCCACTGGGGTCATTCCATGCCGTATGAAACTCAACCATTTTTTCATGTCTGGGATATGTACTAAAAAATTAATTTGGATAAAGAAGCCTCTGAACTCCTAGAAAAGTACACTTTTGTAAAAAGAATTAATTTTATTTTTGCTGGTATCAGGTTTTAAATTTCTGGAATTGGCGTAAAACTCGTGCAGTTTAGAAAAACATTGTGAAAAAAACGGTTGTGTTTCACACAAATATAGATGGATGCCTAATTATTTAATAATATGACTTATCTTACATTAAAATACTAACATTGAAAGATGCCATTTTGGGTCCAAATAGGAGCTCTAAAAAGAAGAGACTTCATAAGATTTCTTTCTTTTTTTTAGTCAGCTTGAATTTGGGTGTTAGCTACAATACTTTTTTGTTTGTTCTCGTAGAATTGATAACTGAATTGCATGTGTTAAATTTTGAGTCTTGTTTTGGTTGCATTTTAATTAAATGACAAAATCTCAAATTTATGCAGAAACGGCCAAATTGAAAGCCAGAAAAAGCAATGGGGGCAACAGTGCCCGGAACTTTTGAAATAGCCACAAGTTTAATCCACCTCACCTCATAAACATATAAAAAAATTAGAAAAGTAATTTTTGTTAATGCCGAGAAATTATTTTTAAAGGTGAGCCTCTCCAACTATGACTCCAGGCACCCGCCTCGTAGGCAACGCACGCCGGCATTTGCCAGCGAGGCGTCAATGGTGTGGGACGCCACTGCAAAGTCTTCAACGCTCTCCTGAAAGTTCCGCGCACTGTTGCCTACATTGCTTTTTCTGGCTCTCAATATGGGCGTTTCTGCATAAAGTTTAAATTTTGTCATTTAATTGAAATGCAAACAAACTAGATTTCAAAAATATAACACATGCAATTCAATTATCAGTTCTATGAGAACAAATAAAAAAAGTATTGTACGTAGCTAACACCCAAATCCAAGTTGACTAAACAAAATAAAGAAATCTCATAAAATACCTTTTTTTTGTAGCTCCTATTTGAACCAAAAATGGCGTCTTTCACGTTTGTGTCATAGTGTAAGATAGGACATATTTAGTTGCCCACCTAAATTTGTTTAATACTCAACCATCTTTTTTTTCACAATTTTTTTCTTAAATTCGTTGGTTTTAAGCCAATTCCAAAAATTTAGAGCATGACATTAGCAAAAATCAAATTAATTATTTTACAAAAAATAATTTGCTTGGAGTTCAGAGGAGTCTTTATCCAAATGAATTTTTTTGTATGTATCCCAGATATAAAAAAATTACCACGTCTCCTTTGGCATGGAATGACCCGCTCCTTATTTTCACCCAATTTTATTTCAATATTAGGTGGGCTCTCTCGGAGCATTACGTACTACATATATCGAAACGAGACCTACTACTAAGGTAATCTGAAATACCAAATGAGTGTCACGTAAACTGGGTGACACTCATAGTAAATTTCCTGTTTCAAAACTGTTTAGTGGGTAATTTAAGAGTGAGCAAGGCACTCTAGGTAAGTGGAAGGTACATCTGCTCCAAAGCCGATTCAGTTCTGTGAAAGCATTAGTATAAAACTCCATTTGACTGTTCTGCTAATAGTAGCTTTTCTTTTTCCTTGGATCTTACGAATGGGCTTTCTCCCCTTTCTTTGCTTCTTTCCTCAGCATTGCTAGCTCTTTTACGCTGCTGCTAACCTTTCCCCTACTTTTTTTTTAGTGCTCTGCTTTTTTTTTTTTTTTTGCACCTTTTCTTCTGTTTTTTACATTATTCTATGAGCCTGAATGTCTGGTTTTATGTTCATCCACACATATGTTGACATATGCACCACCACTCATTTTTTTCATCTGTCTCTTGAGCGCCGCGTTCATTGGCACCTTCGTCTACCAAATGGTCTTCTTTTTTATGTTTGTTCACCTTCTGCATCCTACATCCATTTGCATATCCATTGAAGCCTTAAACTCTCTATCTCTTTCAGCATGTGTTGTCTTAATTAATTGGCATGTTTGTCTGCCTCACTTCATGTTCATCCAAACATCACTTGAATCTCTGCCTGTACGTATCTACTTGCGCATCCTTCGGAATGTGCCTCTCTCTAGCTCTGCGCACGTTTTTCAATTCGCTTGCCATCTTGTCTTCATGTTTGTCTGCACACATGCCAGCAATCATGCATCCGTCTGCTCGATCGCACATGCATTTGCACATCCGTCAGCACATATGTCTGTCCGTCTGTGTGTCCGTCCACTCACGTGTCTACCCGTCTTCACATCCATCTACCGGCGACTCCGCACCCGCCTTCGCGTCCGTCTGCCTGCCTGCACCTCCACCCTCCCCACATCGTCTGCTCATCTGTGGGCACGTCGCCTGCTCCTCCGTCTGCCCGTTCCACGAGCCAGTGAGTGAGGGTTACCATTGGGTGTTGACCTCTCTAGAGCTGCCATCGCTCCGCCAAGACAAGAAGATGGCCGCCCCCGCGGAGGCTTCGGCAGTGCCCCCTCAGTGCCGCAGCGTGGTGGTCCAGTGGATCGTCAACTACACCCAGCCGGCCAAGCTGCGCAAGGAAGACGTGCAAGCCGCCGCCGCCGCCAGGTGAGGAAAGCTTTCAGACGTTGCCGTGTCTTGTGTCGTTTTGTGTTGGGAGATTCAGAGGCGAAGTAAATACTTGGCATTTCTTGACAAGAGAGGTGTAAACTTGTAGGTGATTGATTACTCTCACAGGCTGCGCTCCTTCCATGGTGCACTTTTGGTGAAACAAAGATGATGACCCAAATGACAAAAGAGCATTAGGACGCTTTTTCAGAAGCATTACATTTGATATTTCGCTTTAAAATATGCTTTGTTGTATTTTCAACTGAGAGACCGTTTTTCTGAGATGGTTCGACAGACAGGCTGAAATACGTAAATTAACTTTTAGTAGCTTGTAAGCCAGTGAAGATTTTGGTTACGAGAATGCTAGAGGGACTGGAGTTGCTCGACTTTCTTTCGGAGGGGGAGAGATGAGATGTTTGTTGAAACAAAGAAGTTTGAGGACCCCTATTGTGTTGTTTACTGAACTTTGTATAATATTGTATAGAATGCTGCACAGGAGAACCTTTATACAATGAAGTTACTTTCATCAGTACCTTCAATACATCAGTTCACAAAAAGCCTGTATCAGTATTGCAAGTGTACATTGCATGGCACGACGCAAACGCATCATCGGCGCTTTTCGCATTTCACTCGAGGGCAATATTGGCAAACATCAATCCGTGCTTCGTAAGTTGGCAAAGGGGATAAGCAATCTTTACCCCACTAATAGTTTTAATGACAACCTTTCGATTGCGAGAAAAAGATGGGGAAAATCAGCAATAGCTTGTTCGTGCTGCGATTGCCATCTTTGAAACCTCTGCTGTAGAGTTTGTCCCTACAGTACACAAAGCTTTGCCCCAATCTCGTCAATTTCGAACCACTCGTTCCCGGGCATCGAACCCACACCAGGAAGCAAGAGCTGGCAGACTGCGGCGAGCGTTCTGCTCTGGTGGCGACCGGGGGTGGCGCCCACGAAAGCCAGTCTGGCTCGTCGTCGTCCTCGTCGTCTGCGGTGCCCTCGCTCTCCATCGGCAGCCTGTCGGAGCGGGACTCTGACGGACAGCTGCAGCAGACGGCGGCGCAGGCGGAGCACGCCTCTGCAGGACACCGCAGCCTCACCCAGGTCGGTGCCCTACGGTTGACGCCTTTTGGAGAGGCAGATTGCACCGTTGCTTTTCCCGCAGAATGTGTCGTAGGGCCTGCGTTTCTTGAGGAGAGCAACACGTTAAGCCGCATTCACACCGCTCGTACGAGTACATCACTCCGTCGCGAAAGGAAAAGGCTCGACAAGCGTAAACCGGAAGTGAAGGTTTAATCGGCGAAGTCGCGCCGGAAGCAAAAGAGAGAACGAGCGTCGGAAAAACGGAAGCGAACGCTGCGGCGTCGACGCGACAGCTAGCTCGTGGGAGAGTGTATCTCGTCGTCGGAAGAGTGATTTGGCAAGGTCACGCTGGGCTTCTTATCTACTATGCTCGGTATCTCGAATATTTAACCTAGAATGTGCGGGAGTGAGGAGGGCTAGACTGACTCGGCAAGGTCATGTTGGCTTTGTTATCTTTTACACTCGTACATACATACATATGTGTGCTTTGAATGTGTGTGCAGACAGCTTTTGTGTGACCAACGTGACTGGACCGCCATACAAGTATAGAACATGCCTTGGACATTTTTTGTAGACTTTTTGGTAGGACATATTAGCAGTGGGTGCGTTAAGTCGGCGCTCCTTTACTCCTACTCCGACGCACCAAGTTTCATACTCCGAGCGCAGCAACTAAACGGCACATAGCGTACAAGAGCGCAACGCACTGAGGCTGCGTTCCGAACCTACTCGACTGGATCCGAGTTATCCTGGCGGATTATGTCACGTTACAACAAAAAATAAACGCTGGATGCGGGTAGGTTTTTGATAACCACCTTTACCCTAGAGTTAGATCGAGTAAGTTTTCGAACACGGCCAGAAACTATCAACGAACCACACGAGCTCCTTCCGACCGTGAATACGGGTGGCAGAAGCCGAAAATATTTCGAAGATAAATAATTAGGCCCGTGTGGAGCGGCAGAGTTTAAAGCAAAAGAGGCGGCGACATTATGAAGTTCGTGCAAACGTTTTAATATTCCTGAAAGGTTTGAAGACTCATTTCGTGCACATATGTGGAATGTTACATTGGCCGAACTATTTATTGACCATGCATGCTGCTCAGATTTAAATTAAAGCAGCATTCTTGAACCCGCTCATCGACGCAGGAAACACCCAAATTTGTCAGAGATTCCCTGGTTCCGTCAGTTCCGTCTCGCAGCGAGAAAAGAAGCCACGCCGATACCGGAACACCGTCGTTCGATAGCACGTCAATTCGTGTTTAGGCGGTATGCGTCAACAAACCTTTCCCGCAACGCTAACTGGTGTTTCGGCTTTCCAATCTAAGTATCTTTATTCGCTGTGGTGGGCTAAGCATTCTAAGCAGGGCAGCGGTCTGACTGTCTTTTCATCAGAACTGTTCTGTCGCCGAGCTATCGGCACCTTGTTCGATAGATCAATTCGTTTTCAGGCAAGACGCACAAGCAAACCTTTTCCTCAACGCTCATTGATGTTTCGGCTTTCAAATCGAAGTATCTTTATTCGCAGGGCTAAGCCTTATGAAAGGGACAGAGCGGTCCGAATGTCTCCTCATCTCGACAACTTTTCTGTCGCTGTGCTATCGGCACGATACCGTTTGACAGATGAATTTCTTTTTCAGGCGAGATGCACGAACAAGCCTTTTTTGGAACGCTAATTGCTGTCTTGGCCTTCAAATCAAATCGTTGTTACCTGCTGGATTAAACACCAATCAACTGAAAAGGGGCAGCGGTCTGGCTACGCCTCTCGTCTCGACGGTCTCAACAGCAGCGCAGCCATCTTGTTTGTTAACGTGACGTTACGGAGCGCGAAGAAGTCACTCGCGCTCCGAGAAATTTTCGGTGCATGAAGAGCGCGCTCCAGTGTCAGTCTCCGGTGGAACTCCTGTCCGTTTAGTGAAAGGAGTGCCAAACTCTCGCGCTCCGGAGCACGGACTTAACGCGCCCAGTGTGACTGCGACTTTATGCTCGACTGACATACGGGTCAAGGTCATACGAGCAGTTAAGGTTCCTAGGGACTCTGCCGCTCGTATGACGACGTCATGATTCCATGTGACGTGCGTCACGTGACACCACGGTGTTACGCGATGTCAGAGTCACGTGACTAGATGGCATCATGTGACGTCGCGTACCGCAGCATGTGCCCAGCTCATCTGCAACACACAATGTACATCGCCGAGTTTATAAGGTATGGTCTAGACAAACTAAAATTTTTTTTAAATAGGTTTTTCTCGGTAAGTTTGTGTGCATTGCGACAGAGAATACAGCTTGTATGGCCAGCAGGTTCGTCTGCTCTTTGTGCAGAGGGTGCGGTGGCGTCGCGGCACCCAGCCTTGATCGGAGGGCGTAGGGTTCGCTTAAACGAGCCGTCGTCTGCTAGTCGCAGCGACGGCTGCCTCGCCTTTTGTACGGTTTTGGGGAATACGTCGATTCGTTACGAACGAAGGCTCGTGCTCTAAGAAGGGGGAGAAAAAATACTTCGAAGGGCATTTTTATTTTTTGTCGCCCGGCAGCTACCAGACGCGCTACTACAAACAGAGAACTCGTGGCCTGGAACGCATCTTGGACTGGTGTGTTTACTGCCAATGTTCGAGCCCGCTAATGTTTGAGTCTGAACGTTGGCAGGAGTGTTCGTTTTAAAGTGTCGCGAGGTTTCAGAGGCACTGTCGTCATCAGACGCAGGTGGTGCGGAACGTGCTGTACTCCAAGCGAGAAAACGTGAACCTGGTGCACGAGGTGCTGAGGCAGGCCTTCCTGGCACCCTTCTCGCAGTCCCACACGACCAAGAACGTCATCTACACCTACCGGGACTGGATACAGATGGTCGTACGTAGCCTGCACCACCGTTTCACTGCGTCTGCACTCACTTTTTAGGCTAGAGCAAAGTCTTTGAGTTCTATTAGAATTAGCTTGTTGAGGTACTGGGGATCCGCCGCTGCCGAGAGCAGATGCGTGCACTTTGGGCGTTTCACGAGAGTTATCTGCGTAGCTCAGAAAATTGAGTCGAGGGTGCTAGTTAACGTTCCGTGACTGTTGCAATACTAAGGCTATCGCTTATAGTCATGGTGCCTGCATTCTGATGTCATGCCCCAAAGCTAATTCTTCGGGTTTACTATTACAATCGTGGGACTGCTCGTTGGGCAATGTGAATTTTGTTGCCGTCTTTGAAAAATTTTTTCTTGTCCCGACATGCAGTCTCCGGATATGCCACCATTTCTCGTGGACACCGAGGGTCGGGAGACGAAAGACGACGCCAGAAATGCCGTGACTGAGGTCAGTATCCTTTTTTACAGCGATAGTTGTTACAAGCTCTTCTCACCATTGGAAATCATGTCTGTCGTCGATGCTGTAGTAGTTGTTGATGTAATTGACAAGGTAGGGTGTCGGTCGTCGACGTTGCAAAGTCCTTAAAAAGGATTGACTACCGCTTCTGCCCACGGGAATCAAACCCGATACCGCCGTTTGAGAAGCGGAGACTTTGCCCTTGAACTACGTCACACTGCTAACAACCCGCTTTGTGTTCTTGTAGTACCTGATGCCCACTGCACATGCTCTCTGGAAAAAAAAAAAAAAAAAAAATAGCTGGTAACAAATTGTTGTCGCAGCACCGTCGATGTTATGAGCTCATGCCGGGAGATGCACTTTCATGCGCTGCAGAACAAAAAAAGAAACAAAAGCATTCGGAATGTGTAGTATTCGGCGCCCACTGCACCCACTTTCTGTAAAAATACGCAAAAATAACCGTTAAAAACAGCAGTCGTAGCACTCTTAATGCCAGGAGCTTGTGCCGGGAGACGCGCGTTTACATGCTCCGAACGAAAAGAAATGAACGTTTGGAGCAAAATGGTCAGATGTCTACTTTGTTCTGAACGCTTTTGTTCGTGCACCCCACGAAGCATGAACGCTACGTCGGCGCCCGGCGACTTCTCCGTGATGTGTCCGTGATGTGCCAGTACTGTGGGTTAACGCAGGACTGCTTAATTTTTAACACGGAATCTGTTTTATCAGTGAATTTTCACGGAGTTCTGTAACAATTAGCTGTAACAGCCAGTGGTAACGACACTGAGAGGCGTTACACCCATAGGAAACCATATAAAAGGACTTCCGTCCCCCAGCAGGATTTGAACTGGCCACCTTGAGATTGCAAGCGAAATGCTTTGCTGACTGAGCTATCTTGGCTCATTGGTTGGATTGTGCAAATTGCGACACCATTCGCGTGGCGCATGAATGAGAGCGCGCATGCTTAGCTGCCTTTCTAGTCATTTGGCGCTATCTCGCGGTGCGTGTCAGAGATAAAAGCGAATCTTGAGTTGGGGAAGCTGTTTCTTCCTCGGTTTTCTTCCCTGGAAGGCCTCTCATACATACTGTGCTTACCAGTTTCTGTCGGCACAATCAAGGTTGTATAATTTATTTTAATGAAAGGAGGCTCTACAAAGATGGTGGCAATGTCTTTGGTGGTAATTTTTTTCCTTTGCTTGTTAATTTATTTTAAATTCACGGTTGCAAGCAAATTCCTGAAGCTTCTGAAGTGATTTGAGTGTTGTTTTCATTAGCCTCAAGTAGCCTTGAGTTTGGATAGCATTTAGGCCAAAATTAGGGCACAAGCTTGCAACTACAGGAGTCTGTGGAATGAATTAAATGGGCCAGTGTCATTTGACTTCCAAAATGTCTATTGTTTTACATAAGAATGGTCCATACACGTCTGAGTGCAAGAGTAACAGTAGTGCTAGAGTACATAAACATGGCTATCAGATGACTTCAAGGAATAGCACCAGCACAGCTGATTTTATAATAATTTTTATAAATTTTAATTAGGCAACCTTTCGCACTGGTGCACACGTCGGGCTTCACCACTTTACACCGGCGTGCTAGGAGCAGCGGCCGACATGGGAGGGCTGTGGGATCGGCCCAGCAGGCTCGGAGAAAGTTTCCTCACTCTTATGGCACAACGAGTCTTGGTTACGATCTCAATTTGAACCTAACTCTTAAGAACGAGGTTCAAAATAAATAGAGCTAACCTGCATTTGAATTTGTATGGTACTTTGGCAGTCGAAAAATGTCTGCTTGAAACAATTTTGCCTCCGAGAGTCGCTCCCCGTCTCATCTGTAGGCTCCCAAAAGCGTTACCGGTTGTTACGTCTTCCCAGTTCCCAAGTTTTTTTTAACCGTGGTTTCCCACGAAAAACATACCGACGGGGCTCTACTCTAACAGATATTGCGTGTGCGCGGCGGTCGTCGTACTTCACTATTGTCGTTCAAAAAAAAGAGAAGATTGGGAAAAGTTTTGAAAAGGCTTCTGTTCTTTCCACGCTGCCTAAGGTGTTCTCTCAAATTTGCACGAAAGATGACTACCCTTCTCGCCTATCTCCGAGCTCAAGGAAAGCGAGGGCAAAAAGTTTTCATACCTACTGAAGAAGGTTCTTCATGTTGGGCTCCAAGGCGGCAAGACCAGCGTTTTTATTTGAAGTCGGGGAGTACCGTGCCCGTGTCGACTCTTCCCTCTTCCGCAGAGCAACTGCCAGCCTCCCAAGGGTGCAGCGCCGGTGAAGCGAGAAAACGTCTTGGCCGGGGTGCAGAACGTCTACCAAGTGTTCATCACCAACGCTGCCAACGTGTTTCTCCTCGAAGTGGCGACCGAAGAACGGACGCTCCTCGACGAGCAGGTGAGAGCCCTTTGAGGTGCAACGTCTTTTGAGGTGCAACGGCTTAATAAGCTTGGACGCTTTTTCAGAAGATACAGCCTCGAGGAGGTCACGTTCGTGTTTGATTGCAAACACAACGAAAAATGGGGAATGTGTCATCTTTAGTTAGGAATACGAAAAATATGAGGGACGCATCGCGTTCGTGTTCGGATGCAATTGTGAGAAAACGTAAGGGACATGTCATGTTTACATTCAGCTGTGATTGTGACAAGGCATAAGGATATGTAGGTTCCGTTGTGATCATGGTGGTGTTCATGTTTAATTGCAAACTTGATAAAACGTGAGAACCATGTTGCATTCAGTTAATGCATAAGAGACTAGGAACACATAATGTATGTGTTCACTCATGATTGTGCCAAAACATAGGGTCATGTCATGTTCAGTTGTGAGCATAACAGAACATAAAGAAAAAAAAATATTAACCAATGGTGGAAAGTGCAATGAGCTGGCAGTCTGAACTTTCAGTCATGTCCTTCCTCCTAGAAATGCTCTTAATGTACTTATAATGTCTTCTGAATCTCACACGGCTATCTGAAACCTAATTTTAGTCTTGGAATGAGCACCGAAGAATGCCCTTAAGGATTAATTGCGTTAATGTTAGATCCCAAAGAAAACAATGTTGGCGACTTTTAGTTATTGGCAGGCTGCTACATTTGGGAACGTTGCTAGTTACACCTTCTGTAGTACCACAAAACTGTGTTCTGCTGCGCAGTGTTATCCTGTCCATACCTCTACCACAAAGATATTTGTTCGACTAGTCCTGTGTTGCTACTGGACTGCAGTAATCTTTGGTTGATGGAATTAATTTTTCACGACGGATTTTTTTTTCTCTGGTGTTAAGGTGGAGTTGTGTAAGCGTGTGATGAACATCTACCGTTACATGGTCATGAAGCAGCACATGGATAAGGCAACATGGTAAGTGGAGGTCTTTGCCGTGTTACATTTTACTCCAACGACGAACACCGCAGTTGAGAAAAAATTGCTAGTCAATTGTGTTGCATACGTGAAATGGTCTAGCATAACAAACATTTAGCGATACTCTGAGTTGCCGGACGGCACACACCTACGTTCACGGTGCTCTTCATCAGATAGTTAACGCAAATCATGTGTACACTCAAGTTCTTAGAATGAAGCTATACTACCGCTAATCTTCCAGAGCCTTCCATACTCTCAAGCTCCTCTCCCTCAGTACGCACAGGTGGTTGAGCTCCTCCTTGTCTACCTCACTCCTCTTCGCCTACCCCTCTGGTCAGACGAACTCCCCTTTAGCCAATCTGCATGAAGCATCTCACTTCTCCTCTCTCACCCCTCAACCAATCAGTGTCGAGCCTCGCGGCCATGCTTTGATCCGGTCTTCACGGAATGCCAAACACCTAGCCGAAGAATGTTTCACGTTGAAAGCTACAGCTTCACGGTGCTCGTACTGAAGTACGGACTTCAGTATGATTCCATATGGAACCATACGAATTTCTAGGATTCATGTCGATTTCAATATGAGTACCGATGTAAGATCCACACACTGTTGTCAGACGCTTTATTCTATAGCTTCATGGTACTCGGATTGGAATTTGGATTCCAGTATGAATAGATTACATTCTAATATGATTAATTGTGGTTAATTCAAAGAAATTCAAAATTTTTATTGGCCCATTGTGTTTTTAATGTATATTTATGAGCCTTCTAATTCGAACGTCATTTTCGTGTAATTCATACATTTTGTCCTCACGGCCCCATTGAGCGCGCTTCTTGTTGAGCAACGGTGCACTACGGAGAAGTAACACTCACGGAGCTCGCTTCTGCAAGTGTTGCTTCTCTGTAGTGCATCGGTGCTCGGTAAGAAGTGCACTCAGCAGGGCGAATACCTTTTTTTGCTGTGTGCACAAACTTAATTTTGTTTTAAAGCGCCGTGTGCTGTCTTAACAGTCCATGATAGACAGCACGTTTGAGGGGTGAATAATCTTATCTCACACATTTCACCAAATGCTTCATGTGCGGCATGCCTGCTTATATTTGTAGGACTGCATAGAGGAAACCATCAAATGTCTGCTTTGTGTGTGTAGCCATCCATATAACAATTCATAATTTTGCCTTGCATGATGTTTATATGAATTTTTGATAATTAAACAAAATTCATGGCTTCTTGGATTTGGAATTAATGAAAGTCTACTGTACATAAATTCGGCAGACTATGTTTCTTACCATGGTTTACTACCAGAAAACAATGTTTCATACTGATTCTCACGAGGGTCGTGTTCTTATGTGGCATATATTTAAAATATTCCCTTGTTGAGAGAAGAACCTAGTGGGGCATGTCAGACTGGTCTCCGACATCTTCAGCTATCATTGGAACCTTTTCAGGCAGTTATTCCTTCAAGTTTCTTCTGCAAGCTTCTGCTGGACATCTATACATTAGTGGAATTTGGACGGTTCGATGAACACTGTACCGAGCATCGATAAAAATAGCCTAAAGCCTGCAGTCCCAAACAACGTTGGGGGTTTAATACCGATTACAATCGTGTCATATCAGTTTAAATCTGTCGTGCTAACTGGAAGCTTGCCCATCACTTTTCTCTCATTGCATTGGAAACCAGTGTTTATTTATGGGAGAAATGCACAAAAGAAGATCTGGGTGAAGTGAAAAAATGAAGCAGACAGGACAGGCGCTGACTCACAAATAACAGGTATTTAAAAAACTGCAGACAAAGAAAACAACCATACGTCGACGTAACTAACATGAGTCCATAAACCTCTTCTTTTGCACGCCACGCATTTCTCTCGTAAACACGATTTGGCTCATCCACAATGCCACTCTAATCCGCTCGTGAGTTGCAGTAAAGGCCTTGCCATTGATTGCAGGGAACAGCTGCTCGTGGTTCTGCTGCGCGTCACTTCGCTCGTGCTTAAGACGACGCCTCCCTCGCGCAAAGAGGAGGTACTTGGAGGCAGGCTGGCCCCGGCGCTTTTCCAAGTGAGCCATTACTCTATGCAGTGCTTACTACTTGTGGTTCCGGCGAGATGTGCGTCTATGACTCGTATTAGCCTGTGACGCGGCCGGCTTGTGGCATTTGGGCGCCCTCGTAACCTGCGTCTGCAAACGAGCTTCGAACATAGAGCTTTATGCTCTGAGTTTGAGTTGCGCATCTACAGATTCCAGCGCACTAAACAATATTTGTTTGCTGTTCGGTACATTCTTCAAGAACACGTGATGTTTTAGCACAAATTTTCTGTTGTTGAAAATGGAAATAGGATTTCCTTTTGTGCTAACTTTGTGCCACTTTGTAAATCAGTTGCTTGAAGTGGCACAACTAACTGTGGTGATGGTGCACATTGTCCAAATGCACAGCAAACAATGCCAAAATTTTAAGGATTTTTTGTTTTTTAATTGGAGGCATAGTTTTGTTATATTTTGCTTGTGTTGAACCTTCTCGTCTGGCCTCTCCCCAATTTTCATTACGTTGAGCGCTTATTTAGAGCTTCGTATCGTCTCCTGTTCAAAATGTGACGGTTTTCGTACTTTGCAGACGCTGATAGTGACGTGGATCAAGGCCAACCTACACGCCACCATTTCGTTGGAGCTGTGGGACGGGTTTCTTAACGTTCTCTCATCGCTAACACAGTGGGAGGAGCTGATACGAGAATGGGCGGTAAGTTTCCAGTAGCCTTTTCCCCTTCTCTATTAATTTTTTATGCTTTGTGTCTTTTTGTGGCATTGGTAGACAAGTGATTGTACGTGTCGCCAACCACACACTTGTCTCCTTGTCAAGCCATGGAATGAGCATCCCCTTTTATGTAGAACCATGTTGGTCTCAGGTTTGGTTCAGTCCTGATGGGGCCAGGATGGGGCTCAGCCCATTCGCTATGATTCCGGATTCAGTTCAATAAGGAGTCTTGGCCGGGTTTACGCCAGAGCCAAGTTTTTGTCAGTGCCAAGTTCATGCCAGAGTTGGGGTTATGCTGGGCCCGGTTACGCCAGGCCCGAGTTATGCTGGGCTGGGCTTTTGCTAGAGTGGTTTGTGCCGAAGTCGGCTTTATACAGTGATCGACATTAGGCCGGGGATGGTTATCCACTGGGGTTGGGTTTGTGCTGGGCCGGGCTGGCACCAAAGTCTGGTTCTGGCCGAAGCTCGGTTTGCGGGGGGCCAACTATGAACTGGGGCCGTGTTTGTGGTGAGAACGGGTTTACAGTGGGGTTAAGTTTGTGATGGGTCTGGCTTCGCGCTGGGGTCGAGTTCACATCGAGGGTGGCTCTACGCCGGACCTCGGTTTGGTGCCGCGTTTATTCCGAAGCTGGGTTTGCATCTGTGCCGAGCTTACACTGCGGTCTGGTTTTGTGCCGGAGTCAAGGCCGCACTCAGGCCATGCTTACACCCGGCCTGGTTTTGGCCGTAGTTGGGTTTGGTCTGGTCCCAAGTAACCACCACGCGTTCGGTGTCCCGCAGAAAACGATGGAGACACTTACACGCATCCTGGCCCAACACGTGTACCGGCTCAACCTGGCAGACCTGCCGCTGCAGCGGCAGCAGCAGCACAGGAGGAGACGGGGCCTCAAGCACCACCACGCCGCCTCCAACCCCAGTGCTTCCGGCGCCACGGCAAAGGCGGAGACTGGGCGGGGGGACAACACCGGAGGCGGCGGAGCCGGGAACGCCACTGCGGGCGGCGCCGCCCACGTCAACGGGGTGGCACCACCCTCGCACCGAGCCTCACCTTCATTGGCAGACTCGCGGGAGGGAAGCCGCGAGTCTGGGGTACCACCCTCTCCGCGGTTGCGAACCGGCAGCGTCGGGCAGCGTAGCTGCAGGACGGAAGGTGAGAGCTCTTCTTAAAAGGGTGCTCTGGTGATCTTAATGTGCTCACATTAATATCCACCTGATGGCGTCCATCTGTGGACAAAACAGTGGAAAGGGAAGTGCGCCACATAGAGAGGACGAGAGTGGCAAAGGACAATGGCGAAAGGGAGTCGACGTCGCGTGGCAGAAGCCAATGCGTGCGCAGATGCTGGGGCGAGTGTGAACTTGCGAGTGTGCGGAGCGCGTTTGTCTTGGTTTGTGCTACAAAATGGAGTGTGAACCGAGTACTACCGCTGGTCCAAGTAGGTGGCAAAAAGATTAAAGGAAGATTCATTGGTGGATCTTTAGGGAATGCATTAGGGAAACACCACACATGTCCCCCTTTGGGAAATGCTAACACTGACCCCTTCATTTTTCTGCTTTAGCTTTCTCTTTTGGCTTTCTCATTTCCTTCCTCTATTTTTTGCTGCCTCTTTTCAACTTAAACGATGGAAATTTTATTCATAGACATCTAAAAAAAAAAAATATACCAGAACGCAAAAAAGAAATTTTCCCACGCAAGCGCTCTCTTTTTATTTTTGTTGCCCTTCTCTCCCGCTCCTCATCTCCTTGCTTCTTTTTATTTGTGAGCAGTCAATTATGAAATTTAGGAGCTTTGTAAGCAACCTTTTATAATATTTAATAACGGCATTCGTAAAGCATGTTTTTTAACGCAACTGCGAACACGCTACGGCCCTTCTTTTTGAAATATTGAAAATCAAAGTCCGGAGTGATGTCGCCTCCTGGCTGTTTATCCTCCCTCGGAAAACATGGCGGCGCCCGACGCACGTAGCACTGAGGATGATCGGTGGGTCGGGGAATCGGGCGAAGTTGTCTTTTTTAAGTGCCCAACGACCTCTCAGACTTTGAAAAGGAAATCGCCAAATGGTCAAAACAACTGTGTTTGGTGTCTGTGTGTCGTTGTTTCGTTTGCGACTTCTTCGGGGCAGCCTTTCACGCAGAACCGGCGCGACGTGGCCCCTCACGTTGTTCACAAAAGTCCACTGTTGTTCTCTTTAACCTCACACTGTTTCAAAGAATTTGAGATCGCTGAAAGAGCCCTAAAAAAAAAACTTAGAACTCGAAAGGGAAGCGCTTTTTGCTCACAGCAACGTAACTTTTCTCTAGCACCAGTTTCTCTCAAACTAATATTATTCAAATCTTTGGTTCGCTCAAAATTAGAGTATGCAGCTTCAATCTGGGATCCTGGTCAGACGACGCTCACTTCTCATCTCGAGTCAGTTCAGAACCGCGGCGCTCGTTTCATACTTAACAATTATCACCGTACAGCTAGTGTATCATCCATGAAATCTCTTCTCTCCTTGCCACTGCTTTCTTTGCGCCGTAAGTGTTCTCGTCTATGTCTTTTCTATAAAATATATAATTCTAACCCCATTCTTAAAGAAAAGCTCTTCCTTGTCCCACCTTACGTTTCTCCACGCATTGATCATCAGTACAAAGTCGGCATTCCTCATTCTCGAACCTCAGCCTATCACGAATCTTTCATTCCTAGGACATCACCAGAGTGGAACCACCTTCCGGCGTCATTAATATTATTACCCTCGTTAGATCTGTTTAAAAGTGCTGTTACTAATTATTTTTGCGAAAGTGACCCGTGACCTATTCCATGTCTTCTATTACTGTTTGTTGTTGTTTTTTTCACTCACTCCCCTCTGTAACGCCCCCAGGGCCTTGAGGGTATGTAAATAAATAAAAATAAAAATAAATTGGCAGCACGCACTAAGCGGTTGATGGCGGGATGCGGGCGAACACGGTGCTGAGGCGTGAGCAAAACTCGAATTGCAGGACGACTCAATCTTTGACATCGCTGCACTGGCGCGGATCGCTCGGGAACTTCAAATTCGGCTCTCAGAAAATGTTTCTTTGCTTCACAAATACTGAGTTCCCAAATTTTGAATTTTGAGGCTAATGTCCAGCTATCGTTTTCAATCGTTTGGGATAATAACAAAGAATAAAATGATTTTGACCTGTCAGTGCCCCTTTAACGTTTCCCAAAGGGGGACGTGTTTGGTGTTTTCCAAGGGTCAAGCTAACGCGTTCCCTAAGGATCCACCAACGAATCTTCCTTAAGTTTTGTCGAGCTATTCAAACTACATGAATTTTTTAATGCAACGGAATCTCGTTAATACACTCCCTCATAGTACAAAAAATTTTTCAAACGTTTTTTTTTAAATATGGAGAGGTGCGGCCCATACAGGAGTGTGGCCCATACATGCAGTTATAGAGCGTACGCCGCACATTCGCTTAGTGCTGCTGCGTGAGCAAGCTTTGAAGTAGGCATGTACAAATAGGGGATTTTGAGTTTGAAGCGAATTCAAAGCGAATAGTAGTTTTCGCCGAACACATTTTTGAATCGAATATAGAATAGTTTATGCAAGCTCTTCAGTGCTGCTCCATGCCTAGAAAACCCATCTGTGCTCGTAAAGGTCGTTCCCAAGCCTCCACTTTTCCATATCTCGGCCAAGTTAATTTTAATACAGTCGCTGACCAATCTTTCGGACTCGGAGGGGACCCCGAAATTGTCCGAATAATCAAGTGGTCTGAAAAATTTATTTGAGCCTAATTATCAAATTTCCGTGCATATTCCGCTGCGGATCGGCCACTTGCTTGATGTCAAGTTTAAGTTCTCGTGCAACTTCCGTTTTATATTGTTCACTTTTCACTTGTTTGTTTATCTGTCTGATCACAGTGCTGCAATTTGTTGGTGCCTTCGTTGGCACAAACAGCAAAGTTTAAGTTGGCACCATTTGGCACTATTTGGAGACTATGTTTAGTCCACCAAGCTCGCTTCAATACAGTCTAAGCTCGTTATAACAGACCTTGATTTTAACCAAGATTTCGGTCTATTGTAACAGGAGTATGTTGTATGCAGATATGAAGTTGAGACAATGGAGCATAGAGGAAAACCAACCAAACTTCACAAATCGGTATGTTATATCCAAATGTCTGTAGTAACCAGGTCTGTTATAATGAGCTTAGACTGTACTAAGCCTATCAGCAAAAAACCTTTGTGCTCAAAGACCACAAGAACGACAAACTGCCAATTTTCTAGCGGTCGCACTCGAAAAACACGGACCACGAGAACAATTGGAGGAACCATAAGAACGGGCAGATGGCGACCACGTTGGCTATAGTGGAACCGGAAAACCCCAGTGGAGCCTCAACCCACCTTATTTTTTGCGTAGGACGTGGTATCGAGGCTAGAGGGCAAAATAAGAACAACCAAAATGGCAGCACTAAGCTCGCGGCGCTATTGCAACGGCTGTTCTGTGGCTTGTTATCTGAGAAAATCACACAAATTATTTCCGAAATATTGGGCAATAAGCTTTATGGCATCCGAACTTTCGGTACATGTCATACGTTTACTCTATGGGGTGAGTGACGGTTCGGCGAAGACGACCAAATAATCAAACGCGTCTGAAAAATTGGCGTCCGAAAAATAGGTCGGCGACTGTATAGCTATATTTATGGGCTGTGACCTGAGAAAATTCATTGCTTAAATGAGGATGGCAAGTGAACAATGCACTTGACATAAATCGTCTTTATTAAATATTCTTTATTAAATCTAGATTTCGAGAAAATAAAAAAAGGACTGTCATGAATGATGAACGTAGGTTGTCAAACATCTCTGCCTAACATGTACTCTTGCATAATAGCCACAGTTTAATTTTGAAATTTTTACTGTAGTGTAGATATCAGTATTCACAAAGTTGCGATTTCTTTTTACACACACCACGCGCACGCGTGCACCAGTCCTCTTTGAAAGTGGGCTTTCCTAACATGACTGCAATATTTATACTTTTCGAATTATTGATCTGGGAGGGTTAGCCCCATTTAGCGCGCTTTTTACCAAGCGCCAGTGCACTGCAGAGAAGCAAGACCCGTGGAAGTGAGCTCTGCAGGTGTTGCTTCTCCTTAGTACTCTGGTGCTCGGTAAGAGAAAATATGAATATTGGAGTTCATCTCGAAGCGTATATCAAATATCATATTATTTGAAACTACTATTCAAAAACTCGAATATTTGCGAATATTGAATAGCGTATTATTCGAAACTTCTATTCGAAAACTCGAATATTCGCACAGTACTACTCCCAAGGTATTCATTTGACACCATCAATCTTGCAGTCCGTTGGTAGCCAATTCTATTGCCCAAAGAGCAAACCCCTGTCTGCCACTGGCATCACTTTTTCATCGTTCCCAGTATAGACGATAAAAAGTGTAAGCACCAAAATTGCAAATTTATTAATTTGAAGAAAAAGAAAAGTTGGGGCGTTTTATTTGGGTTATTGGTAGTGCAGCTATGTTTAATGGTGTGTTTAGACAGTCTCGAGGTTAATCAGAGACCAAGACAAAACGCCAACGTATCTGTTTAACATTACTGGTGCCGAGTTTGGTAGAATGCCCAAGCAGGGTAAAGTGGACCTCTTTAAAGTAACGAGCGCTGTTTGGGATGTTGTCTCCAAACTACAGACAAAGGCCATCCAAAATGCGTCCGCGGATGTTGACAGAAAACTCTCCGTTGGTTTTGTGGCAAGTATGAATAAATAAAAATAAAACGGGGGGCATCGTGAGTCAGCCTTCTTTGGCATTATTAGATAGTGAGGTCCTGATCCCTTGTCATCATTTCTAGGCATCAGCCGAGAGGTTGTCCTCTAGGTCGTCTTAGAAGTCGTCCTAGAGGTTGTCCTTGAGGTTGACGTAGGCATTGCCCTCTAGGCGACGTCCTCGAGGTCGTCCTAGAAGTAGTCTTTGAGGTTGTCCTGGGCGTTGTCCACTAGGCATCGTCCTCAAAGTCATCCTAGAAGTCGTCCTTGAGGTCGTGCTAGACGTCCTCTAGGCGTCGTCCTCAAGGTAGTCCTAGAAGTCATCCTTGAGGTAGTCCCAAATGTTGTCCTCTATTCATCGTCCTAGACGTCGTAAAAATAACAGCTTCACTGGTCCTCCATCTTCACGTGAAGTGGAAGGGCTCTTTAATTTCTTAACCCCCTTAACACCATGGGGTCGTGCCCTTTGAACATGACGAAAATGGAAAACAAGGCCAGGGGAGAGGGTGAGCACATGTGCAGAAGCTTACGGGAAAAAGATCCATTTACCTGTACCACGAAGGCACTGCTGTACTATATTTGTGTATTGTACCACTGTGTCTTTTTGGCAGAATTTTCAGCGTCCTGACGCACCAGGGATGAAATTCCAATGTTGGACGGAGATATTTACCACGTCAGGACTTTGCTGTTGATATTTCGTCCTGCATTCTTCCCTGTTGATATTTCATTCTGCATTCTTTCCTGTTTTCTCGTCTCTTGCCGAGTCTCTAACTTCCGTTTTTTGAGGAACACAATCGCAAGTCACCGAGTCTGGAGACTTGTCGCCCGTCCTTGGCTTTTGTGGACAAACTGACGACTTGTATCTCAGTCTTTACCCTGGCATCACGCTGAGGTTGTGTTGTTGTGGTGTAGTGTTCTTTTTTTTGTTTTCATTGCTACTGCAAAGGTGACACTTCTTTAACGTGTTGCAGACGAGGATCGAAACGCGGACCGGGCACGCTGCAACTCCGGGGATAGTTCTCTACCGAGCCACCAGGGTGACAGGGCGTCGGAGAAGCCACCCCTTGTCATCAGGTGTTATTCCGACGGCCATCTGTTGCTGCACAAAGGTCGGTGCCATCGTTATTTAGACAGTGTGGAGTAAATGTAATTGTGATGCATACATGTTAAGGCATTGGGAAGTTGGTTAGTTCCAACGGTCGTCAGGGTCCCGATCTTGGTCACTGGGAGTGTGAGAACAAGATCTAAATTGCTTCTTGTGGAGCAAGTGAAAACAGCATTCGTAAGCTGTTTGTCTGCTAATGCGAGCAAAGAACGCAGTTTATCTTCTTTGAAGTGCCATTCGCAGACAAAAATGAATAAAAAAAAACATTGTACTCGTCTGCAAATGGACCAGAAAAAAAGTTGTCTTCTATGAACCGAGCTGTGCGGCGATGTGAGACTGGGCGCGGGATGAAATCGTGATCGACTGCTATTTCACTTTGGAGACCGTCTAGAACCTGTGCTTTTTTAGCAAATCTCAAGTTGTTCTGCTGCTATGCGCAAGCCGACATCGACCGGTGATTGATGGAGTACTTAAGACAAGCACATCAAAGGGCGCGAGTCCTCCCTCGCTATTTGTATGTTGGTGAGGCGTTCTCACCAAAATGTTGCTTGACTGTGAACTGGCGAACAGGTCAGAAATGTCTCGTCGACTGCATGCCGGAATGATGCTCACTTAGATCGAAACAGGCTGGGGTGAGGGGATAGAAGCCAGGATCTCTGGGTTCTGCAGTGCAAGCTTTAGCTCCACATGCTCCAAGTTGAGGTTTGTTAGCGCACTCAGTGGAGTCTTTCAAAGTGGAGTCTTTCATTTTAAAAAAAAATATTTAATTATAAAAACGGGAATGAGTTATTTTCTGGGGGTGAACATTTGTCCACACTTTTACATAGTTCTGTGTTGTCTAGAAATTTTACCTACAGGATTAAGCAATTAAAAGTATTGTTATGAAGCAGGATGTTGGATTCACATCTTCTGTATAGTGAACAATGTAGCTCTTTTTTGCCACATTTTTTTCTGGGTAGGAAGTTTTTTTTGTAAACCTTTTGTTGTGGCTTTGTAATTTTTTTTTTTTTTTAACGCATTTTTTTGTTTTATGCAGTCTTCCAGGTGTCTTTTTTTTTTTAAGCTGCAGACTGCTCCACAGCTACTCTAAGATGTGCATTTTACTCTTAAAAACTACATCTGAACACAGGTTTTTCCACTCTAAAAATTGCTCCAAAGTTCCATCTCTAGGTACGTTCCTTGCTGAAGCTGTACAACAAAGCAGGAACGAAAATTTCGATGTTTGCAATTTTAAATTTATTGTTATTTATTTTCTGCACTCTAGAAAACTAGGCTAGATAATAAAACTACATATGGGACAAAAAAAAAAAAAGCACAAAAGCCGAGTTCATGTTTGTTTTTTCTCTTTAGTCGAGCGGCTGCGACGAAATCACAGGGCACGGGCTTTTCCAGCTCAAGACAGGTTTGACATTGCGTCAGGTAAGGGTCCACGCTTTCAAACATTCGTCAGCAGTGTTGCAACAAATGTTACGCCAGGACAAACATGTCGTTTTCTACCTCCTAAGAATCTCGCGCACGACTCGTTGAAAACGCGCAATTCTGAATCTAAACACTCGCGGATTCGAGGTACCGAATGTTCATATCACTCCGTTCGGTTTGGCGCATAAGCACCTTTCGTTTTGCCAATTCACAAAGGCTATGAGTGCAAGCTGATGGTTGTATCAAAAGGTTTGTGATTGCACTTTTGCGCGAGGTTGTGAAAAGAGGTGAATAAAGTTTTAACACCTCCCATCTGCATAAAATACACGCAGATGGGACGCAGAAACATGAAAATCGACCTTGAAATTGTGTCAATCATTCAGTGTGTATTATTCAAACTGTAGACTTTGTGTGTAGCCAGTTTGCTCATCTCTCTTCACTCTGTAGTTTGCACAAATTGTTCCGTTCTCTGCACAGCCTTTTTTTTTTTTTATTTGCGCAGCCACTCTTTGTAGCTCACACTTGAGCTTGAAGGGCAGCTCCGCCGAGATTTGCATAAGCAGGCAACGGCGTCCAGCTTGCAAACATGCAGTTTATGTGCTACGTAAAATTGATGCTGATACCATCCTTTTGTGGTCCGACCCTGAACTCTGCTGGGTTTCTCGGATGGGGCACAGTGCCGACAAAAGAAAAGCATTTGTGGGATCCCATGTTATTATTTGCGCAAATTATATTATAGGGGAGGCTATCTAAAAAAAAAAAAATACCCGGAAAAGCTACAGGAAAAATTAAGGTGGAGGTGATGTCATAGGCGCCGCATGACCATGTGATGTGGTCACGCGAAGTAGCATGTTTTGTCGTGTGATATGTCACATGACATGACGCAGCGTGAGTGTGCAAGTTTTGGTATAAACATGATTGCACCAACGTTGATGACTCTAACATATTTTGTGTACGGGAATATTTTTTGTTTTGGCTGCTTGATTGTAGACTTCGTCAGTTTGTAAGCCGTGCCTTAGTGGGTCGCATCAGAGGGCCAGTCCTGTTATTAATGATAGCTCCAGTTGTGTGTGACAAAAATGTTTAAGGAATTGAGCACGTATATCATATACATTAGTACTTAGCGTAAGTTTTAAGTTGAGCCATCTATAGGGCGACGTCGATCCTAAAGCCGTCTATAAAACGAGCCGGAAAAAATTAGCATCTGCACGTAGCTAGATGAAGTTTTAATTGGAGGTGTACTAATGTGGTTGGTTTTAATGCACAAAGTTTCGAGGCAGTTTTGTTGCTGCAAAAAGTTCGAACAATAACGTGGAAAATTTGAACGGCGCATACCGACGCGTGCGGACACATTAGATGAACAGTCAGGTTCGAGTGTTATCAAGAGGCGACGCAACACGTCATAATTGGAAAATGCCACGACAGCAGCAATCGATCGGAGTGAAGATAACCTTTGCATAATTTTATTTCCACTTATTGAGAGGTTAACTTCGGAACTAATACAAGTCAAGACAAACAATTGTGCAGATCTGGAGTCAAACTTTTCGATGACGTTTTAGTTTTTCGAGGGAACAGAGTCTTGAAATTTCACACGGTAAAACCGACTGCTGAAACGAACGTTTGACGACGATCTGAGAAGATTGCCGCGTGCAGACGCCGATTAATCCATCTTGCTTCAAAGTTCATACCCAGGATCGACGCCCCCCCCTTAAGGAAGCAAATCCTTACGACAATGGTTCGGAGACGTGCTGAACTCCGCGTAGAGTGGAGTCGCCCTCTAACGGTGTTCCCTTCTAGCTGTTTCTTTTGTGTTTTTTTCACCGGTCCTTTTTTTCCAGCAGTTCTTTTGTTTGTTTGTTTTTCTTCTGTCTCTCTTTTTCCCGGTTCCTTCAGTGTCGTCCGACTCGAACGTTCAGTCGGACAGTCGCCAGTGTCCGCTCACGAGGAGCAAGTCTTTGGATTACTTGTCCCTCCGAGGTGAGGGAAGAGTGTGCATGCCCTCGTCCTTTCCGGGCCGCTTTTTCACGCCCGCAGATTTTGTTTTTTGCACACCGGTAGCGTGGTATGTGCCTGGAGCGCATCTTTGGCTGGCGTGTTTACGACATCTCGAATTCTGGTCTCTCGATCTCTGCCCGATGACACGACACGATAGCTCCTGTGGCGTCGTTTGTTGTCGCTTTGGGACCATTCTCGACGTGTGAGCGGTGTAGGATACTGAACACGCCGGTGAGAGATGTGCTCCATGCTCTGTAATCAATGTATCGTCGCTTTGCACTCTAACCTGTCTTGGCTCTCTCCCTGTCCTACACTTAGTTTCACTTGTTTCTGTCGTTCTTGCCTTTGTAGTCCAGAATTTCCTTCCCCATTTCTTTGTTACCCAAATCGCGAGACTTGTTTGTTTGAGGAAGTGTGCTGGCCGCCTCATTAACGAGGCCTTTTTTGTATCGTAAAAGATTGTTGGACAAAGAATTGGAGATAAAATAGACCAGTGTTCCCCCTTAACAATGTTCCGGGAGCACCGAAACAATCACTTTGGTGGAATTACTTCTTTGAGGATCTAAAAAATATGAACATAGTGAGAATCGTAAACCAGTTTTATTGACAGCTGCCACGGGACTGTAACCTACTAACATTCTCTAGTGTTTGCAGGCCATCGAATGAATTCTCAATACACTTCATTCATTTATTAACCCACTTTAATTGTAACTGTTTTGTTAGCGGATTCTATCTAACTGTAAGCATTGTTAGTAGTTGCCCAGAGCTTTTTCTGTGTGGTTCGTTTGGCCCTGTACATGCATAGTCCCATGCTCGCTTCAAGGTCACGCATCTAAAACATTGTCCAACTGAACAATTTGTTGTTCCTTGGTTTGTAAACCAAGTTGAACAACTTGGTTTATAAATTTACTTTTTTTGTAGCTAGAGCACAATAGGACTTCAGTACATTGTAGGCATAAAGGTAAAAATGAGCCTGGTAATGATAAGTATACTGCTATGCTCTAGTACTCACCGCTTCAAGAGGTACTGCTAAAATAAATTTCTACAAAAATTAAAGCCTGGTTGAATGTAAAGACAGCTGTTTACTGTTACTAGTTTGCAAAGCATATGAAAACTAAACCGTGTTGGCCAGCTGCAGTTTTGTGTATGTAGTACTATGTGTGTATGCATGTACGTGTGTGTGTTTATGACGTGGGTGCACGTATGTCCACAGTGGAGTCCCCGTGTATGTCGCACGCATCTGAGTACCGCAGCCGGTCGCCATCGCCAACGCCATCTAGTGGCCTCGAGAGCACCAGCATCAAGGACTCGCCCATTCAGATCGACGTGCTCGGTGCCAGCAGTGACAACGCCTGCAACGCTGGGGGTAGGCTTTCCCTCTTCTCCTCTTTGTCTTGACGTCGCATCATTCATAGTGTAAGTCTCGAGGGGGATCAATCCTTGACATTTTTCATGTGGATTGTTCCGCTATATATCGGGTGTCTGTGAAGATAATTTGCAGTGTTCTTTTACAAACAGCTTTTCCCTAACCGTAACGGCCACTGCCTACAGCACATTAAGGTCGGGGACTGCTGTTTCATATAGACGAGGAGAAACGCTTGTGTTGCGGACAAATTGGCATTCTTGTATGAGATTTGATTATTGTCTGCTTCCTAGGGCATAGTTTTCTAACGTTTGGTTGTAAGGCAATGTTTTATAAGTGGTTTTGTTCTTTTGACAGCTGAAGCATATAATACAGCATGCCCCCCCCAAAGGTTATTGCGATTTTTTCACCACAAAAAGTAACTATGCATCGCCCGAATACCGATTCGCCGCCCAGATGTAGCTCTAGCAGTCCGAACTGGATGCCAAAGTCTCGGAACTAACCGTTGTCGCAATCAAAAGTTATTCCGCAAAATACTGCGGAAGCACCCACTTCGTATGAGCACCCGCTTATACCATTTCCCAAGCTTGGTAACTGTGCCAATTATACATTAAGCACCCACACCCTCGAAGTGCTGCCGTCAGCTGAAAATATTCGCCCCGTTGCGGTGGCCACGAACCCCCTGTGGTGATGACGAGGATATTGGGTGAAAACGAATGTTTTCTTCGGTTTTGTTCACCCCGCCTTCAAAGCCCCTTATTGCCCGGCTGCCATCTTTGTTTTTACCACATTGGCCGGACAAGTGCCCATGTCTAGATTAACTCAGTTTTCGGTGGAAGTGGAGGTGGGTGCCTCTTGGGTGTCTCACGGCAAGTGATTTTTTTTAAAAATTTCACTAGGAAAATGGGGTTGGTTTCTGCCCGTGTTTGGTAGCCGACGCCATTCAGCTCCACGTATTCGAGCACTCCGTCGGTTTCCATTGTCCCTTTGAAAATTTCAGAAAATCACTGGTGACTTTTGAATAAGGTAACGGCATGTTCGGAAACGTTGGCATTTGGTTCAGACCGCTAGCTCAATATTTCGGCGGAGAACGAGCGTTCGGCCATGCCTAGCTTATTTTTGCGGCGAAAGAAAACAACCTGTAAATTGTTTTGGGGGTTACATCCTGTAGTTGTCACATGTACATTGTTGTTCTGCTAAAAGCTTTCCAATCCTTGTCACCGGCCAGGTCTGTCAGAACGGAAAAGAAGAGGTAGGTCTCGTGGGAATCATGGAGTTTACAAACAACCTTTGGGCACATTGCTCACCTTTTTTTTGCATATATTTTAATCATACTTTAGGGACGTTACAATGCATGCTCCAGTGGGGCATGATGCAATCTAACTTGTCAATCGCTGACTAAAGAAACAGCAAAAAATCTAGAACACTTTTTGTTTTGCAAAAGGCGATGATTGGCGTACCAGAGTGCCTCGACTTTTGCTAATAAAGATGACCAAAATCGTGATTATTATTATTAAAGCTAGGGTGACAGCTGTCTTAGGTGATGTCGTTTGCACTTACCTAACGTAGCCAATCTGAGGGATGGAGCTGATCAAACAGTGTGTGTGCACTGTCAGAAGCAAGGACCGTTCAGCACCCCATGCATTCACATATGCCGTAGATGCAGACGTGCCACCTGGTACGGATAGACGTAGTGTCCTGGCCGGCGGCGGGGTCAAGGGTTGGCTCCCCGAAGTGGCGGTGGTCCTGTGGCGCCGCATGTTGGGCGCTCTGGGCAACGTGAACGCCATACGCGACCCTGCCATCCACGCCCAGGTCATGGAACATCTCATCGACCTTTCGGAAACCCTCGTCAAGGTGCGAATCCTGGCCCGTCTTTTTCCATGTCAGTAACGTGTTCGCAGTTGGAAAGATTGACGATCTGGGGCAAACGGATGTAGCACGGTCTATATGTGAGGGGAGGGGATTGCAGGTTCAAATGGAATTCAGAGCGAATAGTGACTTTGGTCATATCATTTCTAGTTTGGGGAGTATACTTTGTTTATCTCAAGTCGGAGTGCATTAGACTCTACAAGCCATTGTGGCCAATCGAGCGGTGCCTGAAACGCAACGTCGGGGTGTTTGTCATATTTTTGTGCATGTACTATCACCTGGTAGACCAATCAAGTGCAATAGATGTGCCTTATCTTTGCGTTTTAGTCTATACTTTTATGTATATTACATAGAACTTTGATCAAAAACCTTTTTAATTCCTCATCCTGGAGAACTGCGTTGCGCCGAACGTTTCACCAGCTGGTCTGTGCTCTCGTTTTTCCCTAGTTGCTTCCCTGTGCTAGGGAAGTAGGCTTCCTAGTCAGTGCTTTTGGTCGAGGAACTCGAGGGGGGGAGCTCTATTGCAATTTCAGATGCGGGAGAATCTGGGAGTCACCGAGGACAACACAGCCACACCGCCGCCTCCCCAACTGATCCCTCCACTGCTGCTCATTGCACCCTGGCTCTTCGAGGTGAGTTTCTTGTCAGCCGAAATGTAGGTCACGCCATGTTAGGAGCAATGCACATTGCAGCAAAAATTCATGGAATATGTGTTTTTTTTTGTTTTTTTTTATCTGGGCATTTTTGAGACCCCTACAGTAGCAAACGGTGATGGCCGTTATCGACGAGGTATTGTCTTGTGACGTTGCATCGCATCGCGATGTCCTGCGACAACTTGGCGTCACATTACGCCACATTAGACGTGACGTGGTCGCTTCGCTCGTAATGTCACGTGACGCGACGTCGGTGGCAGCAGGACGTCACACCATTACGTCATTTGACACTGTGAGGTCACGTGATATCATGCATGCCAGTGCGTTCTCTTACTGTGAGCAGTTGCAGGCGGGCACAACATACGCTATCGCACTCCAGCACAAATGTGTAAACCAACCTTAAAAATCTGGTTTTTGTCGCACGCCGTGTGTGCGTCGTTGTCTCGAGACGAGGCAACTTTGTTGCGCGCCTGTCCTCCTTAGGCCCAGGGTCTTCCGGAGGGCTACGAGCGGGGCAAGCTGTTGGCGCTGCGCCTCCTGTGCTGGCTCACGGTGCGCCGTCACGACGTGCCCCTCTCCTTCGACCTCCTTGCCCGGTTCTACAACGTCCTCCACACCGGCCTTCTCGGAGAGGATCAGGTAGTCTGCGTTGAGTCTTTTTCGTGGCCTTTTCCGCCTCCTCGCTGGCGTCTTGAAAACTGAATGTGGTTCTGGGCAGACGATCGATTCGAAGGCGGTGGCCATAGTTGCGGCTGCAATTCTCGGTTGTGTTCGGGGGCGTGGGGCATAGCTGCGAAATGAGCTTGTGACACTGCGTTTCGTGTGCATACCTTTGCCGTTCAAAGCGCTTTGCTGGCTGATTTCTTAAGTGCTGCTTACACCCACATTGTCAGAAACATTCCATTGAGGGTCGAAGAACTGGGTATGCTCAATTAGTATTCAAATTGCTTTGTTCAAATACAGACTGGTCATCATTATCAATTCTGATAATCTTCTGACTTTTTTTTAAACTTTTGGCTCACACAAAGCACAGCAGCTCTAAAATTTTTTGCTACTCACAACCGACAAATTCTGCAAGATGTCTGGACGAGCAAAAAGTTAGGGTGCAAATGAGCTGGTGAAGGTTTAACATGATTTAGGACAAAACATCAACACTGGAGAAAGGACAACACAACACACAAGGTTTCAAACAGAGCTGAATTTTATTTCACGGAAGTTTGTGTTTATTTAGGGTTTCCCAAAGAAAAGAGCAAGAAAGTGAGAACACTTTTTACACAAACAGATAAGGAGGATTGAAGTCAAAAGACAACCTGCACAGGACTTGGCACAATGCCGAAACAGCAAGTAAAAAAAGAAGTTGGGTTGAACCTTTATCATTTCACCGGAACCTCCAGATAAGACACAAAAAAAAAAAAAAGCTAGATCCACCCTTTTCCGGAACAAACAGGACTGTAGGCAAAAACCTCAAACATCAAAACACCCAAACGAACACAAAACAAAAGAAAGGACACAAAACGATAGATGGCTAGGGCTAACAAAGGAACATGCCGACACTTAGTTTGTAGAGTGACCTTGCTCCAAAACAAAACAAAACAATTGATTTGTAGAAATCTTCTTAACTTTGTATCTAAACGAAGGGTTGGAGTATTTACTGCATTACCACGATAAATTACTGCCTTACCATGATCAACAGCCTTGCGTTCTATGGGTCAGATGTTTCCGCAAACCTTATCTGAGCTCCTCTAGCCACTGTAGTAATATTCTAAGTATAGTCCAGAGAAATTTACTTTTTTTGTTTATGCAATGCGCTGAGCAGTTGTTTTCGTCGTCATTGGTTCGCAGAAAGTGATCAACGCCATTGTGAAGTACTGTGGGACCAAGTTCTTCGCAAGCAAGCTCCCAGGCCACACTGTGCTACTCCTGAATTTCGTGCATGGTGCGGGCAGCGTCGTTAGCTCGAATGTCGTTAAAGGGGTGAGTGAATACTACAATAACCCACTTCAATGTCAGCTAATTAATGAGGGAAAAGTAGAGAGCATTGTTTCTTTGTTTAAGCACTGGAGGTTGGGGAAGTATTTACTAACAAACTGGCCGGTTGTGTTGAATGCATCAGTTATATCTAGGGGTGTGCGAATACTTGAATATATGAATTCAATTTGAATAGTAAGTTTCCGAATAATTTTGATTTCTGAATCGAATTCCTAGTATTCAGTTATTCGAATATTCAGTGTATTCGGCAAAAGACGCGCGGTCGGTGCTGAGTTGACATGAGAGCTGTTTTTTCTCCCGACATTAGCTCAAGGATGTTGGACGGACTATGCGAGAAACACCTCTTGGTTCTACCATTGTATAAGAATCTACCAAACAGGCTAGAAAAGAAAAAAAGGCAATGAACGCCACAAACTTTACACGCAGATTTAATCATGTTCGTGACAATCTAATCCTGAATCACAACCAAAACATCTCGTTCTCTTAACTTGCAGATGCGAATTGTTGGGGGGCCGAAATTGCACGCCATATCTAATCTCTTTCATTAGTAAAGCCTCTCGTTTCAAATTGAAGCATAAATCGGCGACTGCAAGATCGCAGAAAGAAAACCACAATAACCATGCCGATAAAACAAGCCAAGTTGTCTTGGTCGTCGTTTTGGAACCGCAAGCTGCAAGTTTGGATTCTGAACGAAACAGAATGGAAAAGAATTAGTGTGCCTAGATTTGAGAGCGTTTCTAACTGTTCGCCGATTGAGAAATGCGAACCGCGAGAACATTACGAAAGAACAAAAGTGTCGATAGCGTGCAGATGTCGTCGCTCTTCTGTTTGGTTTCCTTCTTTCTATGCGACAACACAACACATGCACACTTACGACCAATCTGCACAGGAACCTTATCCGTGGGCTTTCTAAAACAGGATAAATGGACCGAGCAATGGATGCATAGCGGCTGTTGAACGGGGACGTGCGTCACCTAACCACATGTCTTGTTACTTCGGATAAAATATTGTTTAAATCAGTTTAATCAGATTTAGATTTAACTCCTAGCCGTGTATTTTTATAAAATAAAATCACATGTGTCCTTCTTCGCCCTTAAAATCGAGAATAAATATTGCGGCATCTTTTTTGAGATGTACAGATATAAAAAAAGAGGGCGTGTTGGGGTGTTAGGCTGTGCCTTCAACAAGGAAAAAAAGCCACGCATGACTGTAACTTGTTTTTTTAGGACGCTTAGGGTAGATAGATTGTTTGTGCCATAAAAAACTGGATCTCAAAATCCACTTTAATGCCAAACGTCCAGCAGCTGCTTTTTTTTTTCACCAATTTTTTTGTACATTGAAGCTTTTGTTTTGCATTAGATGCATATTCTGCACCAGGTGCATACTCTTCACATGTAATATTCTCACAGCCCACTTAGCGAAATTCTCCAAGTAAAATCACTATTCAATTTTCAATTTTATATTTCTTTTTTCCTAATTCGATTCGGTATTTGATTCAATAACTACTATTTGGTATTCTCACACCCCTAGGTTTAACAATAGTGTGGCACTGCAGTTTGTTCATAGTTGGTGCTTGAAGTCTAATTATTAAAGTTGTGCGAATATTCAAATTTTCGAATACTAGTTTTGAATAATATGTTATTCGATACTCGCTTCGAGGTGAACTGCGATATTCATATTTTTCAAATTGTTGGTCACGGCAGGTTGGCCACGCTGCGCGCGCTTCTTTCTGAGCACTGGTGCACTTTGAAGAAGCAACACCCGCGGAGCTCGCTCCTGCGAGTGTTGCTTCTCTGCAGTGCACCAGTGCTCGGTAAAAAAGCTCACTCAACTGGGCTAAAACGCAGCTTCCTTAGGAGGAAAGCACATTTTCAAAGCGGGATAATGCACGTGCGCACCTGGTGTATTTAAAAATAAAAAAATGGAAACTTTGTGAATGTCGATATCATAATTGCAGTTAAATTTTCAAAATTAAATTGGTTATTATGCATGAGTATATGTTAGGCAGAGATGCCCTAGGTACCTGCATTAGTTATTCGTAACTGAAGAAAAGATATTTGCATGTAGCAAGAATACTTATTGATCCCCTCGATTAGGTATAGCTGAGCATCTTTATAGGTTTAATTTCTCAAATATGTCGAATATTTGCAGTTTGTGAGTTTTCTTTTGTGTCCTGGTAGTGGTGGTTTTACCACCAGTAATTACGATTATCCACCCCAAATGCCGCAGTTTGTGATCTCCCGCCGTCTCTTTGTTGCCGGACCCAGATGCCTCGGGTGGAGGCCGTGACCCTCTTGGGCAGCCTGGTCTGCTTCCCCAACATCTACCGGGAGTTGCAGGTGCTTCAGTGCCAGGTTTCCGAACCCCCAGCACTGACCTCGCTCACGGACGTCAAGGTACCAGTGGCCCCTAGTACATAAACTAATGTGAGGAATGTGAAAAGAATTGAAAAATAATAGTCCTCGATCGGTGCCCTTGTACAGTATCCTCAACCGTTAAACATATCCGCGAGTACGGCCGTAGAGAGTGCCTGCGTCGTCTGCTTGCGCGATCTGACAACTCTCGCCGCCATTCTTTACTGGTGTTGCGCTCCCAGTGTGGATGCGATGACCGATGCTTGCATAGGCGGTAGCATAAGAAAAAACATTGTCTTCTGGCTTTTGTAGGGGCGAAGCTCTTTAGGGGCTAGCCATGTCCGTATGTCCGTCCACCGTCGGGTGCACGTGCTCCTCCTCGTGAGCTCACGTGCCGTCTAGGGCAAAAATAAAAAAGATGCATCTCCACGTGGTGAATGATGTTGATTGGGGCGAAGCTCTGGTGGTGCTTGTCTGTGTAGACGGTGAGCCGCAGCATGCCGAGCCTTTCGTTCGTTTTCATTCATGTCAGAAAGAGAATGTGTGGTATGGAACGTGGTTATATACGCATTTGAGCATTTGACTGCAGCATGACATGGATGAAAACGAACAAAAGGCTCGGCATGCTGCGGCTCAGCATGCTGAGCCGCAGCATGCACCACTAGAGCTTCGCCCCAATCAACATCATTCACCACGTGGAGATGCGGTTGTTTTTTGTTGTTGTATTTGCATTGTTTTTATCGCAAAATTTTCTGTGGTGATGGCATGCTTTCAATACACTGAATATAAAGAACCATTGTATCAAGGATGATAACAACAATGTAGTTGTAATCAAATGCCATACTGGGTGGCAAAAAAAAAAAAATTAAAAAAAGGACTTAACAGAAAAAAAAAAGAAAAGACTAGGGGGTAGGGCTTGCATTTATCCAACCTTGCACTGAAGTCCTTTTCCACATTGCAGAGGCATGTTTTTACCCTTCGCATATTGCTGCTTCCCCACGTTGTGCGACTGTGGTCCCCCACGATGCTTAGTTATGCTTTGTCTCAATTCAAGTATCTGCTGTAAATAAGAGTGCTACAGTCAAATCTTGGTACAGCAAACACCACTTTAACAAACTTTTCAGATTAACAAACTTCTAAAAAATCCCGTGCTGACTGCCTATAATTGTAATGCAAAATTATTTCACTACAACATACTTCAGAATAACGAATATTTCAGAATAACGAGCTCTATATTTAGCTTCGCATCATGTTAACAACACCTCAGTTCTACGAACTCATATTCTGAAACGCGGGAATTCTAAGGTTTGAGGGAATCTGACACGGCAGTTGGAGTGGCAGGCTAGCAGACGACACGGCGAGCGGATGCCTTCCAAGTTGCAATTCGCTCCATTGAAAATTCGAGACGGCGCGAGAGGTAACGGAAGACAGACTACTATTTCTTTTTTTTTTTTTGTTGTTGAAACGACGACGGGTTTTACAAGCGCAGACGGCACAGAGCGCAGAGGCACCGGGTCCGGCAAGGGCGAGAGGGAGGCAGGGAGCACATGCACAAAAAAATCTGAAAAAAATAAAGAAAAAAAACGCAAAAAAAAAAAAAAACATTTTTTTTTTTTTTTTTATGGCGGAAGCGTGGCGAAAACGTAAATCTTTTCTTTTTTTTTACAATTTTCTTTTCTTTCTTTCTTTTTTTTTTTGTTGACGGCTATTTTACGAACCACGTCAGTCTACGGTGGCTGTGTCGCTGGCGATGCATTGGGTTTATCTTTGTCATCTTTGTTTCTCACTTCTGCGTGTGCTCTTGGCCTTGTCAGACGCAGCTTTTTTCGGTGTGTATTGTGTCAACAAAGCAAGCCCGTTCGTGCTGCCTTGGTGCCGCATAAAAAAAAAAAAAGGTCTTTCGTGCTGCAAAGTTTGTGCTGCATGCATCAAAAAAAAAATCACCGACTACTTTAAGTAAATGTGCTTTGTCTGATGTTGACTTGTGCATCTTTGTGAAAAACGAGTTCAAGGACCCACCATTGTAAAGGTAGGACGTTTTAATCATTGGAAAATAAGTAATTATGGTTAATTTCGCGGTTTTCACTATAACGACGTTTCCGAATTAACAAACAATTTTCTGCGGCCCCCTGAAGTTGGTTATACCGAGATTTCACTGTAAAAGGGTCAGATTTTTTGTCTAACAAAAATTTTGGAGCTTGAAGTGGTAGGATTTTGTTTTCTTCACCCACCCGTTGACACAGATCTTTTCTGGCATTCATGCAATATTTTGTAGTTAGATAAGCTCATTTGCCTTTCATCAGACGAGACTTTATTTTTCAGGAACGCATCCTAGGCCTGCTGTTAAAGGCGGGCAGGTCTGACCCAGACGGGCTTGCCAGGTAAGAAACCATTCAGTGCAACTTTTTTGTTTTGCAGTTTTGTAAGGTGAGCCTCTCTATGGTGGTTACTATGTTACAACTGTCATAAACGAATGGACATTTTCTAGTTTACCCTTGCATTGCCTAGTCAACACATCTTGTCAGTCTCTACTGCATTCTTTATCAGGAAATGATTGAGACATGCAAACTATCATCTCCTACTGGCTCAAGGCATACTGTCTTCATAGTTTAAATTCCTGCTCTTACTGGTCGAGCTATGTGATGGTTTTGACACCCTGATCACAACCCAACTCGGGGAAGACGTTCTAGCTGCTGTAGTGACCATTTTAGCTTTGAGCTGCTGGCATTCAATATTTAGTTAATCGAGTAGCGGCGTTAAGTTTGACGAGCACTGTGTATCACTGTACGACCTGGACACAGATTAGTGTTCCGTACGAGTTCTTATTTTTAACGAGCTACACAAGAGGGAATGGGCAGCCTTCTTTTACCTTGTTTTCAAACTGATTGCTTTTTTGCCTTGCAGGTGCAATGCCCTGTGTGCCTTGGCGATCTTTGCTTACGAGGAATTGTCCCACCAGACCAACCATCCAAGGACTCGGGAAGCCATTGGAGTCCTCCTCATTTCCATCAGGGTAACGGACGTACCTTCAAACTCGTATTTAGTACGTGGACATAATCCTACCGTAGGCCTAGAACATTTTTAATTTCATATGCTGCATGTTTCGACTTGGCGTCACTGCGAGTAGCATCGCAAAATGCAGAATGATCTGGCTGTCGCAGTGATGGCCTTTCTGTTTTGTAGAAAGGGCCTCACCCCCTTGATGTATTGATGTATCGCCATCACATCTTGGCAATCTAAGCTCTGCTGCCACTTTAATGTGAAACAAAGCACTTCATGGGCTATGACCTGACTCTCCAATTTCTGAGAACTCCTAACAAAGGCTTCATTATCAAATAAATCGTGCTCGTCTTTGGTCACGAAAGATGCGTCGCGCAATACGTGACTACACAGATGCATGACCACGCTGCAACGATCTTCCACATTGAAATCCTGAAATGCACAACGTTTTTACAATTAGCGCGCCAAACATTGTAGAAATGATCACTTATTCTAAACGTTCAACATCCCGACTTTGGGTCGATGCGCCAGCGGTCGCAGTTCCGACCTCTCGCACTGTTGCGAACTGGCGGGGACGAGGGGCAAGCAATGACGCTCGCGCCTGTCACGCAGCATTACAACCCGGTAATCGCGCAAGTCGCCGGCGACAACCTGCGGCTGCTCTGCGACCACGCTGCCTACCTCACGGAACACATGGCCCAGGTGCCGGGGATCGTCATCGAGGTGGGCACACTCTCGGAAGTCTGTGGCTGTGTTCGCGAGTCAGATTTGTTCCGTGAGAAGGGGTGACTTTGATGACGGCGGCTTGTCCGGTTTCCAGGTGATTGCCGCGACCCTCCACTCCCTCCTCCCGACCAGCAGCGCCGACGTCAGGGAAGAAAGCAAAAAGGTGAAACACGATCACGATTAGACACTCTATACCATTGTTTTTGTACTCCGACGGAGCCGACCAAACAGCGCCAAAGGTGCATAGTCATCTTGCTCGTCTTCCTTGTGCGTTTGCTATTCACTGTGCATCCACTGCGAGTAACTGGTTCGGCCCGTGATGGCGATTGCACAGAGATGAGCGCCATGACGATACACTGTTGAAAATGCTTGATTGGTTTCATCGAATTGTGCCGTTGGCTGCGTTCGGACTTCATGCGAAACAGGGTATAAGGAGTATTCACTGGGCGCCATATTTGTGGGTGATGTCTAGAGCGCATGCTCTGAACGAGCCCACATTAATAGGCTGCTAAGACAGGCTATCTTGAGGGTGCGGAATGCACGTTACAAAAGAACTGCGGAAGCTCGCCATCAGCACGCGCTCAGCAGTTGTGCACACAGCTATGGCTGCCAGTGAATACTTCCTATAGAGAGTGGCTCCCCTGAAAATTTTTTCTCAATGTCACAGCGTATCAGGAGCAGTCCAGGTATTTCTGCTAATCCTGTATTGCACAAATTATAATATATAGAACAACACTGTATACACAAAAAACCCTTATTTTATTGGGCTCGGATAGATATTTTAAATTTCACAAAAATAGCTTGCAGTAATAATGCCACGCGCGTCGGCGAGTGACCGTGTGCGTGGCCGAGTGTTTACCGTGCTTGACTGTCGTGCAGAAAGTCTAGGTTTGATTCCGGTCAGTGGAATGTTCTTTTATTTATTCTTTCGACACTGCGTTCTTGTGAGTTCGAGAACATTCTCGTCTGATCGAGTTTTGAATGTTCTAGTCGCCGAACCTTCTAGGCTGATTGTTACAGAAGTCAATGCGCGTGCATAAGGGGCTCCGCGTGGCGATCTGCAATCAGTCTTGCCCCAGTGTTCGACTTTGCTGTTACGCCGACTTCGACGCTCGCGACACTCTGCTATTATCTTTTATTCTTTTTTAGAGCGCAGCTCTTAGGGGCCCGTTTCCAGCCTGAGCGGCGTCGGCGTTGGCGTAACCGTGCACCCCTCCTCCTCCTCCCCCTCCTCCTCCTCCCCCTCCTCCACTCATTATCTAGTATGGTCCGAGGGGGCACGTGACCTCGGGGGGAGGGGGTCACATGACCAGTTTCCAGCCTGTGCGGCGTCGGCGTAACCGCGCCCCTCCCCCTCGTCCTCCTCCCCCTCCTCCTCCCCTCATTATCTAGTATGGTCCGAGGGGGTCACGTGACCTCGGGGAAAGGGGGTCACATGACCCGTTTCCAGCCTGTGCGGCGTCGGCGTAACCACGCCCCTCCCCCTCCTCCTCCTTCCCTTATTGTCTAGTATGGTCCAAGGGGGTCACGTGACCTCGGGGGGAGGGGTCACATGACCTTGGGGGGGGGCGAGGAGGAGGAGGGGGAGGTGGAGGCGAGGAAGGAGGAGCTTGAAGGACGAGGAGGCGGTGAAGGAGAGGGAGGGGGTGGAGGAGGAGGAGGAGGGGAGGAGGACTAGCAGGCATGATCACGAGGGAGGAGGAATATACCCTCCCCTCAGTACCCTTCCCTCCTCCTCCTCAAGAGCTGCGCTCCGATTCGGCGTTACAGGAAGTTGTAAACGGCTTTCACTTTTAGAGCGCAGCTCTTAGGGGCCCGTTTCCGGCTTGAGCGGCGTCAGCGTCGCCGTCGGCGTCGGCGTAACCGCGCGGTGCATCATGGGAAATGTCCCATAATGCACCGCGCGAGCCCCCCACCGGGGTCACGTGACTTCGTGGGGGGGCACGTGACCCCCCCCGAGGTCACGTGACCCCCCGAGGTCACGTGACCCCCTCTTCGAGGTCACGTGACCCCCCGATGACGTCATCAACACTGATGATGTCACCGGCATCCACATCGTCATCATCAGTGATGATGACGATGCGGATGCCGGTAACGTCATCAGTGATGATGGCGATGACGATGTGGATGCCGGTGACGTCATCAGTGATGATGACGTCATCAATGATGATGACGTCATCAGTGACGATGACGATGTGGATGCCGGTGACGTCATCAGTGATGATGACGTCATTAGTGATGTTGACGATGACGATGCGGATGCCGGTGACGTCATCAGTGATGATGACGATGCGGATGCCGGTGACGTCATCAGTGACGATGACGATGCGGATGCTGGTGACGTCATCAGTGATGATGACGATGACGATGTGGATGCCGGTGACGTCATCAGTGATGATGACGTCATCAATGATGATGACGTCATCAGTGACGATGACGATGTGGATGCCGGTGACGTCATCAGTGATGATGACGTCATCAGTGATGATGACGTCATTAGTGATGTTGACGATGACGATGCGGATGCCGGTGACGTCATCAGTGATGATGACGATGACGATGTGGATGCCGGTGACGTCATCAGTGATGATGACGATGACGATGTGGATGCCGGTGACGTCATCAGTGATGATGACGATGATGATGTGGATGCCGGTGACGTTACCGACATCCACATCGTCATCGTCATCATCACTGATGACGTCATCAGTGACGTCACTGATGTCGTCACCGGCATCCGCATCGTCATCGTCATCATCACTGATGACGTCGTCTGCGACGTCACTGATGACGTCACCGACATTCGCATCGTCATCGTCATCATCACTGGTGAAGTCATCAGTGACGTCACTAACGACGTCATCGGTACCCGCATCGTCATTGTCACTGATGACATCATCAGTGACATCAGTGATGATATCATCGGCATTGGGGGTCACGTGACCCCCAAGGTCACGTGACCCCCCCCCCCCTGGTTAGTCTAACCCCCCCCCCCCCCCAGCGCCCTTCCCTCCTCCTCCTCAAGAGCTGCGCTCTAATTTGGCGTTACAGGGAGTTGTAAGCGGCTTTCACTTTTTTTTTTGTTTTGGGCACAAGTTTGCCTCATTAAACGTCTATTTCTTCTTTTTTATTTATTGTACTTTTGGTCACTACCCATGACAATATAAATGTTTATTTTTGCAAAATTTAATGTTGCCTTTATGCACTGCCTATTTGCATTATATTTTTCAGAATTTTGCATTTACATTGATTGGCATATACTACTTCCTGAGTTATTTATTAACATAAAAAAAAATTTCTCCACATTTTAATTGAATTAGTACAAGCATAATGCTGCTTGGAACAGAAGGCTCATTTTATTGCCTACTTTCATTGTAGGGTGCACAGAAACAAGCATGGTGTCAATAGTGGTTAGCACTGTGTAGAGGAAGAGCAGTACTTCAAACGCTGCACTTCCTCTCTATATATCTACCTCTTTCTTGAGACCTATGGGGTGCAACGAACGATCAATTGATGCAAAACAATGTCGGTAATGGACAAAGTTCACACTGTCGTCTTCCGCGGCCCATGTTGCAGTTGGTGTTGTCGCTGCTCTTTTGTCTGGCGGACTGGTGTATGCACATGGCTCTCCCCGTCCTGACAAGGACAAAGCCAGACGGAACATCTCCACTGCTCTGCACCCTCAATGTGAGTGATTGCAAATCTGTCGGACTGGTCTTTGCCCTTTCATACTGAGTTGTGCTGCATTTCTACACAAGTCTTACTTTTCTTAGTCACTCTTTATAGTGAGTGGCCTTTCTTGCAAAAGTGCTCAGGGGCTAGGAATTGTGAACCTGCTAACCTAAAAAACTTAACTTTACACAACACAATTTTTTTGTCTTTTATTGGGAGTACATATTTTTATGTAGAGTGCCATCAACAAATTGTGCCTAAATTGTAATCACAGTTGAGCTAGTCATTTAGCCAGGAGTTTGAAGGACACTTTTTTGGACTCTACCATTCAGTTAGGAGGTTAAATCGAATGCACAGATAATCTAATCGATGTGTCGGAATTTGCAATTTCTGGATGTATCGATTCGCCGGTTGAATTGAATACACGGATATTTGAATTTGTTCTGAGGTTCTAAAGCAAAAGCCTTAATTGTCTCATTGAGCAACAAATCGGAGTAAAGGGCCATAAAATGCGGTTGGGTGGCACGCTCTGCTCAATCGTGTGCTCAAGGACGACCTTCACCCTTGCGGTCTTCCTAGAAGTCGTCCTAGACCTCTAGTACGATTTCTCTTGTCACAGTACGTGAAAAACGAGTGGTGTCCATCGGCGTTGGGTCCAAAATATGGCCATAAAAATATGTTATCAAGCGTCATCAGCGTGATGTCATCAAGCATCATCGTACGTCATCAGCGTGATGTCACTGCCAGAGCGCTGTGTGCAAAAGGTGCGCTTCGGACTTCATCTGTGCTTGGTGTGTGCTTCGTATGATGGACTGTGAGGTGACCACGTCTAGTACATCTACGGTGGCTTCCGCAGGCAAACGTGGCTGCCCACACAAATACGCCACAGCCTCCTTAAGTGCCCTCCTTTAGGCGTCGTTCTCGACGTCATCCTGGACGTTCCTAGAAGTCCTTGACGTTGTTCTTGATGTCGTCCTAAAGGTCGCCCTAGAAGTTGTCCTAGATGTCACTCTTGACGTCGTCCTAGAGGTTGTCCTCTAGGCGTCGTTTTCGACGTCGTCTTGAAGACCGTTCTAAAAGTGGTCCATCGACGTCATACTTGAGATTGTCCGAGAGGTTGTTTGAGATGCCATCCTTGACATCCTCCTCGATGTCGTTCTAGAGGTCGTCCTAGACGCCGTGCTTGGCGTCAATCTCGAGGAAGTTGTCCTTTATCACGTGTAGAGACAGTACTCGCTAACATTTCTCCCGTGGGACTATTAATAATGCTTTCGCCTTCCTACACGTAATGTTTGGACGTGTCAGATTTAAAGTTGAATCCAGTACACAGAAATTCGAATAACAGAATTGGTGTTACATACTTTGGAACGTTTGGACTCGAAGGTTGAATCGAACGCACAGATGTTAAAATTGATGTTTTGTAGTCTTATCTTGTATGTGTCATATTCGAAAGTTTAAATCAAATACATGGGTATTTGACTCGACGTGCCAAGGTTTGCAGCATTTGAAAATGTCGGATTCTAAAGCCGAATACACAGATATTTGAAATCGACATGCCCAGGTTTTGGAACGTTTGCATGCGTTGATCGGGGTCTCTAGTTGCGTCCGACGTGGCAGTGTCGTCTTTTGTACGGGAACCTTCACAATTACATTTTTCTCGACCTAATCTACCGACTCTGTTCCTTTCTTTCTCCCAGGTCCTGGAGCACGTGCTGACGGGCAGAGCACCGTCCGTCCAGCCGGACGTGGCGTCGCTACTGGTGACGCTCTGCCCCGGCACCAAGGTCGCCGACACGGACCCCCAGCCGGCCGAGATTCAGCCGAGGACCCGGTCGTCCAACCCGGCCGGGAGCAACCCTGGGTCGGGAGGGGGCAAGATTGCTCGCTCCATTGCCAGTTTCGTGCCGCCCGCTGTGCTCCAGAGCGACTTGCGGAGGAGCGGCAGTGTCAAGCTGGCTGCCAGGATGGTGGGTTATGTTTCGTCTCGCATTGAAGGGGCATGGAACCCTCAAGTCATTCTCTACAAGAAAACCGCCTCGAACGAGCGACACTAGGAGTGAGACGTTAACGTTGCATATAAAGTTAGTATATAAAGTCCGAGCTTCTGCGGAGCTCAAACCTGGGTTGGTGCGGTAACAGTCGGATGCTACAGCCGCTGAGCCACTAGCACGGCTGCTCTTGAAGAGTAAAGGGTTTCACTGGAATGCAAGCATGCTGGCGAGAGGGAGACGTTTTGAACGTAAATAATGAAATAAAATAATAAGTGCAAATGAATAAATAAAGAATGCAATGAATAAAGAAGGATAATAAAAAGAATGAAAAGTGCCTAGCACAAGTCCACCCAAAAATGAGGAGATGATAATGAGGGGGAAAAAAGGGGGCATTTGGGCAAAAATGGGACCTCTCGTCAGGACCACTGACCCTCTGCTCTGACCAAACGTATTTGTAGAAAACCATTTATTTCATTTTTTTTCCGGTCGTGACATTGAAATTTGGTGTTTTTTTTTTTTTTGATAAATCCAAATTGACGAAAATTGTACTGGGAAGTGTTTTTCGGATTTTGAATCCAGAACTGTAGTTACTGTCGAGATCGGTTATAACGCAGTCAGTTATAACGAAATAGCGGCTACAGCGAAGCGAGAACGATTTCCCATTCCCTTTTGCACTTCGTTGTAACCGAAGTCGATTATAACGAAATAGCGGCTACAGCGAAGCGATCACGATTTCCCATTTCCTTTCGCACTTCGTTATAACCGAAGTCGGTTATAACGAAATAGCGGATATAGCGAAGTGATTTCCGATTCCCGTTGACTTCGTTATAACCGGTCTCGACAGTATATTTCAAATGTTTCCAAAGTAGGAGTGGGCGCTTACTGCAATGTGGGCACGCGCTCGGTATTTCGTAACAGGTCCCGGACCACGGTTCCTTGTCTGGTCTTTCAGATCCTGAGCCACCTCCTGCACCAGCTGGGCCACTTTCCGATGGGGCTTGGGGCGGCCCAGCTAACAAGCCTGGTGGGGGAGCAGGATGACGTGCCCGCCTTGCGGGACAGCGAACTCTCCAAAGAAGTCTTCTCGGCTCCCAACATCCAGCTCTTCGTCCTCAACAACGCCGCCATCATCTCTCTCGTCGAGATCCCCGCCCAGGCTAGCCTCTTCGTCCTCCTCCTCTCTGCTGCCACACTCCCTTTCCCTCTTTCATTCTCTATAGTCATTGACGAGATGAGAAAGGCAGATAGAGGTCCTTCGAGGCTGGTTCGCACGGTTGTGTTTGAGTGTGCTCGGCTGTATTGCGCTTCCTTTGGCGATGGCCGTTACGAGCTCTTCCCAGCACTGGAAATGACGTGGGCTCAAAGCAATTCTAACCATGTTATAAGTGATCATTTCTCGTGGGTCGTGCATAGATTTAATCTCGCAAATACTGCATAACCTTTGGTGTAAAACCTTCGTAGATGGTGCATTGATTTGATCTCGCAAACGGTGCGAAACCTTCAGTCTAGTTACACACAGATTGGAAGTGCTTCAGGGCTTCCTAATAGATGGTGCCAGTTCGTTTTCTCCACGTTAAGAGGTTGCAAATGGACGCGACGCTCTCGAGCACGCTCGAATGCAAATCTGTGAACAAGCCTTAAAACCGCTCTAGCTGCCAGAGTAACCCAATAGACAAAGGTACTAGACCCACAGCACTAGATGCAGTAATGGTAGTCTTCATTTTTGTCTGCATTGAGGGGGTTTATAGTCCTCTTGCTATACCTGAGTGTCCTTTCTTCAGTCTGGAATATGAAGAGAAAAAAAAAAGAACAAGTCCAACCAATGATGCTTGTAGCCTGTCGGGGTGCCGCTGGCCAGCATATATCCTTGCGTAATAATCCTGGTTTTGCGATATTCTCTGCAAGGTTGATATCAACATCCATCACTTGCAGATCTTTCCTTTTCCCCAATTAACCACGCTTGGCGAGTGCACCAGCCCGATCTGAAGGTGTGCGTGCCGTGATGAAGCGTGATTCACGGGATTGTGGCGTCCGCCATGCGCTTATCACTTCTCCGCAGCACACGGGTACTGGGTGAGAAGCGCGCTTGACAGGGCCAACCTACCCGTTGTGGCTGTGAGTTGGCCACCACTTCAAAAAAGTATGAACGAAGTGAATATACAGGTTTTTTTTTTTTTTTATGCTGAGCAGATTTGTTTAAAAAATTGTCGAGGAAGCTACATTTATGCAGTTTGTGCAGGGTAGTTACATGGCCAGGGGGACATATTGTAACAGTCAGTTGGCTAATTAAGTAAAATTTGTTAATTTGCTTTTTAATTAGTGCAAATAGACATATGGTTTCAATTAGAAACTTGTCAATAATTTGTTTATAACTGAAAATACTAATGCTTATTTTATATTTCGAGGCAAATATTCAATAGCGTGTTGTTTGAAACTACCGTCATAAATTTGGATTACTGTATTCTCACGATCGTGCTGTTACGTTGACCCCTCAGGAGACTCCTGGAGGGGCGGCGAGCGTGGGGCTGACGACGGGCAAGTCGCAGGTGCGAGCCATCGTTCGCGACCTGAGCGGCAAGTTTGCCTGGGACTGCCTCACCCTGTACGGGCCCCACGGGTGTCGCGCCGGTTCCTACCCGCCCGGTCAGTGGCCCTTGTTTTCAGGCTCGATCTCGTTTCTTAGTTGGTGGGGCAACTTGTTCTAACATTATGTCGACTCGTTGGAGTTGTCCGTCGTGTTCGTCGGGGTTGTCTGTGAAGGTGTAATGTGACAAGGGGGGCATATTTCGAATACTTACGAGCACGGCCCGTGGGCGTTAGTCGGGTTGCGAGTTGAAGGTGGTCGTTCTTTTCGTGAACGGGTGTTCACTAGCTTTGCTTCTTGGGGTTCTGTAGCTGTGTCTTGAGCTGCCAAAGTGTTTGAATTCTTTTTGACATATCTGTGATGGAAGCATTTTGTTCGCTTTGACAGAACTACCAGATGGAAGCGTTATGTTCATTTTGACAAAGCGTACAAGTTTATTTCGACGACACTAAAAGTATGTGCCAGCACCTGACCATATTTTTGTGGCATGGTCGGAAGATCAGTTTGCGCAGTTCGGCGAATTGACCTTTCGTTTATTCACTCGGTTCGTTTACATTTTTTTTGTAATCTGTGTGCATCTTAAACATACATCAATGTGTGACGAATCGCAATACTTCATTCTGACACGCATTTAACAATTTAGCAACGGGCCGGGTCAAGCCACGGAGTTGAGTAGCAATATTTGGTGACAATCCCTCTGGGTCCGTCCTGAAATTCATGTAAAACGAAATTCGGGCGCGCGCAGATCGACTCGCCGCTTTTTTGCAATTGGGGCCAAACCGGTCCACCAACGAGCTCTTTCTGCGTGCGGTAGGTCCAGTGCCGGACCCGTGCCTGCACTACACAACGCAGCGGCAGCGCAACCCCGAGCTGCAGGAACAGCAACAACAGCAGCAGCAGCGACAGGGCGGAGACTCTTCGGGAAGGAGAAGTCCCCTGCATAGGCCCCCCAACCTGCTTCCGCTGCTGGACAACACGCAAGAGAACTACGACAACTTGGACGACGTGAGAGCAACGGAGCGTTTTCTCTTTCCCTTTGAAGTTACATTCACACCGCTTATTTTATCGTGCAAAAATGCGGCATTTGCTGGAGACACAATGACAAACTTATTTGTGGACGTGCAGCACGTTTACTTCGCATGTGTATGCTTCGAACAAATCTGCAGGCCGTTTGTGCGACCAACGGGACGGACTGTCGTACAAGGAAGAAACATGCCTCGGTCGTTGCCCGCAGGCTGTTTTTTTACAATGTATTTCCAGTGTGACAGTGACTTAAAAGGACCGTGGAACTGTTCTTTATCTGTCGCATTGTGAAAAGGTCTCAAGCTTCTGGGGGACGCATCGAATCGAGAAACTGTCGCCTCTCATTTTCAAGATTGTGCCATGGAAAGTACCTCATTTTCCGGTCTTTGTAAGTTGCATTGTTGCACAAGTCCCTATAAAGAAGTTTGTATGTGAGTCACACCTGCCGTAAAATTTCTTAAGAACACCCACCTGAAATGAAGAGATAGATGGCGAAAGATAATGGGGTGGGCTATCTTTGGAAAATGCCACAGCAAAACTTTATAAAAATTAGTGATAAAACACCCGGGCACCCACCACAAACCACGTAATGTGGGAACTGATGCCACAGATCGCGGACACAACAGATTTGCGTTTCGCGATGCGACAAACACGCGGGAGTTCGCTACGAACTCCTATGTGACGGGAGAGGATACCTCAGGTTGCGGATGCAGCAGATCCGTGTTTCACAGTGCGAAGGACCCACGGAAACCTGCCAAGAACTCGCATCACACAGAAACGGATAGTACGCAGGCAGCGGACGCAGCTCAGAGCGCAGACGCAGCAGAATTGCATCTCACGATGCAATATACACGCGGGAACAACTTGCGCGTTACAAGAATTAATATCGCGCGTGCATATCGCAAACGAAAGCCTGGAAACCCGCTATGAAGTTGCTTGTCAGACGTGCGGGTACCGCAGATTGTGCGGCTGATCCGATTCCCATTCGACATCGCGTGGCGTCAGATGAGAATGGGGGGGTGGGCAATGTTTCAGAATTTTTATGCTACAAATATTTAGCCAGAAAAACGGGATGGGGGATCTCTTGGAGGAGGGTGTCTTTACGGAATTTTACAGTATATGTTTGTAAGGTCAGCGTGTGGAAACTGCATTGATAAACCTGCACATTTGCATTGGGATTTGATATATGTGGAAGCGGGAGCCAGTTTCAAAATTCTTGTCAACAAGCTGAACGAGAGATATAACCCCTGCAGCAAATTTGCACAGTTAAGGTCCATACTTAAAGAAAGAAAAAAAGGCACAAAAGGTGCACCATTCCATGAGGTGCACTGACGGAAATCGTGACTTATACAGGGTCTGTCCCAAAAGTTCCCGGAATTGTTTTTTTTATAAATCATCTATTCAATATCAGTTTACAATCTTTTCAGAACTTTTCAAAGTAATCTTCCCCTGCTTCGATGCACTGTTGCCAACGCTGAACCCAATCACTGAAGGCGCCCTGGAAGCCGTCAACAGGAACCTCCTTCAGTGAGGTCGTCGCAGCTGCTTTTACCGTCTCCAGCGTCCCATGCCGAGTTCCTTTCAGGGTTCTTTTGATTCTTGGGAATAAAAAGAAGTCCGGTGGTGCCAGATCGGGGCTGTACGGTGGCTGGGGCAGCGTTGGCACACACATTTTGGCCAGCAACTCGGAGACAATGAGCGCGGTGTGGCTTGACGCATTGTCATGGTGCAAGATCCAGTTGTCGCAAATTTCTTTTCGGACTCGTCGAACCCTGTTTCGCAACCGTTTGAGCACTTCACAGTAAAACTCCTTGTTGACTGTTTGTCACTGTGGCACGAATTCACTGTGAACCACACCTTTTCTGTCAAAAAGCACAATGAGCATTGCCTTGATTCGCGATTTGCTCATCCTTGCTTTTTTCGGGCGAGGAGACTCCGTGGTGTGCCACTCGCTGCTCTGACGCTTTGATTCGGGATCGCACTCGAAAAGCCACGTCTCATATCCCTGTGATCACTCTGTCCAAAAATTCTGGGTCTGTTTCGAAGCGTTCGTGCAATTCCTGACACTTCAACAAACGCTCTTCCTTCATCTCACTCGTCAGGACCTTTGGCACCATTTTCGCGCAGACTTTCCTCATTTGGAGATCCTCTGTTAAAATGCGATGAACGATTGTTTTGGGTATTCCACACTCATCTGCGACCATTCGAACGCTTAATCGCCGGTCCTTGTTCAAAACGTGACGCACTTTTTGCACCGAGTCATCCGTTTGTGATGTCGACGGGCGTCCCGAGCGGTCGTCGTCGTTGACGGACTCCCGACCTTCCCGGAACCTCTTGTGCCACATGAAAGTTTGGCTTTTTTTCATCGCGTCGTCGCCGTAGGCTTTCCGAAGCATTTCGAGCGTCTCCGCCCCGTTTTTACCTAGTTGCACACAAAACTTGATTGCATAACGTTGCTCCAAAAACTGGTCCATTTTTTTTCTCGACGAGGGTGCTGTAGATGCCTCTGCGCGGAGCGTGACCTGCCTCAGCAACTGATAGCAGACAACTGAGACCGGTCTCGTTTCGAAGCTTATATCCCCCACTAACTTCTCCACCTGAAGCCCCACCCCGCCAGGCGGCGTTGCCGACCACAAAAAGTCATTCCGGGAAGTTTTGGGACAGACCCTGTACACCGGAGAAACTGCGGTAGTATTTTCGGTGTAAGAGCTTCTGTCGTTCTAAAAGGTGCATTCTTACCAGATTGCACACTATGGACCTTGAAAAAACTATCTCAAAATTGTTTCGTGGTGCCAGGGCTGGTCTGAGAAAACACAAAAATCGTGCGTTTTCTAACGGAGGTGTTGTCCTGGCGAAAGCCGAACATCGGCTCCTTGACATAACACTTCGGGACAATTCGTTGGAGCACTACGTCACGAAACTGTTGCTCAGCTGCCACCAGGAGAGCCCTGCCGTGAGAAAAGACAGTTTGCACGTTCAGTACTGTAGTCTCGGTGCGAAGAACCCAGCATGAACATAGGCCGACTGCGTGTTTATTGGTGCTTGTAATACAAAGGAAAAGGCCCAAGACACAGGCATGGCCACTTCTCACAACGGTAGCAACCTCTGTCCTTGTAAGATAGTGATAACGATCGCAGTTTCAGAGTTTCTGTTTTCTAGCAGCAAACAACGCTGCAATCTCACTGGCAAAAAAAAGCTGCAAAGACAGCTTGACGAGGCCAAGGACAGCAAGAACGCAAAAGAACACAAACGCACGAGACAACGAACATCATTTGCTCTACTATACTGAGAGTAAAACCATATCTACAATAATCAAATGAGTACTAAAGCTTCAGTAGGAGTTAGAAGTGTGCTCCATTGTACTAAAACTTAGATAATTATTGCAAAAATAGTAAAACCTTAAAAATTCTAGAGTTAAACTCTAAATGGCGTCCAATTGACACCCATACTGAAAGGGTGCGCGTAAATTCGTTGGTTTATCGACGATTCCCCTGATCTTGCTTGAGACACTGTAGGATAATGGATGGCGGACACCGTACTGCACAATCGGTTGGTGTCTCCGGATCGAGAGGCCACCTGGGCCCTGAACGGCGCGCTTTCCGCGCATCCGTCTCTGCAGCTGCTGCAGTACGTGGGGCACACGAGCCCGGAGTGCGTGCAGACGCCGTGCCAGCCACTCAACTCCGCCCCCAAGGCAACGCATGAGCTGGCGGGCATCCGGGAGGCGGAGACCATCCACTTGGTGCTCAGCCAGCACTCCCAGGAGGGTCACCACACCGCCAGGGCCTCCTACAGCCCCGAGTGAGTGGCACCCCCTCGCCGGCGACCCCCGCCGACTCGACCGGTCCCCGAAGGCCGGGTCACGCACTTTCGACAGGTTGCAACTCCGTGCCTTAAAACCTTTTGGCCCTTTGAGGTCATCTGTCAGATGTCGCCCGACAAATGCGTATACTCATTGCGGTCAGTTGTTGTACGTGCCTCGACTATGTTAACTTGTGTCATCTATCATCGGGTGCATAAGGGTGATGCCTGTTGACGGCGTACGCAGCCTACAGGGGGCGCTCTCTAGCTATCATCATCATCGTTTCTGACGCTTTGTGTAGGATAGCGGACTGGGTAGACCGTGCAGATCTTGGATCCCATGGCTTGTAAGCTCGCTTCATGCGCTGTTGTGGTCACGCGCGGCCAAGCCTGTTTTACGCTTTGTGTTTATTGGTGAAGTGATACTTGTAGTAGGACATTTTATCAAAGCTTGAAACCGTGGCACGTGTATAGTCGTGCTAAGAAACACTTAAGCGCTGAGATGGTGGTGTGCTGTTCTCTACCCCTACGAAAAATTTGGATGATGAAGGTAGAGTATCCAGCGCTTAAAGGGCCCATGAAACGATTTTTGGGTTGGGATAAATCATTTTAGATTGGGATTTTACTAATAGCACATCGTTCAGTGGGCCAAAAGAGAAAAGGTAGAAAGTCTAAAGCCTGACTTTCAGTGCGAAAATTTGAAAACACAGCGGACTATTTCGTACCCCCTCCCCTTCGTAACCTCTCTGCCTTTTCACTGTGATACATCCGTGGTCCCAAAAGCGCGTCATCGGGTTCAAACTGACGTCACACGAAACCGGACCTCATTTAGTCCCTTCATCCCTAAGCTGACATTGTGGTGGAAGCTACGCGCTTGCCGGACCAATCAGCCGCCTCCGTTTCATCACCTGACCTCATTCTCTGCAGCCACATTTGCCACGCTCACGTGGCAAAAGTGTGGCTAGCCCAAGGAGCACGTAGCTTCCACAGCACTGTCAGCTTAGGGGTGATTGGGGTGGGGAAAGAAACTTGTGACTGAATTTTGAGCGACGGGTTAATCTTCTAGGGGGACAATGGCTCTCTCAGGGTACACAAACCAGGTTCCAAGCGAGAGGGGCCTCCCCTTTCTTCGTCTTCTTGAACTGTTTGGTGGAATGCGCGATTTATGAGTTGAGGAGGAAAGCGAAACAGGAAAAAGTTGGAAAAGCGTTTCATGACCCCTTTAAGGACCGACGAGCAGTCAGAAAGGAGGAAGCGCTCTCTCAATTCCTCCTTTCCATTTGAGAAAGGGGGAACTCCTCCTCCTCCCGGCGGGGAGTAACTCGGAGACCCGCTCCTGTGTGGAGAGGAAGGGAGAAGATTGCTTGAGGGAGGGGACAGAAGGAAACTGGGAACCGGTTTTCTGCCCGGCAGAAGACTATTCTGTAGGTCGGCCTTTAACCCCACTACATCTGCCACGGCGAATAGTGTGTATTTTTTTTGTGATTCGGACAAGATAAAACTGAGAAAGGAATGTCTCGTCAAATTGAAAAGAGGAAAACGAAATTGGAGAACCTCTGGCGTAAACACTTCAGTGAAAGCGACTCCGTGTATCCTGTTGGTTCCAATGTGTTCCGTGAGTCCTTGTCTCTTATTAGTCCCAAATTGATTCCTTTTTCAATTTGTAAACCAGTAAACAAACATTTCCTTAAAATAAGTGGCAGGAAGAAGCGGTGGCTGGCTTCCAGAGTTGTTTCAATTAAATCCCTGCTTAGTATTCACCCGGTTGATGCGAAACGTGCGAGGCTCCCTCGTGATCAAAGTCCTAAATCTTGTATGTCGGTGACACTTTAGCGTCCCCCAAAATTTAGGTACTTAGTAACAATTGAATATCAGTGCATCATATTTTAACCGAACGACTCGGGAACCTCCTCCAGCGACGGGGGCGACCGTCCTGGGCTTACTACTGGTCACAGCCGCTAAAAGCTTCTTTTCAGTCGAAATACAAAATATAAGTGGCGTGAACCGTTTCAATTGTGTATGAAAGTAGTTTTTGTTCAGTATTTTAGATCAGAAAAGAAACAACCACAGTTTATAAAGTACGGAAACAAGAAATGACTCGTCGACATGCCCGCCACCAAGCGGTGGAAAAGGCGGCGCATACTAGAAAGGAGTAGTGGGATCAGGCGCCGACACAGAAAGGTCCCGGATGTACGTGGCGGCGCTGCGGTCGTTTACGGACTGAAGGATCCGACCGGCTCCAGGCGTTTTGAAGGCCTTCGGCTAGCGGCCTTGTCTTGCGGTTTGGCCATTTCGCGGTATGGCAGCGCAAAGAGGCTCCCATTCTGAACTGATCTTTACCCCGTGTTTGCTGTCGTTTGTGGCCAATGAAGTGTCATGCCGAATTTGTGTTTAATCGCGCAGCAAATGCAACGCGAGCCGCCCTGGCTGCCCGCTTCATACAGCCTAGACAGAACACGCTTTAATGGCGCCCTCTCGAGCCATTGACACGGAGTGCGGCAGCTGTGAGCGCTCGCTGAGCTCACTCTAGTTCACGGCCACTCGAGCAACCAAGGATGTCATGAAGAAGGTTATTTTTTGCTTGTTTTTATGATTTTAATTTGCCTATAGCTTTTAAAATAAAGCGAAATTCAATGAAACAAAAGTTTCATTAAGTTACTACGTTCAGTGCGCTCAGGTTCGGTGCAAATTAAAAACCAGTAAAAAAGTGCTTGCAGGGCCCCTTTAAGATATTGATGAAAGTCACAATATCTTAACCTCAATTGTGCAAAAAATAGCAATAGTATCTTCACCTAATTGTCAGGAATTCGAAACATCCTATGCAGGTTTGAAATGTGGCTTTAATGTATATGCGAGGTTGGTTACGGACTCCATGGTTTTTCTTCTTGACAGGATGTTGGCCAGAGCGGCTACTCCACCCAATCCGACGGAACCCCTGTCGCCGTTTCAGTATTCGAGGCTACTCCTGGAGAACTTCAACTTCTTTGCCTGGGAAAAAAGGTGATGCCGTCTGGTCAGCTTCCCCTTGTGTGCCTAACGGCTCAGAAGTATTTTGATTCGAGGATTCCCATTTTGAAGATGAGTGCTGTGGAATCTGTGAGATGTCAAAGCATCCTACACCTTTGACGTTGTGTGGGGCAGGACTTATTTCGTTGACGTTTGATCATTGTTGTAGCAAAAACTGAGGCATGCAGTTGTGTTTTGATGACTCTTTCATAAGCCCTTTTTGCGCATTAAATTTGAATCATCATTGGCTTTTTGTTTGGGATCAGAGTCATCATTAGAGTTCTTTGTTTTTGGTTTAAACCGAAGAAAGTTGATAAAAGTCTGCCCAATTTATTTTGCCGCATTCGTTTTTAATCAGAAGAGGTCAGTTTCTTCAACTGCCGGGTGCCTGGGGTGAGGGGGTCGTTGGTCGCCATTGGGTTACTATTGACCCAGTGTCCACTTCCTTTCGGAGGTGGTTTCTGGAACTCCCTTTGTTAAGCTGTAAGAGTGTTCAACATTCTATGAGGACTTCAAGGGGTCATTGTTCCTTTAATATTTTGGTCAATATATCTTTTTTTTTTTTTTGGTGGGGTTTTGTGTGGTCTCCAAGTGCTGGAGTTCGGGTATGGGTTGTTTTACATACTTTGTGCGCACTTGACTGCAGAGGGCACCCGGGAAAGTCCTGAATAATTTTTTTAACCTTCTCCCAAGCTTTTTGTAGTAATTTAAAAAGAAAATCCCACAAAATAAAAGATAGGAAAGAGGTGCCAGAGCTGTGTGAGTATCTGTGGTGTGCTGTGCTTGAAAACGTGGTACCGGTTGTGGCTTGGCAATCACATTTGATTGATTGGATTGGTGTACAGAAACCTGGGCAAATACACGTGTGTGTATCGCAATCAAATTAAGTAATCGTGACTTGATTGGAAGTGAAATGTATAGTTGCTGTGTGGATCAATATCTCCCTCGCTTGTACCCAAGTATGCTTGTTTCTTAATTCCTGTTCCAGTTTGATTTATTAATGCTATGTTGCTATTTTCCTTCCTGTCATTTTACGTTGTTTTATGTTAACAGCAATGCTAAAACCAAAATACATATTCGCCGAAAAAAAAAAAAAGAAAACTTGTTTTGTTGTATATATTTTCACCGATAAAAACCGAAAATTTGCGTTCAAAATAAAAACAAAAAAAGTATGCAGAATTAAAAATTAAAAAAAAATAAAGAAAACGAAAACTTTGAACCTTAGTCATAATCAGTGTCATGACCGAGATCTTTTTTGTTGTTCAGGCCAAAGTTTGACCTGGTGAAGAAGAATGAAAAGCTGCTTCGGGAGTTGAGGAACCTCGACAATCAGATGTGGTATGTTCGCCGATTTCATTTGCTACGCTTACAGAGTCTTTCTTGATAAACAAAGAAATGATGCTGAACTCTTGCTTCTAACTCATTGACCATCACAGTTAATAACATGAAGGATATATTTAGTGATCAAAGTATTTAGACTATCTTCGCTTCTTCCTGTCCTTTATTAGTTCTGCTTGAGGAATGTCGGCTTATTTCACAAACTGTTGTTTTGAGTTTTAGTGTTATGCTCCATAATTTTGGTGCACCGTCATTCCTTTCCCCACATGGGCCGTCATTTTATTCGCGACTCCAGCGACCTATAGGGGGCGCCACCACCAAACAAACATGGCGGCTGAGTCCAGGTCGCGGCGGCTCGGCAGGGCCGCCTGAACAGGTGGCGCGTTCAATTTAACAGATTTTCTTTTGTTTAGTGCCCAATTTTATAGGTATTTGAACTGAGACGGTTAAGTGTAGCCGGTGCAGATAAACTTGCAAAGCATAGTTTTGTTTTGCCGGTGTTTTTTTGCTCTTTTCGTGTCAAACTTTCGTTTCAAAGATTTCGTTCAAAACCGAAACTATGGGCTCCGGAGAGACGGTAATATACTAATCAGTTTTGATCATCTAAAGAAAGCGGCGATGTCTACAGAATTGTTCCACAGAGAGTAACTTTTCAGCTAACTCGCATGCCTCGACCATGCGACTTATCTGTCCGCGAAATCGAGCTTTTGTGCGTATCCGCATTACGAAACAACTCCAGTCGCCTGCTTGGCCAACAACACAGGGTGCACAAAAATTACGAAAATTAAGCAACCGCTTCTTGAGCCAAGGACCATGTTAACCCGCCGGCGCCCCACTAAGTAGCTGATACTCGTATTTCAATTCAGGTTTTAGTAGCAATCGAGAAGTCATTTTGCCTGAGCGGATTATGTGTTATATTACGTACTGGGGGGGGGGGGGGGGGGGGGTCGGGTCGGGTCCCACTAAAGCGATATTAGTATATCCTTCGGGTTGAAATATGAGCTTAGTTGACTAGCTATTAGGTGAGCTGCTGAATAAAAGTATATTTGACAGACGGAGATGTACTACTTAAACTTAGCCAAATGGTTCTATAGCCGGCAGCACGGAGACAAACTGAAGAGAGTCTTCATTGAAGATCCACGCAGAACCTCTCTGCATTGAACTTTGCTTCGAATCCTGAACGGAGACAATGAGTATATTTTTTTGTGGCCGGTTCACCTGACCAATGTAGATGTATATTGCTGCTGGCATTGACGTCCTCGTAATATAAATATTGGAGGCGCGATAGGTCAAAATGCCGTGACAGCATCTAACGTTGCGAGACTTGTCTCCCACCTTTTGAAAACATATAATTTCCCTCATTCATCATTTGCAGCGAGCAAGGTTTCCTGAATCAAGTAATTGCGAAATCAGCCCAACTCCTTCAGTGTGTTCCAGAGGCTTTTTCGGCGAAAAGCAGCCAAGATGAATAGCCCACGCACCGACCGGCGTGGGTGGCTCAAACTTGAAGCTAACCGAACACAACCAAACTCAAGAAAAGCAGCTATCGAACCTCCCCATTCACTTGACTGCAACATTGATGTTCCCTCCAGTATCAGTTACCAAGCAGTCGTCACTTTGAATGTGATTCGAGACAGACAAGAAATCAAAAAGTTTTTCCGTGATTCCTCCTTATCCAAGAAATCGAAAGTACGCGACCGTGTGCTGTGGAGTAAACGGGCTTTCAAACACGTAATAGAAGAAGACAATCTACTGAGGCTTCACCACACTAATGATCACTCAGGCGAACTTAAGAAATATTCGGACCTTAGTCAAATTACATTGTTCGCCACCGCGCCGACAACACGTCTCCGCGAAAGCCACCAAAGACGCGGAGGGGCGCGGAGCGACCTGGACCGGCTGGTTCCCGGTTTTCCCGCTTGGCGGCGTCCATTTTGCTGGAGTCGCGAATAGTTGCTTTGACTACAATATTTTCTTTTTTGACGTTTAGGTGGCTGGTTACTTTCTAGAGGCATGCACTTGCACAGTAATGGCTTTCTTGCTTAATATTCTAATCAATAATTTTTTTTTTTTTTTTTCAGCCGGGAAACGCACAAGATAGCAGTGATATATGTTGCCGAAGGTCAGGAGGACAAGAACTCCATCTTTATGAATAGCTGCGGCAGCCGTGCCTTCGAGGAGTTTGTCTCGGGCCTGGGCTGGGAGGTGAGGTTCAACAGAGCTACCGGGAACCTTGGTTACCCAAAGTCAGTCAGTCATCTTCATCTGGCAGTTCCGAGACTTCTAGGCACTGTGCCTAGAATACAGCCCCTTTACCAACTAGCAGACACAATTCCCTAGGGAGCCATTTTAGGGAGGTTTCCTCCATAGAGAGTCGCCTTGGGAGGTTCTCTCCCGAGAGCATCACCTTAAGGAAGTTTTTTTCCTGCTTAAGCCTCTCTTAAGGCCCACTTCAGACGGGCCAATTTCACCCAGTTACTTGATGTCGCAACATCAGCAACACGGACCGCTCGCATCCACACGCAGCAACCAAGTGCTGCGATTCGCCATCATCATCATTAAATTTTATTTTTCTTGCACTATTTAGACACACAGTTACGCGCTATAAACATGTTTTTATACATTTAAATTGCGTTGAGAATATATTGTCTCATCTTTCTGAAACAGTCTATTATATCAGAAACGATTGGTTTCAAACCAGAACCCAGTCTTTAGCTGTCATCGTCACCGGCACGGGGTATAACGGGAAAATATTGCGCCCCCATTTCCTGCTGCTGCTCAAATGTCTTTGAATTGCTCCGAGTTGCTCACTTGTTTCGAGCTGTACCCGACATCAGCAATTTGTGTCTATTTAGGGAAAGCTAGGGAACAACCCCACAGCCACTCCAAAATTGCTGAGAAAGTTTGCCTTGTCTGAAGCGGGCCTGAAGAAGCACCCTAGGCCCTAGAGAGTCGTTTGTTCCTCCTCGGAGGCAAACCAGACTCCCCAATCTGTACTGCTTTGTGTCAAGCGACATGCTGCGTTAACTCAGCTTACCTTCCAGATATGACAGAAAGTGATTTGTTGCGTATCATTCACGCTATGTCAATAACAAAAACGCCAGGAATCGACAATATTCGAGTTAGAGACATAGGCTGCAATGTCGATAAAGTAAAACACATTTTGCTTAAAATAGTGAATGACACATTGCATACCGGAAATATTCCTAAGGGTTTAAAAGTATCTGTGATAAGGCCGTTATACAAAAAAGGAAAGCAGCAAGAGGTCGGGAGCTACAGACCCATATCAATCCTACCATTCATGACACACATAATCGAAAAATGGGTTCAAATAGCAATGAATAATTTTTGCGACAAATTTTCCCTGATAAGCACTATGCAGTATGGCTTTCGGCAACAAAAAAGTACCATTACTCTACTGGAGGATTTTGCTGACTGCATTACCGAAACACTCGATAACAACAAAATAGCCCTAGCTCTTTTCATAGACCTGTCAAAGGCATTCGATACCATTGATCATTCGTTATTGTTGGAAAAATTATATAGTATGGGGTTTCGAGGTCCTTTTTATCAATTTTTCGAGAATTACTTCAAGGATAGATTCCAAATGGTTAAGATAATGAATAATCTTAGCAGCCCGGCTCAAGTTCAATTCGGGGTGCCACAAGGAAGTACTTTGGGGCCAATGTTATTTAACATTTATATGAATGGGTTAGGGTTTCTGCCCCTTCAGTCAAAAATGTTTCAATACGCGGATGACACCGTATTAGTTTTGCCACATGAAAAGTATGATGAAGCAATTTCTGTTTTTCAGAGAGACATTGATATGATAATTAGATGGTTTGCTGCGAATTTTATTTCTGTGAATGTTGCAAAAACAAAACTGATGTGTTTTCGAAATCCGCACAAACAGATAGTAACATCTCCAAATATTTGCTTGCACTCGGTGCAGTGTCTGGATTGCAGCTGTAAACCTTTAACATACGACAGTTCAGTTAAATATTTAGGCGTCTTTGTTGACGAACACATGCTGTGGAATGCGCAGGTGGAATGTGTTGTAAAAAAACAACGAGTCATATCAGCGTATTTGTATAAACTCAAAAGTATGTGCAGCTTGAAGATAAGATTACTTGTGTTTAAATCTTTGGCGGAAGCTGCACTACGGTACGGTATTACACTGTACGGTCATTGTTCAGAATACAAAACACGAGCGATAGATAGGATACTAAAGCACATGATAAACAACATATCATATGGAACTTCATATCAAGTATTGGAAACTCAAGAGAAAGCTAAAGAGCTGGACATCCTGTTTTTTAAAAGCTTTTTTATATATGTAGCAATAACAAATAATTATTTCAGTAATTCCTACAAAACTGTCGTAAATAAAAATAGAAATTTGAGACGTACTGAAAGATACGTCATTCCGAAAATATACACACTGTATGGAAAGAAAAACAGAAATCATTACATTCCTTCTTTACTTAACGAACTCCCAGAGTCCCTTATGAATATAGATTCCACTAGGGCACTAAAAAGGAAACTAAGGAATTGGTGTCAAGCATCTGAGCTGTACATATCGTAGCCTGACCGTTGCAGATATTTCATACTTTTATTTTATGGTTGCATGAGCAGACTTGGCTATAAGCACCTATATTTCATGCTTCTAACGTGTTCCATTTTTGTATTTATTTGTGTTGCTATTTGGGTGTTCCTTTCATTTTTGTTTTGGGCTGCGGAGTGCTTTCTTTGTTTTTGTTACAACATGTATTCTAGTTGGTCGCCTGGCCCCACATACAAGCAGAATGCTGCTTTTGTGGGCCAGCTCTTTATTTTGTATTACTTGATCTGAAAATAAAAAAATTGAATTAAATTGAATTGAATTGTCTTTCTCACTAAAGCTGTATTATCAATTTATGTGTTCTGCTAAGCTCGTTGGACACTGCACTATTCTGAAGTGGAGGCAGGGTGTGAATGAGAGGGTGTCTTTAACTGGTCTACAGAATTACTCGAAGTTGCGGCAGAACGTTTTAGCGAATTTAATTGCAATTTTATGTTATGCAGATTGACCTCGAGATGCACACGGGCTACAATGGTGGACTAGAGGCCAACCGCAGCACTGGCAGCACAGCGCCTTACTGCGCCACCTCTTTCATGGAGGTGGTGTTTCACGTGTCAACCCGCATTCCCGCCATTGAGAAGGATTCTGTCACCAAAAAGGTGGGCCCGAGGTTGACCTCCGTTTGCCTTTTATTTGATATTGAACTTGTGAGGGTGGCCTCTGCCTTCCTCGCGTTGCACTGCTGTGCTGCCAAAATGTCGACGCACATAAGGTGTCGCTTTGCCCTCGAGGGCATATAAGTGCGAAAGTTGCCCTTGCGTGCAATCTTCTCAGCATTGCGCCGCTGTAGTGCCGTAAGGTCGCCTTGCTGGGAGCTTAAGGCCCGTTCTCACACTTGCGTTTGCTTGCGACCGAATTCTTGCGATTCGTTACGGCGAGAGTATACACTGACATGGCTGATGCCATTTATGAGGCCACCCTGGAACTTTGTTTCACTTTAGCTGGGGAAGTTGAGTTCTCTTGAGGAAATATTTGTTCCTAGTAGGGTGACTCTGTTTGTTTCTAGAGCAAGTAAATATCTGAGTCGTAGAAAGACATTGTTTTAAAAAATAGTGTCACCGTATCCCTTTGGCTTAAACATGCTGTTTAAATTTCTGCACTTTAGCTGCTGTGTAAGTGTAATAACATTTCATTCTAGCATGTTTTATGCTAGCGTAAGCATATATATTAACCCTCTTGCTTTCGAGCAAGTTCTGTCGAGCCAGTACTTTTAAACTAAATTAAGGCAGCTGCTGATATTACAGAGATTCATTGTGTGATATCAGCTGTATACATGCATGTTTGTTTCATTTTCTGAAATATCATGCGAATCTATGCATAGTGTTTGTTTGTTTGTTTCATCGATATATTGTTGTTTACATTTCTTGTTTTCTCGGCAATGCATACCCAACAAAGTCATCCACGGTGCAAACGCCAAACTAAAGAAGATGGCTCTGACCTGAAAACCTGTAACTTCACTTATAATAAACAGCCATTTCTTAATTGTGTTTTGTATGTTTTAAGTGGATGTCATTTTCTTAAAAAAATTATATTTTGTGGAAAGGTCATTGTTATAATAGAGGTCTATTACGAGTGGGTTTATAATAAATTGCCCTCCGCTCTCTCAAGACTCTTACGGAGTTTTCTTTCCATGGTTTCCGACAAAACGTCAAAGGTGGTGCACGACAGTGCAGCCCAATCGCATTCCAACGGCGTTTATTTTTATTTTTTTTCCCCCAGCTGCGTCACCTTGGCAACGACGAGGTGCACATAGTGTGGTCGGAGCACACGCGGGATTACCGCCGGGGTATCATTCCCACCGAGTTCTGCGACGTGCTCATCGTCATCTACCCCCTCGGAAACTGGCTCTACCGGATACAGATCAACCCCAAGCCGGAGGTGCGACATTGCAGTCCTCCGTCTGCCGTTACTTTGCGCATCCTCGTCTGGAAGCCGTGACGCTGGGAATCTGGCAGTGAAATCTGCGGTGCCGATTTGACTAAAAATCACGATAGACTGTCGGTAGCTCGCTTGTTGACTGCTCGCATTAATCTCTTAGACGTTCGTTAAGTTACGCCGATACACGGCAGCGAGGAGTGAGCCACGAAGGCAGCTAGGAGACCGTCGGCGTCTGAGGTCGATGGTGCGTGTGTGACAGGGGGGCAAAGTTCAGTTTGGCTCGGTGCAGCGATTCGTTGACACCCCTAAAGTGACAGACATATTAAACCTTTAATTGGAATCGCGTCAGATGGAAGTGCAAGGCCTTTGTCTTTAACCACCCTAGACTGGGTGGAGAGGGAGAAGAATTCAAAATGGAATGCCTTCTCTTTCTTTTGTAAAAAGGTACTTTGTTATTTCAGCAGTTCATTCATTTCATTTCATTTCATTTATTGATACTGTCAGCCCTTGCACAGGGCTATTACAGGGGTGGAGAAAAAAAAGGACAATAACAAACAAACATGTACGCTTACACGCAAGCATACACAAAGGTTACAGACATATTGAGAGGCTTCGTCATTTCGGCAGTTTACGAAACGAATATCACTTCGTAGTTGTGAAACATTTCTTTACACAAGCTGTAGTGGTTTTAGTTTGTAGCACATACAATAATATCACTGACACGGTCCAGAAATTCATTTAGCGACATAGATGACACAGCAGAATCAGGTAATATATTCCAATCTTTAATAGCCCTCGGAAAAAAACTGTACTTAAAGCAATCGTTTTTAACAGATGGATTAGGAATGTACATGCTATGACGATGTCTTGAGGATTCGGTGGAGGAAATTTCAAAGTACTCGGATTTCCTTATTTTTACGCAATTATGAATAATCTGAAAAAGAAACTTTAACCTTTCATACTTCGTTCTTGATTCAAATGTAGGAAGATTGGCAAGTTCACATAGTTTTGTGGGGGAATGAACGTGGCTGTATTTATTAAAAATAAACCTGGATGCGAGTCGCTGGATTTTCTCCAGCTTATTGCAATTTGTGACGGTATATGGGTCCCATACAATTTTAGAATACTCGATGACGGGTCTTACCAGTGTCTTATAAGCTAGACTTTTTATTTCAGGAGTTGCAATAGCGAGGTTTCGTCGAAGGCACCACAGTGCTTTATTAGCTTTGATGCATACGTTATCAATGTGAGTGTTCCATTTTAGATCAGGAGTAAATATTAAGCCTAAGTATTTATGTTCTTTAACTCTCTCCAACTCAGCACCCGCAATGCAATAATTATAAGCCAAAACATTTATTTTTCTCGTAATAGACATGAAGACAGATTTTTCAGGATTTAGCACCATTTGCCAATTTTGACACCACTTTTTAATTTTTTCTAAGTTACAGTTTAATTCGACTTGATCAGCCGATGTTTCAATTTTATTGTAAATCACACAGTCGTCGGCGAATAGTCTGATTGGAACCGAGATGTCATTGCGCAGATCGTTAATGTAAATCAAAAATAAAAGAGGACCCAAGACACTGCCCTGGGGTACGCCTGAAACAACTGGGGACATAGTGGATTTGCTACCCCCAACTTTAACGTACTGTTTCCGTGATGAAAGATAAGAGGAAAACCACTTCGTGATGGCTGGATTCTTAAAAACAGCACTGATTTTCAATAGCAATTTGGGGTGAGATACTTTGTCGAACGCCTTTGCGAAATCTAGGAATATTACATCAGTTTGACCACGACAGTTTATCCTTTGAGAGAGATCATGAACAGTTTCTATGAGCTGGGTAGTCGTGGAAAGACCTCTGCGGAAACCATGCTGCGATTTAAATAATATGTCATATTTTTCAAGGTTCAGTTCAGTTTATAAAAGGGAACTTTTGTTATGGGCATGATTGAGGTACCGTACAAACAACTTGTGCAGGCTTTACATGAAGCTGGGCTGACAATCAGAATGATTGCCGTTTCATTTTAAGTTGGTATTTCTTGTCTGGGTCTTCTTACGCTTATATCCATCCCGAGCGATTTCACCCGAGTTAGTTGCGCTTGGTAGCCAGGTTAGTCACCTAGCCCTTCTTTTGTATCGATAATTGATGCAATGGTAGTCTTTCTAATTATGCATGTGTGACCGTGCAGGTGCCGTTCTTCGGACCCCTGTTCGACGGTGCTATTGTGGACCACGTCGTTCTGCCGAGGCTGGTCAGGGCGACTGCCATCAACGCGGGGCGGGCAGTCAACTCGCTCAAGCCCATGTTCCGCACTTAGTATCCTTTTTCCTAGGCAGGTTCTGTTACTGGGAAATGTGGAGACGAACGAGCGAACAAACAAGCCTTTGGTCATTACCATAAAGTATGCTAAGCAGCGAACTAAGCACACTTAACAAGAAAAATCAAAATAGTGAAATTTTTTAGCTAGGCAGATGGAGGAACAGTGATCCTTGTGCTTAGCTAAGTAAAAGAAAGCAAAAGAAACAACCGAGCCAAGCAGACAAGTGGGCAGGGAGCAAGGTACTTGGCGTAGTAACTCACTAAGGAATTGCTAACTACACTCATTGTCAATTCAAGGAAAAAGCAAGTTTTGCCCATTTTTTATACACCGCATGAAGTAGTTCATACAAGATTTGGTTGTCAGGGGAAGAAGAAATGCTTTTGGCGTTTGAAACATGTACGGCTTGATAAGATAGCATATATCTAATGTAAAATGCCCTTGCATATGACTTAATTATTCACAAAAAGAGAGAAATTTGTAATGCTTTGCAAGGTGCCAAAATTTTTTTTACTGTGGTTCTTGAGGTGAAAACGGGCGTAGTCAATGCTAACTAGTAACAGCTTGTGGGGAGGCGCTTTCCTCAGGAGCTCGAGAGTAGACGTAATCATTTTGGGCCACCATCAAAAACTGATGACTGTGTGTTCTCTCAGAATAGCATAGGAGGACTTTGCTATCCCTCTTACTCTGGGTAGTTGAAAAGTTGAGTGGGGTGGCGAATTTAGGAGTGAAGTGGACAGTAAAGAAGGTGGTAAACTCTCTAACGAAGAAAGTGAAGAATATAAATTTGATACAGAGAATGGCAGGGCACTTTTCTAGAACACCCGATTGTTGCCTTTCGCAGCACTTTGCTGTGTGTGCGCGCTTGAGGCTTACCAGACGCTGAAGCCTCCTCCCTGTCATTCTTATCCTGTCAGTAACTCTAGTAAGCTAATAACGACTGATGCTGTTACTTAAGACGTCGGATGAAAGCTAGAAATGTGACGAGCTTTGGCGTGGAGATACTTTGAAGTGATGTGGGAGCCCAAAAGCGGGTTTTAGTCGCGTGCTCGAGGCGCTTCCTGAGCTGCGTGCACTCTAGCTACGAGCAGCGAGCTCAAGCCTTGGAGACGATTGTGCAGAACTACAAGGAGCCGACGTCATTCGAGGAGTTTGCCTCCAAGGTGCTGGCACCGGCTCCGGCCAAGAGCCCCCTCCAGCTCCGCAGATCGGGTGAGTGGTCGATCTGTGAAACGTTCAATGGAGGCTATGGTGATTGCGGTGTAGTGTGATAACTGCGAGTTTTGTAGATTGAAGCAAGAACTAAAAGAAAGGGCGAGAATCATAATTTCTGGCGTAGTGCAAAGAGTTTTTTTTTAGGTCTGGATCGAGCGTCAGCAGTGTCGGTCGTTCTTGTGCCTTGACTGATCGCAGTTTCCGACATTACCGGTCTGTCCCATCATTGAAACTAAAGTGAAGGCTAGCTTGCTTAGATCCTTTTATTCCACTATGGTCCAGTCGTGGAGCGTAAAGTTGCGTTGCGCAACTGCTTCACACTTTCTGTCGACCGGAGGCTACTGGCGCTTCAGTGGGTGTGTGCAAGTGATAAATTGAGTGGCCTCTTGAAAGTGGTGCATTTGGTTAACCATAGGATGATGAAGGCACGCTCGAGAAAGGTAAAAATGCGAGTAGTGACGAGGGATATTGCAGCAGCCTGCGGCAACGGGCAGGGAAGAGCGAGTGAAATATTCCAAAGACTGAGCGTCGTTTCGTTGCGTCTCCCCGTCGGCAGCCGGGCCGGCCGGAGCAGAGGGCGGTTCTCCATCGATGGGATCGACGTTGGCGGCGGCACTGCTGGACAGTGACAGCGGTTCCTCCCCGCACCTCCACCACCACTTCCCTCGCCCTCGACCGGCCACAGTGTCCACTTCCGCCGGCGAGCAGGGCTCCTTTCCGTTCACAGGTGAGCGTGCGGCGAACACGCATTTCAATTGGCTGCGCGGTTTAACTGCGAGGCACTTGGGCCTAATGCTGCCACGCGCGGCATTAGGAGAGATCTGGCAAGGGGGGTTCTGCAAATACTCCTAAACTCCCAGACGTCGAAGACACTCTATATTCGGTTCAGGCTTCAAATTGAACAGGACTAGTATTCGGAGGCTTAAAAATTCTAGAGCAGGGGTTCTCAAACTTTTTGGTCTTGGGGAACCCCAGCAACCTTTAAAGAGATGCCGAGGAACCCCCCCCCCCCCCCCCCCCCCCCCCTTCCCCGCTGTTTTTCTGCCTAAATACACTTTTCAATAGAAGAGTTCACAAAATATTCATTGCGCACATAAAACAATAAAGAGCGGAACACATATTAGACTGAAGGGTGGGATTACAATGAAAGACAGTATACATATTAGTGTGAAGGGTGGGGTTGCCTTGCTCGCAACGGCGAATCGATGCTGGGCTCAGTCACGCTTAGGGCCAGCCTCATATATGGTGCCGGGTTCAGTCAGTTCCTGTACTCGCGGAACCCAAGCGAGCACTCCGCGGAACCCCTGTGTTCTGCGGAACCCAGTTTGAGAACCCATGTTCCAGAGGTATTTCAAAGTTTCAGAATGCCGAAAAACGTATCTTCAGTCAGAAAACAGGAAACAACACGCAAAAGATGACATGAACGGCAAAGAGCCGTACGGTACAGTTTTTATATGGTTAACGTTTGTTTTCTGCAGAACCGCTATTTGAAAGTGGGGTCAACCTATAACTCTTAACCAGAAGTCAGAGTAAACTTTTCTAGTCAACCGAGATGCTCTGCCGCAGTGCACCGATGCAAAGCAGTAAAATACTGCCCCATTGTACTGGCTTCAATGAACCACGTCGCTGCGCTGTGGGAAAGCAGACCTGCCGAAGCCCTCTCACCACCAGCACATGCATGTCTCGACTTCTAAAACGTGCATACCGTAAAATACCGGGCAAGCGCCCACTCAAAATTGAGAGATAATTGCGAAAAAATGGGGGATGGGCACTTGTCTAATCATCATTTTTATGTATAAATGTACTGTGCCTATTTTCTCAGATGTTAGAAATTTGTTTATGGGCGCTTAGTGTGGAATGGGCGGATGCGCGGTATTCTACGGTAGTGGTCGAGTTCACCTTTTGGGAAAGTCTTTTCTATCGCGATTTTGCCTCGTACGTGGAGTTTTAATGAATTACTATTAGCTTACCTACCGTGTTTTGTTACTTCGAAAGCCGTGCACTCGGTTTCCTCACCCAAATGCCGTTTCCGTCTCCTTACAGATCAACAAGCCATGTCTGCGTCACAGAGCCACAGTTCACCGCCTGTACCGAATTGACTCTGTCGTGGGCACCATTCAGTTCTTCACCCCGTTCTGATTTTTCCGCTTACACACGAACGACTGATTTTTTTTTTTTTTTACATTGTTATCGAGGTTGACACGCCTGTCCTGTAGTAGAGATCGGCGTGTCCAAACTTCACCAAGGCCATTGTTAATCCTGTTACTGCGGTTGTCAACTCCCTTCGTTGACGGCAGCAAGTTTGTGTTTTTCTGGCACGAGCCCTCGGAGCCTGCTGTGCGTCCACTAGAATGGCGCGCATCTTCTGTTTCTCTTCTGGAAAAAGGCGCCGAATGCTCTTTCGTACGTGGAACTGTGATCATCGGAGCTTCGTTTTTTTTTCGACAGGTTATTTTGGTACAGGAAAGTGTTTTGTTTGGTGGACAAAGGAGTGGAAGGGTGCTATGTTCATGGTGCTGTTTCTGCAGAATCTTCTCTTCCTTCCTTTTCTTTTTTATTTTGCGTGCGTGTGCATGTCTGTGTACATGTGTTAAGTTATTTAGGTCGAGCACAAACGTTTCCTCTTTGGTCCTTCGCATTTTTTCTTCCCGCAATTCAGCATGTCGAGAAACGGTGGAGCGTGACGTCGTGTAACCGAGGCATTGGATCATTTCATGCTAGTAGTCACATACTAGTGTCACATATTCAAATCAGTTATGTGCTCTCCTGCTTTGCTTAAAGGGTATTTTCGTTCTTTTATCATTTGAGGTCTTGCTTGTTGCTGACAGAGATTGTTGCATATTCTTTTGTGTTTGGTCTGCCCTAAGCCTAAGGCTTTTTTCTTCTCTTTCCTCTTGTCTAGTTGGTTGACGCGACACTCCTTTGCTTTTAGCCTCGCATCAGAGGCTCATTTGGGCTTCGCGAACGAACGGGACAGATTTTTTTTGCCTTCTATTCTCCGTTTCGCACCAAGTCCAACCGTGGCCAAAGCTACATTTGGTCTTGATGGAGTCAATCCATCAGCAGAAAAAGTGCACTGTCGCGGCGGCGGCGTCTTTGTACATCTGCTATGACCAGGTATAAAACAATCATGTGCAGAAAGAATTGCTGGATCGCAACGTGTTCACTGTGCATGATTAATTTGGCCGGCGATGGCAAACACTAGTCATGTGCGAATAGTGGATTTCCAGTTTGAAGTGAATAGCAGTTTAGGCCGAATATTTTCTAATCAAATATCAAGTAGTTTCTCTGAGCCTTTCACAACTGTTGCACCATGCTTAAAAGGAAACCCAGCTAAACTCGTGAAAATTTTTCCCAAACTTCTCTTTGTCCATTTATGAGCTCATTTTCATCCAACTAGGCTGTGACCTCAAAAAGTCTGGTTCCTTGGGATAGCGAGTAAACGACGGATTTAACATCAAATTAAACCTATAGAGGTGGCCAGCTATACCTAATTGAGGAGATTTATAAATCTTGCTATGTGCAAATATTCTTTACTCTCTCTTGAATTAAAAAAAAAAAATGTTGTGAATGATTAATGCTGGTTTTTGGGGCATCTCTGCCTAACGTATACTCTTGCATGACGGCCACAGTTTAATTTTGAAAATTTTGCTGCAATGTAGATATCGACATTCACAAAGTTTCTGGTTTTTTTTTTTTAATAACACCAGGTGCGTGTGTGCACCATTCCAATCGAAAGTGTGCCTTTCTCGAAAACACGCAACTGCAACGTTGTTACCTTTCGAAGTGCTTGTCGCAGCGGGTTACTTCGTTGAGCGCGCTTCTTACCAAGCTTCGTCGCACTGCGGAGAAGCAAGACCCGCGGGGCTCGCGTTTGCAGGTGTTGCTTCTTTGCGGTGCACCTGTGGTCAGTGAGAAGCTTGCTCGACGTGGCTAACCCACCGTGATCAGCTTTTCAAAAAATATAAATGTTGCGGTTCATCTCAAAGCACGTATCGAATAGCGTATTATTCGAAACCATTCGAAATTTCGAATATTCGTGCAACACTGGCAAACGCACAAAGACGGCGAGCGGTGCGATGACACCCTTTTGCCGCCGCTCGATTGGCTCCATCGGATCCTGGCATTGGCTGCAGTCGTACTTAACGCCAAGCGGAGTATAGTTTTATTATCGAGACATGCGAGTCGATTTGTTTCCCTCCTTTATTTTACATGTTGCCATTATCTGACCTATAGTATTACATACTCAATCCAGAAGAACACGAAAAGGGGCCAAGTTTGTGTGCGTTTCTAACGTCCGTGTATTTTGGTGGAACTACCGCCGTGCACAGAGCACCAGTTCTGTACAGCACCGCCGGGTGTACTTAACACACACCGCAGTCATGGGGACGTCTCTATCGCTTCTGGCGTACGACGACCACTGTACATAATGTAGACTGCTCGTCCGCCGCGAGCAACGTCTGATCCACTTGCACGGTTGTTTCAACCCGTCGGAGAAAGACGTTTGTGTGAGCTCGCCGACGACGGACATATTTTTTCGTGTCTCACCGTTCTTTTAATGCGCGGACAAGCCTCGTTCGCGCGTTCACGGTGCACCGCACGCTCTTCCCCCAAGGGTGCGAGTTCGAACTCCAATCTCCCTGAGCCGTGTCTTTCAGAAGGAGCGAATGAGATTGTCCCAGAGTTGCCAGCTCGTTCGATTTGGATCGCGTAACGTGCGGGTTAAGCGGTCCACACGTTTGTCTGGAACACCTTTCCTAAAGAGGTGCCATTTTTCGACGCGAGCTTAAAGGGATGTATTTCTTGCGGTGGACGGTTTCTCTTTTCCATACTGTACATATGTACTTAAAGCTCCGACGCTGTAAGTGGCGGCCCTTTATTGTTTCAACTTTACGATACCGGTTTTCGGACGAGACTATGGGATTTTCGAGGACGACTTGGCACAACCGAGACATGTTGGCAATTTGCGAGGGTGTTTAGAGCATGCCTTCCAACTTTGAGTGGGTGCAATGTACGCTTAAAGACTGTCTAAGGGCAAAGACGACCTTGACGTTTAGCTTGCGAGTCCCAGTCCGGTCATCCGCGGAAGCTACGGTTCTGCCGTTTGTAAACGGATGCCATTTGCACATAACTGTGTGTGAATCTAATGGAACACATTCTGTACATAAGCTTGTCCTGGCACAATCCACTTTTTTTTTTTTTTTTTTTGTAATTTAACAAGATTGGATGTAGCGTCGTACAAAGGAAAGCAGAGATCCCCGGAGCGGAATCTCGCTTTCAAAGTGGACAAGAAGACGCTCTTGTATGTGCAATCAATGTGCAATAAAAATGCAGCGATTGTCCGACATTGTCTTGTTGTTGAAGTTCTTTATTGCCAGGGCTCTAAGAGAAGTGGTAATGACTACATCTTAGCTTCTTGACGAGATTGGTTGCAGCAAGACGGGCTTGAGAAGAACTATTGTTACAACTAGTCTGCTTGTTATAGTATTAATGATTCGTTTTTAGCAAACATGTATTTACACGTGATATACACTGCACGACACTGTTAGCGCAAAGATGACTTCGGCGCTTTCTTCCATTTTACGCTGTAAGGGCACTGGGTGGGCATAAAAATTTACCGCTTGAGTTGGTACCCCAATTGAGCACTTTCGACCACTGTACTAATTGTTTTGATGACAGTCCCGGAATACCTAGTGGAAAAAGGATCAAACTGAGGACTGCTTGCTTGTGCTAACGGTGTCAAAGAGTGTACCTCGTACAGAAGTCTGTGGTTTGTTCCAAACGTCTGTTGTAGCATTCCCTTGGTATGAACGAAGATGTACTAGCAGGGGCCCTATGCTACATCGTGCGACCAAGGGACTGGGACAACGCCGTCTGCTGTGATTGGTCAGCGGCGCGGTGCTGACCAATCGCAGCAGACCGTGTTGTCCCGATCCCTTGGTCCTGCGATGTAGCATAGGGCCTCTGGATAGGTTTAGGAGCGTCTGGAAGTTGTTGAGGTGAATTTCCCAAACGAGTCAGAGAGTCTGACGTAAAATTAGCTTAGGTTGCAGAAGCCGTTCTCGTTTATCAACGTGGCCGTTTCCCTTCCTCCCGAAGGAGGAAAGGAAACGTCCACCGCCGAAAGAATCTGACTAAATTGGTCAAAATTAGATTTCAAAATGTAATTGCGCAGACGTCCTAAAGGAGGAAGTGCTGCATTTTATTTCGATAAAATCAGGTTTTGTACTGAATAGGTTTGAAAGACTGTGGCGATCTATACGGAGGGCTGTCTTCCATCAAGTGACCGCTCTTTTTAGCTTCTCCTGACTGTCTCCGGGGTCGAGGAGGAGTTCTGTCTTGCCAAGACTTCTCCTAGAAGAAATAACCATGTTGTAGTTGGCATGAGTGGAACACAGCAGTTATTGCAAGGTTTGCAGACGTGGGAAGACGATCCCTGCGCTATTGCACGCTGTGTCCTGTTGAGCAAGCATACTCAATCGTTTCAACATGCATATTGTTACCAGTAGGGGGGCAACATACTTGGCCATCAAGTTGTTTTAAATATTAAATTGCAGTCGCTTCTCTGAGATTCTTTGACATTGCAATAAAAAACACTATATGTAGCACTGCACAATTTAAACAAAACAAAATGAGGTCAAGGTAACTTTAAAACTTTGCTGCCAGCAAAAACAAAACTACCCATAGTTGATTCTGTTTTGTCAGAAAACATTTTAAGCATTTCAGGGAACAAGTCTTACCTTTAAAAATGGGTGAAGATGTTATAAGACCTAAAATACTGGTGTATTCCTTTGACTTATGAATAGCCTAGTTGTACTTTAAAATTTCCAGCCTCTTCAAAATTTCCTACCATTTCAACTTAAAGTGCTTTTCTCTTGTCATTGGGAGATTGTGGTAAAGCATGCAAATATTGTTTGTGGAAGAAGCATTATTAGTTTTTTTTTAGCTTTGTCTTTATATATGATGCGATATGCTGTTCTAGGCAAAGGAATCGATGCAGTTGCTATGAAAGTGTATTACAAACGTGAGGAGGTGGAATCTGTGCTTTTAATGTCTAGATATATGAAATTTTAATATATAATGTGATTTCTACTTCAATTACAGTAATTTTACTCCCAATCATTGTTGGCTACAAAAATTCAGTTAGCTCTTGCAGGGAACATGTGATGTTCTTATCCTTCAACCATCCTGTCTGTCTAATTTTCTTTCAGAAAATATTAATTAGAGATTGTATTCAAAATAGTAGCAGTTTCCAAGCGCAATAAGAGGTGCCATAATTTTTTTTCAACATGATTTTTTTTATATCTTGCATAAATTAGCTAACCCCTTGCCCACTCATTTTTTTCTTCAAGGAATGTACAGCAAAATTTTATTTTAAACAGGCAATTTGCATTAAAATAAAGCAAACATTTTCTCAACTTTCAGGTGTCGTATCTTACTGGTCCAAGTCTCACTCACGTGCAGGAATCCCAGAAAAAAGCTCACCGGACAAAAGCTCACCCATTTTTTCACAGACCCGGACAAAAGCTCACCAAGAGAAAATTTCATGTTGGTCTTAACATGAGTGCGGACAATTTAGGTGCATGCGTGCAACACTAAAATGCAACGCTAAATAAATGTGACAGGCGCATGGTTTGTTAATTAGAGTAGAAACAGGTTTAATTATCGACTGGTCAGAAGTGAATGCAGTCCCTTAGCAGCTCCAGCAGTCTTGGTAAATCTGGGTGTACGGGAACCCCTCGAAAATATTTTTCAGACGATTCTGCAGGTGCAGAGTGGTTTTTGCACCCGCTTCTCTGGCGGTGCCTCTCCCCGGGCTTGTGTCAATGCCGTGGCAACGAGCGCCTGACTTTCCTGTAGGCATCCAATCAGCCTCATGCATTAGTATTGAAGAGACATTGTGCCTAACCTTCATATGCGTGTTTAGCGTGACATAAGCACAAAGGAAAAGCGAGGTTACAGAAGGGCGGCTTTGCTTCTTCGGTCACTCTTTGGGTTCAAAAGCTTCGGTTCACAGTTTCTTGGGCGTGGCACAAGGGTGCTCCGGCGTACCTTGAGTATCTTATCAGCTCCACTCAGTTTCAGCGACCTAAATTTTGGTCCCAAACCGTTGCTTCCCTGCCTGTTATGGCTTATCTTTCGACACCTTTCCATGGGATGGGATGCCAATTTTCCTAAAAGTGGTGCTATGTCCATCGCCTCCGGGTAGAAAAAAAAAAAAAAGAATGAGGTGAGCTTTTGTCCGGGTCTGTGAAAAAACGGGTGAGCTTCTGTCCGGTGAGCTATTGTCCGGTTACCGACGTGCAGACGCCGAAGTTGATGGAATGCTTTCATCTCTCCTGTCGCTACCCATCAAACTATCGTCAGATTCTTAAAATCGGAAAGACTGAAGGATTTGTCTTCACATTTGTCTGAGCATTGATCCCCTTTAAAAAGGTTTTCTATTTTTTCGTCAGCTAAAGCGGACCTCCGTGCCAAGGCCATGTGGTTTTAGCATAAACGCTCACAAACATTTTTTTTTTTTCTTGGCTAAATCGAGTGTTTTTTCTCTGTCAAACAGCAAAACAAACGAGCAAACTGCCCAAGTTAAATGGAGCAACAGGGGTGGTTTTGCCATCTGGCAGAGTGCACTCTAAACAAGCGCTGAAACCGAAATGCAAGTCACACTCTCACGGTCGGGCTTTATGGTCCGAAAGGGGTGGCACAAGTGACACAGGCAAGGGGTTAATTCAATGTTCAGAATTACACTTAGCTAAAATCAAAATGATTCTAGTGATATAAAAAAGCAACCATTCACCACTTACCTTAACTCGAGTGCTTCTCAGAAACACATTTTCCCCTGTTTTTGGGAGGTTCGCTCACCGACTCCTTCCAAAACTATTTCGAGCAATGACACAATCCATTTTCGAGAGTTCCCCCACTTGCCCAGACTGAAACCACTACATAGCTGTAGGGTTGCACTGAAAGTCTCTTTTTCCAGGAGCTGATTCAACTAGAACAATTACTTCAATCTGTCTCAACCCTCCCAGATTCTTCCGATTTGTTTATGAAAATAGTGGAGTGTTGGCTATCAACGCTGCAATCACTTGAGGACAAGCCAAATTTCAATTAGCGTTATAGTAGTATGTATTTGGAAAGCAGAGGTTGGCAATTTTTGGCACGTGCTTGATAGAAATGGCAAGCACTAAAGTTAATTACGTCCCTCCCTATTTTCCTGGATTCCTAGTGTACAGAGGCCAGGTTCCCTAAAATGTTCCCCATCTTCCCAAATACTCCCCAATTATCAGGGGAGTATTTGAGTCAAAGACCTGAAGTATCGCGTTGTACGGACAATGCAGCACAAGTGGTTAGGTGAGAAAAGAGGAATGGACTGACAATTATGAGCATCTGAGGTTGTTAGAAGGGCATAGCATGATACAATGCAAGACAAACAGCACAAGGAAAAAAGAATGGTGTCATACATGCCAATCACTTTAATGATACCCCGAGACCACCGCCATAAGGCACCAAGGATGCACCGATCCAGAATTGTAAAAACAAAAGGTGAGTCTTGCCACTTGCCCAACCACCACAGGAATTTTGCGAGCGCCAGTCAAAAAGAACATGCAAAAACCTCTGTGTGATTTTGACACCGGCCCAACGCAGCGATATAGCTTAGTGATAAACCTGAACAGGTGCAAAACTGTTTGACAAACGCGACGACCAAACCGACGACAAGTCCAGCATACAACTCGATTGGTTCAGAGTTGGGAGGAAGACGGCCGTGGAGCAAATCAAATGTGCGTACATTTCGTGCCCCTTATTAGTCGGCGACAGGTTAAGAATTCAATAGAATATCTGCCTCCAATGTGAGATTTCGGCCTTTGATAAGACTTTGTCACATGCCCAGCCAAAACCTAGCGGAAGGCTGCAGGTGTGTGCTCTGGAGGCAGAACTTTTGCTGCATTCTTAGCATGTCGCCGAAGGCAGTAACTGATGACACCAAAGTTCCAATTTTCATGTAGTCAATGAAAGTTGACTGCATCATGCTGGTTATTTCATGCTAAACCATTCATGGTCACTTTGTCCAAAAAGAAAACAAAAAGTGGAAGGGGGGGGGGGGGGGGGGGGGTCATCTTATTTTACACATGTGTAAGTGATAGTTACCAGACAGATGTGGAAACAAATACTTTTGAGACTTTGCTTTCCGTGCTGCTTCAATTTGAAATTGGTGTTTCGAGCAATAGAAGCCAGAAATCTGTGTTAGAACCTGGGGGGGGGGGGAGGGGGGGGGGAAGGGAAGTATTTTACGCATGCATAAGGAACTTTTAGACAGAGTAACTTCCAGAGCTTCTCAATCTTATCGTAGAAATGATCGAGGGAATCACTTTGAACAACATAAAGGGTGTAATATGAAAGAAAAGAATTCGACACAGGAAGCAGCGAAAACCCAAATTCCAGTTTTGTGCCTTAACTAAACCACTCTACCTAATACCTATAGGTAGAACTCTGCAGTGATAGGGTCACCAACAAGACAATGTCAGGGAGGAGCTTTCAGTCTTCTTGCTTGCAGCATGAAACTATTTCCACTGTCTTGGGCTCCTTCCGCAAAGCCCTCAACTTTTTCTACTAACTGAATGCTGGAGAGGAGGAAATCGTGAACCATATGGTGAGCTCAGTTTTTCTTAATCCGCAACAGACTTTTTAGCCTTCACAATATGGCAGAAAACCGTTGACTCTGATGACATACCAACCGACAACGAGCAAGTTTTCTTTTTTAGACCCCAAAACAAAAATAATATGTCGTGTAGAAAAAAAAAAAAATTTATTGCAATGAGGTGACCAGGCAAGTTACATGAGCCAGGCAAGCATGGAGTGAACAACACGGGCTGCAGGGAACAGCCAAGCGGCAGGATGATCACACGCTCGACTGGTCAGGTGTTCTTTCTACGACCTATGTACAGTAGCTAGGGTAGGACAAGGCCACGCCTAGCTCTTGGGCCGGGACGAACTCTCGTCCAGGGGGTCGTACCCTTCATTCTCTATCTTGTCCTTGAACTTGAGGTACTCCCGCTTGCGATTGAAATGCTTTACCTAAAGATAAAAGAAAAAAAATTAAATAAAAAAAAAACATGAAATTTTCATTGAGATGGATCATCCAAACGTTTCCAACGATAGCAAATTGGTCCACAGCCAAGCAATTGGTATGTTTGTTGGTTTGAGAAGTGAGTACGATGTGTGCCATATCCACAAACACTGAAAAAGGCACTGGTCAGAAGGAATGAAATGGCCTTATAAAAGATTGTCTTGCTTTAACACTGGTTGCTAGACAAGCAATCGGAATAGGAATAACCTTGGAAAGCACAGAGAATGGCTGTGTTCTCCCTGGATACACTATACAGGGTGTCCACCCCAAAATAAAGCTTCCTGTTGTTTTTTCACCGCAAAAGTAAACTATGCATTGCCAAATATTGATATTCTCCACCCAAATGTAGAGCTTGCGGCCCGAACCAGGTATCAAAGTTTCAGAACAGTTATCTTACTCAAAAGTTATGCGGAGTGCAAGTTCGTCTGCATCTCTTGCAGGGGTTGTGGTGATGTCAAAACGCCGAGCTCTGATTGAAGGACAGTGGGTAGACCTCAAATGTCGTGTTATTTGCTTTCGTTGTATGTGTGAATGTATATGTTGTATCTTACACCTACTTGGGCCTTCAATGGCCTGTAGTATCCTCTAAATAAAATTTTAAAAAAAGCAAGCTACCTTGAGGTCTACCCACTATCCTTCAATCAAAGTCAATCAGAGCTCGGCGTTCTGACGTCACCACAACCCTCGAAAAAGGGGGCGGACAAACTTGCGCTTCGCATAGGTGATTTTCTGAAAAATGCAATGGGAAAATAACGACTGACGAAGCCCTTGGATACGTGGACCTGTATGGCACAAGTTACCAAGAACGTGCCCCATTTTCCTTTTAAATTTTCATAAAATAACTTGTAACTTTTGAATAAGGTAATGGTTAGTTTTTAAGCTTTGGCACCTGGTCCTGACCACTAGCGCTACATCTGGGCGGAGATAAGTGTTCGGCTACACATGGTTTGTTTTTTCAGTGAATAAGATGCTAAATCTTGGGGGGAAGACACACTGTACGTGGCAATTCTGAAGAATGTGTTACTGGTTCATGCTTAATTGCGCACTGTTAAGTGACTACCTGGTATGAGCAGAGAGAGAGAAAGAGAGAGAGACAGAAAGTGCTGCTAATTTTTTTAAAGACTTTTAAACAAAATCTAAGGCACACTCCGGGTTAATGTCACGTTCCAGAAGCAGTGGAGGCACACTTACCCACTGGCTCGGGCACAGGGACTGGTATTCGGCCTTGATTTTGGCACATGGGCTGGGGTCATCAGGGTTGCGATCGAGGCATTCCCAGTAGCGGTCCCTAGAATCCCAGCACTTCTGTCTCTGCTCCTTATTGGGGAACGACATGGTGGGGCTGCTGCACAGCACAACACGTTGCCGATCAATGGCTGGTAAACTAGCTTACCAGGAGTACCAACACGTCTATGATTCACTTGGAGTAGTTTGCCAGTTAAAGGTACAAAACAACGCTGACATGGGAACAGCTTAAAAGGGCGGTTCGAACTTCCAAGTTGTAATTAGACATTTTAAATGTTTCTAACAAACAATTTTAGAAATCCCTTTCCCCCGTCGCCGTCCCATCTACCAAACATTTCCAACGCTCCTGCGTCCTGCGAAATAATCTAACTTAGCCTAACGTAGCTTATCTCAACCTTAACTAGCCTAACCTCGCCTAACCTAACCTAGCTTAACCTCGCCCCGCGCTTTTAGATTAAGAGCGATGCTATATGCACTACGTAGTGCACTTTGGACGGGAATTGCTATATTCACTACGCGGAGAGCTCATGCCGCTCGGGCCACCCTTTTTCGAACTGCGCGTGTATCACTGGGGGGCTCGTTAACACAGCCCCCCGCCTGCGTTCACGCCGCTTCGCGGCGACAGTATGCGGCTGATAATTAGAAAAGTTAACCAGTACACGCCGCTTCGCGGCGTGTACTGGTTAACCACCCAAGCCCCGCTGTCCCCGATCTGCGACACCTTAACCCCTACGCTATGCCACCGCTTAGAAAACTTGTGATCATTCATTTTATACGAGACATACGTAGTGCATATAGCAATTTCCGGCCGAGCTGCACTCCGGAGTGCATATAGCATTACTCCTAGAGTAAAGCTATACGCACTCCGGAGTGCGCTTCGCGCGGAAATGGCTATACGCACTCCTCCGAGAGATCATGCCGCTCGGGCCACCCTTTTCGAACGGCGCGTGAATCACTGGGGCGCTCGTTAACACAGCCCCCCGCCTGCGTTCACGCCGCTTCGCGGCGACAGTATCGGCTGCTAATTACAAAGCGTAACCAGTACACGCCGCTTCGCGGCGTCCAGCCGGCAATCCAAGCCCCGCTGTCCCCGATCGCACCTCCGGAAAGGGAGTCCGATACCATTTAGTTCTGCAAAGTTTCTCGACAACATTAGATTTTTTTTTTTTTTTTTTTTTTTTTTTTACTGTTCATCGCAAAAGAGGAACTGTAAATATCGCCAAATGCCCCGACAAAACAAAATGATTGAGAAAAAAAAAAAAAAAAAAAAAGTAGGGCCACCGCGGATCGAACCCGCGTCCACTTGCGTATGAAGCGGAATCCCTAACCCCTATGCCACGGCACTGCTTAGGAAACTCATTGTGTCCACTCTTTTTATACGAGAAAAGCGGAGTGCGTATAGCCATTTCCGTCCGAAGCGCACTCCGGAGTGCGTATAGCTTTACTCTTACTCCTAAGAGTAATCGTCCCCCACAACAAACACATGACCATGTAGAATGTTTATAAGATAACTGTTCGCGGAAAAAAGAAAACTCGTAACATGCATTAAAACAACGCGCTTTGGTTTCCGCCGCCCCACGAAATTCAAAAACAGTTCGCACGCTTTACTCAGCACTTACCCTTGAAACTTTGAGACCGATGGCACCCGTTTTGTTGTCTTAATTCTTCAGTCAAGCTACTAGGCGATAGCGAGTAAGCACACGCAGATCATCCGACTTGCTTCAACTCCAACTTCGTAGCATCTGCAGCTCTGTTAAAACGATCGAAGTGTCTAGCGTTACGTCCGACGTAACTTCCCGGCGGCTGAGAAACTCGCACTAAACTCTGCGAGCGTACGAGAACCGAGAAGGTGGCTTTAGAAAACAGTTTCGAAACTAACTGTGCTTCGTTCAGTAACTCGATATTCGCACTGCTCTTGCTTATCACGTGGCTATAAAGTCGTGGAGTAACCCTTTTTAACTCGCAGCTCGGGTAGTAGGTTTGTAAACGTGACGTCAAAAAAGCGTTTTCATTCGCCAAGAGTTATAAAGTGTTTTTTGTGTTCTGCCGGTGAACGACGGAACGGGAAATGTTTTGCGTAAAAAGGCAGAAAAGAGATTCCTCCGCGAGAAAGTTTAAAGCGAGGCATATTGTTTATTTTGTTTGCCTTCTAGAAAATTATTTGACTTCGGACCAAATTTTTTACATGAATACTCATAAGTTTAAAATTATTAAAGCATCAATAAACCGACCTACCTTCTCGCAAAAGTTTCTTACGTGCTTTTCATTTTCCAGTATCATGCGCATCATGTGTGCATTTTAGCGCGGAGCACTACACTTCTGTAATGAGCATGCGTCACGGGGGGCGAAAGGCGAAAGAGAGCGAGCGAACGGAAGGAAAAAAGAAGAAAGAAGTGTGATGAAATCGTAAGCAGTGTGCGAAGTCGTTCGAGGTGTTCGATTAAAACAAACAAGAAAATTAATTTAGCTGAATTATGTGAAACGACGGGTGCCCCGTTGAATGGAGTGTGCGACGACCGTGCTACGAGCCTCGAAGGATGTGCCGGGCCCTTCAACGTCGCGGAGCAGCACCCCGTGAACGATGGAAGAGTCCGATCGGACCGAGTCGTCGCCAGTAGGCTTAGGGAGCTACCACGACCACGGCTCCAACGCTGCAGCTGATCGCCTCGTGGACGGTCTGGCCGACTTGGTGGATCCGCAGGACGTCGGACACGAGTTTTGGAAGACGTCCGAAGACATCGCGACCCGCCTCAAAAAGAAACTGCACCTCGGTCGACCACCCCCGAACGGTTGTTCTGTGGCGGCGGCGACGGAGAAACTCAACGGTGTCGTTCACTGGGGCCGCAGCAACTGCGACGAGCCGGCGGTAGCGGCTCGGTCGCCGTGTCACGAGGCCCCGGGCTCGAGTAGCGGTTGCAGTCCATCCAGTGACTGTCGGTTGGGTGACGATGTCGTCGTGCCGAGTGCGGTCGACGCGTGGACGCCGTCTGAGGACGGCATCGACTACGTCGCCTACGAATCGGAGAAACAGATGCCGGACATTATGCGTCTGTTTCAGAAAGACCTTTCCGAACCCTACTCCATATACACGTACCGGTACTTCATACACAACTGGCCCCGGCTGTGTTTCCTGGTAAGAGTGCTCGCGCGCGTAGTTGGAAACGATTCAAGCTAAATCGTACGTCTACCGTTGGTGTGCTGTGTCAACGGGCGAGCTTTTCGCGTGTACATAAGACACGAATCTTCTGTGTTTCCCTTTAATGTCGCCTAAACACGTACATTTTACCCTCAAGTTGCGCCTACTTTCAAAACGAAAATCTGCTCTGGTAATGCGGCCTCTGAGCGCGCTAGGACAGTACTCGCGCGTTGTTGCGGTGTTCGTCAAAACGCACGCGTAATTAATTTCTCGATCATAGAATGGAAGGCCTCGTTTGAAAGCATTCGGTATTAGATTTCCCCCGGGCAGAGCTCGGTGCTTCCAAGGTTATCCGAAGCGGTCAACCTTGGTCAAGAAGGACAGATAACACCCTCTCGTCTCTTATGTATGCTTATGCGTAGCGGAAGGTCATCACTCTAGTCTGAACGCTTTTCTGGGTCTTCACCTCCGACGCAGGTGCTTGTATAAGCGAGTTTTCACGCTCCAGCAGAGGGTTAAGGTCATCACCGGCAAGCTAGCTCTTTTGTCGCTGCTTGGTCTTGTGTGGAGCCGTTTGCTTGCAGCTGGATTTCCGGAGCGTGTTGACAGGCAGGCGGAACAACTTTTGATCGATGCTGTCAATGGAATGGTGACGACTTGATTTCTGCTCTGACGGAAGCTACTCATGTCCTGCTTTTGTACCACGAGCACGGACAGCGAACGGTTGGAAAGCATGCAGCGGAGTTAAGGCACCCCATATTCATATTTGCCACTCATGAGTTCACGTATACAATGCCTGAGGAGATACCAAGCTCAAGATGTAGGACACAGCTCTTTTCAGTATATAAGGATGGTACACAAACCACTTGCTCCTCTTATTATATATTCTAGATACATAGCCAGCAGTCTCTAGTACAGACCAGCCATCTGTATGACTTGCAGTTTTCCTTTATTCATCGCTAAATTCATCGGATTGATTGTGGTGGCATGCAGTCTCTGTTCTGTGCAGGCAACAGTAAGGAATAGTTGTCAGTGCAGCAGAGTGACACCGTATTGCAACCACGGTGTAAAGATTTTTTTTGGCTTGCCATAAGGCTCCTGCGGTAATTTGTTTTATGGACCATTAGTCTTTATCTGTTAAACCCACAGAGTATAGTCTCTTAAAGGGGTACTCCACCAATCTTTTGAGCTACCTCAACTAACTATATTTTCTGACTCCCCGGCCTTTACTCTCTCCGGTATGCTATTTAGAATCGCGAAACTCATAATAGTTATTGCGAAATCGGCAAATGAAAATGATGCAAAAACCAACATTCAAATATATGCGCGCTTTTCAGGGCCGTGACGTCAGTGGCAGGCAGGCTTGCCAGTCGAGCAAGCAGCCAAAAAATAGAATATGCCAATCATTTGTTCCATGCTGGAGCGCGGGTACTGCAGCGAGCTTCCCAAGCATTCATTTGACACCATGAAACTGCTTCGAATCAGTTTAAAACGAAATCTACAGCCCAAAGAGTGAACCCCTGCCTTCCACTGACGTCACTTTTTCATTGTTGCCAGTAGAGACTTCGAGCTTGAAAAACACGGTGAGGACCAAAACTGTAAATTCAATAACTTCGCGAAAAAACAATATTTTGACCTAATATTTGGGATACTATTTTCACGATGTTTGTTGGTTAGTTTAGCAAAATTTCAAGCAAATCGGAGACAATGAAAAAATCGGTGGAGTAGCCCTTTAAGAGTAGGGTTCTACCTGTGTATTTGTTGTAAATGAGGCCACCCTTACTGAGCCCAAGCTATGCATCATACAAAGAAAACAGTTGTTTTCAGACACTGCTATAAAGAACTTTGTTCTTGTAGGCTGAAAATTCCATGCTAGAATTCTAGAACATATTGTGTATCCTAAATTTCTTTACAACGGTGGAGCAGAATGATAGGGCAATGCTTCAGCTAGTTTTTGCCAAGGCCATCATTTGCACAATTCAATAGTTTGTAAAAAAAAAATTAGTTTTTACAGCAGTCAATTTGTGTAGCACTTATTCTTGCAAGCTTCCTGTCCCTGATGCCCTGTCCAAAATTTAGGGGAGAGAGAGAGAGATATCACTTGCATTTAACCTTTGAAACTGACTCATGTGGCACGCAATGGAAATCGGTTTTACTCCGTCGCATTTTGCTATGCAGGAGTGTTGAGCGAGTTGGCAGGTGTTTTTGAAGCACTTTCCAGCTGTTTCGTAAGCAGGCTCTACTCGGTTCACCCCTAGGTTGGCAGTACGGTGGAAGCTACGGGCTCGTTGGACCAGTCGTATGCCAATCGTCCGCCATGTGATCGCGCTTCCGCCCATACCGATGCACAGAGAATGGGGTCAGGTGACGAAAGGGTCGATTGGTCCTTTGAACGCATAGTTCCCACTGCACTGTCAGCTTAAGGGTGAACGATGTATAGAGTAAGTCATCCATCATAGGATTGGCATTGTGTTAACATCCGGTCGCGGGGCAGGAATAATTCTCCGCTTGTGCGGCCCGCAGGCAGATTAACGCCACAAAAAGCCGCGTGTCAGTTGAGAATTTTTCATGTCTGTTTCCAGTTAACTTAGTGTACATTTTAGGAAACTTAGAGAATATGTGCTAAATGTTGCAAATGCAGGTTATCTATAGCTAGGCAGCAGAAAAGTTGTTTTAGTTACGACTTATCTTTGGCAGGTCCTGTCTGTCCTGCGCTAGACTCGTGACAGTTTAAATTGCTTTGTGAGTACTACCGTGAAATCCCGAGAGATGCCCCACCCCCGAAAGATAGCCTGAACCCCTCTTTTTGGCTTGATTTGCTATATTTCTTGAAACACCAAAAGATAGCTCACTCCTAGTAATAGCTGTGTTGGGATCAGTGATGGCCTCGGCGTAAATGCGGCTAGTTAGCTATGGCGGGATATAACCGTTTGTTGCTGACTGGAAAGTACAGTAATCTTTGCTTCCTTGGCCCTTGCCACGATAACAAGCTTGGAAGGAACACATAACCTAAAGGTAGCTTTTTTTAAATTTTTCTTCACTACATTGAAAGTTCGCCCACTCCATATTTTTACCCGATTCGCTCTTGATTTTATGTGGATTATCTCGGGATATTACGGTAGGTGCTTAGCAAAACAATTTTGTGGATGGGAAGATTTTCTGAAGAGTTGTATAATGCCAGGAACTGCTTGAAAACTTGGTTTCTATATAACTTGGTTGTGCTTTCGGCAGTTCTGAACATTCTATGATTGGGAAGTGGCTGCTGAAAAGCACTATTTTTTGGGGATATGAAATCATAGCCGATTTGTATGCATAAATCTCGCTGCTGAGAAGTGCTCCTATTTGTAAAGCAGTGCCTTTGTGCTTCATTTAAGGGTGACTCTGAGTGTAACTATAGAGGCCATTCTAGGGTACCCCCGCTGTGCGTTCCAACCAAAAAGAGAAACTTCAGGATTAACATCAGTATTTCTCTAAAGGCCAGTGGTCAAATAGCAACTTTCCTCTTGCCTCTCCTGATTTGTAGGGGAGATGGGGGTGCTAAGACTATGTTCTATCTTGCAGAAAGGGAAGTTTGTGCACGCTGTGACAGCTCTGCAGGGGACGTAGCAGATAATGTGGGCTCTCATAGACTCATGTTCATGTTCCAGCTAAGTTGCATTATCAAACCTAAAACAATTATACTTCAAGATTCACTTCAGCGTCCCTTTAGGGGCCGGCAGTCGAATCACACTTTCTATTCTCCTCTGCCTGCTAGTTGGGGAGAGTAAGATACCAAGGCAATGTTCTGCCTTGCAGTTTGCATGTGCTCTCACAACCCTCTCTCTGCAGGGGCCGTAGCAGATGGCATATGCTCGTGTCCCAGGCAGGTTGCATTATCAAATTTAACAATGCAACTTCCAGATTTATAACAGCTGGCAGTCAAATTGTGTTTCACACCCTTCTCCTCTTCCCAATAGTATGCAAGAAGAATACACAAAGACGACGTTCTGAGTTACACAAAGTCAAGTTTTTAGACTTTGTGTAGCGGGCGTGCGCTTCCAGTATACTCCCGTTTATGCCACAGCCAAGTTCTGTTATCAGCGAAGTCGAGTGTAAAAACAAGAAGCAAAGAAAAAAAAAACTAAGTTTGAGGGAGTTTGTTGTCGACAGGAGATCACGGTCGCCAGGGGGGTGGGGACGGGGAGGGGGGGGGGGGGGAAGGGGGGGGGGGGGGGGCAGTCCAGTCTCCTGTACTTGCGGGACGGACAAGACCCACAGTGTTCCTGAACGATGATGGGGGGGTCTGTGGTTTCTAGAAATAGCCCCGAGGGCGAAATGCCAACCTATTTCGGGAAGAGGCGACACTTTTGTCATCGGTTGCTGGGTCCCCATGCATGCACGTGTTGCCACCTCTCCGACTTCGTAACTGGCATTGGGACACCCCTGGTCATCACGCTTCGCCTCGGCGTAATGGATTTTCTTAGCAGTTGGTGACAGTGAAGGGCCTTAATTGGACGACGCAGATTGTCGCCCTGTCGTTCGCAGTTGTTTTCGAGGAATTGTTGCTTTTTTTTTTTGCATTTCCAGGTTCTGTTATTGTATATTTTCAGGGTTCCTAGAGGTTTTGAGAGTCTCTAAAACAAATATAAACCTGTCCTTTTCGAGGATTTGAAAGCTAAAATTAGATCTACTTGTGTGTCTACTTTAACAAACCTGTGCAACGAGAGGGCTGGAAGGAAGGGTAACATCACTCTTGTTGGGCAGTAAAACAAAAGCACAAAGTGCAAGAACTCCAAAGCATGAGCAAGGATATTAACCCTCGGACGTTTACAAAAAAGAAAGGCAGTGAGATCCTTGTCGTCATTGTACTTTGCATTGTTTCATCCACAAAATGTCTCTAAAACGAGAAAAGTTAAATACATAGTGGTGCTTCCAAAAGGCAACATCATTGGGTCTTTCGAGGGAAACAACTTGGGCACACAGCTTAATATGCTGTTGGGTAGTTCAAGTGGACATTG